ACTTCGACTCTTTCTCTCTCTCTCTCTCTGTATAGTCGTCGTAGTTTTCGCATCTTCGACACTTGCATCTTATTCGTGCGGTGTCGGAAGATGAAAAAAAATGGGAACATTCGGCGACGTACGCTACCACGCTATATCGCGCAGCGCGCTCTTATCTCGCTAAACAACGCCGCGGGGGGATTCTTCTTTCTTCTGTGCTTTTTACAATTTGTCAATAATAACAATTTTCATCGAATCGTGCGCGAGATATATAGTTGGTATTATTATTGATACTTGACTGCGTGCGGGCTCGCGCGTAATAATAATATAATAATAAATGCCAAGTGCAATGTTGCCAGCACGTTTCGCGCCTGCGCTTTTGGCTTGTTTTCGTTTCTTCGCCGGTACAGCACACGCACACGTATACACACATGTGTAAGCCCCTATAATACTCGACGATACTCTCTCGCCTGAGTTTTATATATACGATATTATACGCTTCTCTTTCTGCCATGCAGCAGCAGCAGCCAGCATCGCAGACTCTCTTCCATGCATATTCGGATACATGCGTGTGCGCGTTGTGATTTTACTTCGTCTCTCTTCGGGCCTCGAAGTTTCGCTCGGTTATACTGTGTATATAAGCCGAAAGTCTGATTTGTGCGAGACGAGGGAGAGATCGTTTCTATAGGGCGCGTAAAATATGTATCGTGGAAGTAGGAGAGAGAGAGAGAGATGATTCTTTGGGGACGTGCAATTTATGGTTACGTCACGTCGATATATACCGATTAATGTTTTTCTTTTCCATTGACAGGTCGTCCAAGAGAAAGAGAGAGACGACTTCGAGACACATTTTTTTTGCTCCGCCTCCGTCGATCGACTTTTATACAAACTTTATAAAAAAAAATCTTCGCCATTGTAACGTGGGAATTTTCGTCGTCTAAGACGTTAGATTTCGCTCGAATCTGCGCGCATCGCTGCCTATGTACATAACGCATTCGCATACGTATATTCTCTCTCCCAGGGAGAGAGAGAGAACATTAAATGGCCATTACGCATACCGTACACTGCTATTTATTAAATAGATACACAAGCGCGTATTTTTTCCTCCTCTTTCCTTCTTCATATTTTTCTATCTGCGAATCATCATCGCTATACGTCGTCGTCATCGCGTGCGCGCAAAAATAATTGCATAAGTCGGTATAGGCCACACACACGCACGCATACGGGATGTTTAATAAGTTCTCCAACAACAACGTCGGATATTTTCACGCTAATAAACATTTATAAATATTATATATGTACGTGCGCGCATCGGCGCTGTACGCCAGCCACTGCTTTGAAAAAGTCAAGCCTTATGCAACGATATGTGAATGTACCCACACACACACACAAGATTTGCACTCGCGCGAGCTAGAGCAATAATATAAATTGAAATATAATCGTTTGCGGGTGCAATTGCGCTGCAAGTATAATAACAACGATCACGCAGCAGTAGCAGCGGCAGCCGTTACATATACGAAACAGGAGAGTCGTTGGCAAAGAACACGCACAAGAGTAATACCGAAACTTTTGTGCGTCGTGGTATATTCTTTCTTTTCATTATATATATACAACAATGAGAGAGGCCGGAGAAGAAACAAAAACTAAAGCGCGGAGAAGGTATTTAAATCATTAAATGCCGGAGCGAACGCGTATTATAACGTCAACGATCTTTCACCGAGTGTAGTGCGTGCATGTATAATACACGTAAACACGACACACGATCGTCGCTCTATTGTTCTCGAGCGCTCCTTCGAGTATACGCACTCGTCGCAACTTTGTTTTGTTTTACTCCTTTTTTTTTGTTTCTTTGTATTTCTACTTCTTTTTCCCGACAGGAGAAAATCACTCGGTCGTATACGAACCGATCGAGCGAGCTTGAAATTTCTTTGTCATCGCGTCGCTTCGGAAGGGAGAGAAAATTTACTTGGCTCGATCGAATTCTCCTCGGCCGCGTTATAAGAGTTTTTATGTCGATGCCGAGGTTCCGAGACGACGACGACGTCGCGTCATCTGACTCGTATAACTATCTATCTATAATACGCAACGAGCACAAGAGAGACAGGCAGACAGACGGACTCGCGCATCTGACGCATAATATGTTTATATAGCAGTAAGGGGAACGCACGTTTAAGTAGGGAGAGAGAGAGACAAGCCCACTGTAGGGCTCCTATGTCGGGCTTTCTAGTTTCGCACATAAACACAGACGGACGAGCCTCCGTCTGCGTGTATGGGTGAACGTAACGCGCACGCGGCCGTGTGCTGTGTGCACCGTCCTCGTCCTCGTCGTCGTCGTCCCTTCTTCGACTGCCCCCGAGCTCGGAGCGCAGACAGACACATTCGCTTACGCACACACAGATACAAGAGCTATTTCAGAGGCAGGCAGTCGGCCTTTGCAGCCTCGTACACGTGTACGTGTGTGTGTGTATAAATTGTTTTGCTCCGTTATACATACTTATATACCGGTCGCATATACGTACAAGCGATGCGATAAATGCGGATTTAGCCCCGGTGCATGTGTGTATGCGTACGCTGTATATATATGCCAAACCGGCTGGACGACTGGGGCTAGCGCGAGAGAGCAGCGTTGCCGGCGTAGTGTTGCTGCTGCTGCACAGGATTGGTATGGAGAAAGGCGTTTTACACGAGGAGCAGCTCTGGACGCGGCCACGCGGTGGTGGTGGTGGCGATGGCAGCGTGAGTTTTTCGCTTCTCTCTCTCGCTTTATTTCTGTCTCGAAATACGAGCGTCGCAATTTAAAATTGTTCACCTATATATGTTTGGATTCGTATGTAAACGCGTATATGATGCCTGTCGTGCGTTTCCCTGAGTGCGCCTGCACTCGTCGACAACAGCCGCTAATTCTTTTTCATTTCGCAGCAGCAGCGGTAGCAGCAGCTATATTTGTGTATTGTCAACCGACTCCGAATCGAGAACCTGTTATGCTCTGTTATTTAGACCATGTATCATAGAGCGGTATTATAGTGGCAAGCACCCAACACATTGTAAAACGACGAAAATTTGTGTGGGTGTCGTCGTGTTGTTGTTATTGTCGTTCGTTATAATACACGATGTCTTTCTCTGTATCTGACTACTCCGTGACCTTCTCTCGATTCGCGTAAATCGAGTCGCGCTTATCTAATCGACGTATGTGCATATACAAACGACTCGTCTTTAATAATAATATTTTCGTCGAAATTTCGGATCGACATACCTACACACATTCATAATAATGTAACGAGCTTCGTTTTCGTTTTCACGTTGCGCACTAGATTGCGCGAATCGTCGCCCCTCTCTCTCAGATGCAATACATATGTGCTGGCTGTTGCGTATATGTTATTATTGCATCGCAGTACAGAGCCGCCCCTGCTATGTAACTGCGCTCTCTGAATGGCGGCTCGCGTGCCTCCGCTGCTGAATATAACTGGTGGTGGTGGTGGCGGGCCGTCGCCGGTCGTCGTGTTGTTATATACACACTGCGCCATCAGCAGTTCCTCGGGCACGCATATAAACATATACACAGCCGCCGCAGCCGCTACTGACTGACTCTACTCTCTCTCGCTCTCCTCTTTTTCGCATGATATTAGGTGGATATAGAGCTGCTGAGCCCCGAGCCGGCACGCCACGCGCAGACAGTGTTTTGTTGTGTGTATATACGCGCCACAACGCCAACTCTATCGCATGCCTGTAAACAAGAAGACGCCTATATTTGCAAATTTCGGAGCAGCAGCAGCAGCAGCGGGCCTCGCAATTCGGATTTTCGATTTTATAGAGTGCGTCGGTAGAGTTTTTTGATCGTTCGCCATTGCCGCTACTACCACTGCTTATCGTGCAACGACAAATTCGTGAGAGTATACTAGCGGTAGTGAAAATTTGAAAAGTCAAGCGTGCGCGCGGCGTCGTTCTATGGTGCCGGTTTGCAACGCCGCGCTCCGAATTTCAAGTGCAACTCTCTCCGTGTTGTGTTGTGTGTTGTGCGTCCCATGAGTGCGCGTGTACCCATCGTCATCGCGCTCGGCGCTACGACATAAACAAGCCACAGCTGATTCTCCTATATATATATTGACAGAGACGCGCCTCGTTGTATTACGTGAAAAATAATAAGATGGAAAAACACGTGTTTGACGTGATTCTGTTTACCTTTTAGTGCGATGTTTACGATTTGACTTTGGTGCAGTGACTCGTTTTTTAATTAAGTAGTCAGGCAGTGCTGTACGCACGAACACATACCCTCGTAGGAAAGTTAATCGAAGTCTACAACGCTGAAACTTCACTTTTACTTCGAAAATCCGAGGCAAATTCAAAAGTGGATCGTTGGACGGGAAAATCGTTATGGCAGCAGGGCTGTTGTCATGGAGGAGCAGTGATTACAGCGACGACAACTCCAGCTCGCGCATTTTTTCCGATTACCGCTTGGTAAGGGTAAATTCCAAACGGCTGAATCACAAAATCGGAGCACGGCAATAATGGTGGTTTTCGCTTCGCCAGGGAATAAAATGTAGCCTCTCTCTCTCTCCTACTGCTGCTGCTGCTATATACGGCGCGTCGTCGTTGTAGCTTCGATGTGCTTCGTGGCGCCCCTACACCGCAGCGTCCGTAGCTCGATATGTTATTCAAATACAAACGTATGTCGTCGTCGGTCATAATCTCGATTTCTCTCGTTTTTACAATAATTCGATGACGAGCTTTTTATTGAATAAAGCGAGGTCGTTGTTTATGGTTTTAAGGATCTTGTAAAGTATCGGGATATAAACGAACCGTGTAAATCCGCGTGATAATAGGAAAATGGAGGGGGGTAGTTTTAGAACGGAAATTCTAATCAAGTATGGCGTCTTGTCCGTCCAGACTGTCGGAAATATCCGTATATTATACGACTGCAAGACCTTCTTTTGCATGACAACCTATTCATTAAACCACAATTAATACCACGCAAATTCCTCCAAACTGAACTAATTTTTTTTTGTCTCGATTTCGTGTTGCAGGTCACGTGAGAGAAAATCAAGATGTTTAGCTTCCACAAGCCCAAGGTCTATCGCTCGAGCACGGGCTGCTGCATCTGCAAGGCCAAGTCGAGCAGCTCGCGCTTCACCGACAGCCGCAAGTACGAGGATGACTTCGTCAAGTGCTTCCAGCTGCAGGAGGCGCGCTCCGGCGAGATCTGCAACGCCTGCGTCCTGCTCGTCAAGAGATGGAAGAAGCTGCCGCCGGACAGCGATCGCAATTGGAAGCACGTAAGTGTTTGCATCTCTTTTTTTTCTTTTTGTCATTCCTGTCAATGGCAATATTTTTTTATCTTTCTTTCTTCTCTTTCCAACAGGTCGTGGACGCGCGAGCCGGCCCCGGCATCAAGTCGATGACTAAATTCAAAGCCAAGAACAAGAGAAAGAGCGCCGAGGAGGACGACGATAATTTCGATCAAATAATCAAGAAAAAGCACGTGTACAAGAGGAAAAACGTGGTTGTCGATAACAAAGAGAAGGAGCGCGAACAGAGCCCGGCGATGAGCGACCTCACAGGTTTGCTAATTTTTCCCCAATTTACATTTTTTACATTTTCATCTGTAAATTCTTGTAGGATTATCACAAGCGTGGTGTGCTTATTACGAAAAGTTATGCCAAAATGTATTTCTTATGAAAAATGAACACGGTTGAAATCTACGAAATACACGAGAAAAATAACCCGAAATAATAATGTTGTTAAACGAAAAAATCAATGCGAGTTTATTATATATGTCAATATAAAAAAAAAGTTTATTATTATTGAAGACGATATAACAATTTTTCGTGGGTATTAAAAAACGACGCCTCTCTCAACTTGAAACATATTTGAAAAAGGTAACACTTTTACTGGAAAATTAACATTAAGTTGATTAGCTCTGTATTGATAGAAAACATCCAAAGATCTTTCACACACCTTCTGGAATATGTAGCTAATCAAAACTATAATATTTGTGTCTTCTTACTCTGTGCACTCGTCGATATTTCTTCAATCGTAAAATATCCGATGAGTCTATGCAAAGTAGAAGAACCTTAGTTTATAAAGTACACATGTAAGCAAATCATGAGAATACTAATTGTTTGGTAAGCCTTTCCGTACACCCATTTTCTTCTTGAATATTATTTATGAATATTGTAAAGCACTCACATAAATCAAATATTCTCAGATAGAATGCAAAATCAACTGGTTTACTTCATTTTATAGATGGTTCCAGCAGAGTTGATAGCCCAGCTAATGCTAATGAGGTTGATGATGATATGCCGTCTGATGAGCAAGTCAGTGGCTTCATAGATCTTGATTACTTCAAAAAGTAAGTACTCCGTAATCTTGCTCTTATCTTAATGAGTATGTTATAAGTACTTTAAAAATTAACGTATAATAACTTGAAAAAATAATTCAACTTTACAGAACAAAGGTCTGCTGTGGAATAGTATTCATTGGTAAATGTAACGAACTTGTGATTCAAGAACAATTCTACAAACCTTGCCCTCCTTGCATTAATCGTCAAAAAGAGAAACGCATGAAAGCTATGCAAGTTACTCAAAATTCAAATATCCAAACTGCAACTAGCCCAGTGCATTCGTCGGCTTCATCGTTAATAAGTAGTCCAAGTCACAGTTCATCAGCTAGCCCACCCCACAGTGAAGATTTAGGTATCGAAGGTAGTAAAGCTAGCGATTCTTCATCTGATTCCGGCTATGATGATATTAGCCCAGTAGGAAGTCTTCTTAACTCTGAAGTCAAGAAGCCGCCACCATCCGACGGTGCTGCCACTACTGTTGCTCATCCAGAAAAACAAAGTACAAACACATTTTATAACTTTGAGCTCAATAATATACTCGATTTTTTTGGAAATGATATTAATGGTAAAACTTTATTTAAGGTGAACCAATGGACGAAGATATGCCATTTACGCCAGCTGTACGTTTAGCTGCACCTGATGGTACAAAACTTCCAATTAAACTCTTATGCAAACCAATTGGTTTTAATTCTACACGCAACGGACCTATAACAAATGTACCAAAAGCAAATTAAATTGCGTCCAGACAATCGTCGTTCAAGCGAAAAATATATGGATTTGAGAAATTTATCGCAAGGGAGGTCAAATTTAGTTCAAGTTTTCGTCGGAAAAATGAATACAATAGCTTTCGAGTTGATTGTAATTCGACATTGTACATAGTAATTCATACACAACATAAAGAAATCTGGATATCATTAAACCAAAGAGTTGCAGCTTTCTCTCTGCTCTCTCAGCAGTAAAGTACACACACATCGCACGAAGCTAGCATGCTTAAAGCTACCTAAAAGCTATCTAAAAATGTTTGTGCCAAAAGCAACCAAAGCATTTCTTAATGGTAATTGTTGTTTGTCATTAAACAGTTGGTAATTTTTATATCGAGATTGGCTGTGAGTTTTATCAATTTTATTAACGTTGAACGAATTGACAAATAAAAATATGTGAATTCTTTCAAGTTCGTAAGTTCACTTGTGGCTCGTCCTTGTTAATGACAAACAATTATGATGTGATAATTAGATGTGCTTTGAATGCCAAATTAATTAAAATATTGCATTGAGGCATTTAAATGATTTAATGTTGCGAAATTTTAGAGCGTTCTAAAATCAAATTTTTAAAATGAAATACTAATATTTAATGAAAAAGATTCGAATATAATCAATGATACAAATGCAACGATGTCCAAAGTTAACTATCACATGGTACCTTGTATGAGTGTAAAACATTAATGTTACCTAACAATCATGCTTCACCAAATACAAAACATTTCTAAAAATTCATATTTGAACAATATTATGGAAAAATACTTCTAAAGGCAGTTGTTATTGATTAACAATTATCACGAAGAAGACCATAAAATACGTTTTTATAGAATATTTATTAACTTTACCGTAATTGAATAATTAATATAATAACTGTTACATTCCTATAGTGAGTACCAATTTAAATTTGAGCACAACGATGCACAAACAATGTTCCATTACAATTATTAAAGTATATCGTGTTATACAATCGACTTTCAATGCATAATCAACTGTTCTGTGATGTACAGTAAAGAACATTTTTTAAAAGTATATGATGTATTTGGTAACTTTAATCATGCTTTCAATAGTATAAAACGTGCAATATTTAATTTTAGGGTTGTGTGTACTTTACGTGTTACAGTACGTAACATTGTGGTGGCAATGTACATTTTAAATTTAACAATAATATTCTTGAGTAAGCGTCATACATTTTTCAGTATATATAGAATATAATTTTACCTTTGTCTTAAGGGGTGTTCAAATCAATGTCTTTTTAATAAGTATGCCTACTCGTACAACATTAATGTGTTCATCTGAAGAATAATTTGACGCTTGCATCAAGATTCGAAATTTAAAAATGAAATATAGTAAACTAAATTGAATTGAAAAAATTGAAAAGGAAATTTTAAACATTCAAACAACCACTGTGTTCAAATCTGAGTAGCTGCAGCTCAAAGAGTATTTGCTTTAAACCATTAAATTGAGTGTCAAAAATTATTTACATTACTCACTTTCAAATAGAAATATTAAAGGATTGAGAGACTGATCGATGTATTAAAGTAATACAGATACTTCTTTATGGAGAAATAGTAGTGCATAAGTGAAATGATTGCATTCGAAAACTCGTTATATACATATAAAATATTTTATATTTATATATATTCAAAAAAATTATTAATTTGATATGACGACCGCCATAAATGATAAATTTATTTCGTTGTATCAATTGGTGATACTTTTTGATATCAAAAATTTGTAAATAGTGTTTATATGTTTGAGATTATATGTGTATATGTCTGTGAGCAAGTATGTTTATTTAAATATGTATACAAGTGAGCATGGAATTCAATATACAAATATTCATAAACTGATAAATGATAATCACAAGTATAAAAACAGTTAATGTCTTTTTTTTAATAATGTTTAAAAAACTCAAGGCAGCAATGCAGTGTCAAAATTTCAAACGTGTATTGTTTCAGAAAATAACTGTTTGCTATATGTGAAACGTAAAGTTAGTAATTATTTAAAAAAAAACGTGATAATATTGTGAATGTGATTATCTATGACTATGTATCATTTGGTAGAAGAAAATTATTTATTTATGTAGATAAAACGGTACATGGTCATTTGTAATTAATATTATTAAGAAAAAATGCATAAAATTTTAAATTATGTGTGCAATAAGTTTATTTGTTAATTTGTCAAGATACTTGACTTATTGTATTTACAAAGTTATAACATTTTTTGTTTGCATCTAATTAAATCATGCATAAATTATTATAACCACGCAGGAAAAATAAACAAAAAATTTGATAATTTTGATTTACATTTTAATTTTTTAGCTGATGAAAAAAATAATCATTTACTTTGTGACCGCAAGATAGCAAGCACATATTTTTTGCCAACTCAAAGAATAACTAATGAAAAATGATTTTATAAAAGTTTAGCAGTTCAAATGAAATAATGTATCATTGAAATAGTAAAATTATGGAAAAGAATTTCTTATTATACAATAGCACAAGCAACAAAAGTGAAATGAGACTAGATATATTTTTGGCTTCGTCCAAGTTGTTTCAAATTTATTCTTGAAATCATGTCAATCAACGTGGAAAATCGCTAACATTTTATGTGTCTAAAGTATAAGAGTCATAAACCAATGTAAATGCTCACTTAGTTACCTTTATTTATGGTCAATTCTCATCATGTAGAGAATTTTTTTTACCTTACCGTAGTATTTTAAGTACAGGATTTGAACATATTTGACTGTTATATGATCATTCATTTTTTCTAATGCAGATTGACAGTATCAAAGCTACGGTTCCACGTATTGGAAAACTAAACCCAACTACGAATATTTATATTTATTTATTTTGCTCATATCATTTTTGTTCAAGTATAAAAATGTATACTTTGGCATGTGAATACCGGAAAATTAATTTTTTTTTCAACCATGTTACTGTACCGTTAATTTGTACTCTTTTAATTCGAATATTGGTGCACCTTAAACCATGAAGTACGCATAAAAAAAGCGTGTGTTCATGTAATTTGTATATAAATTGATATAGTATAATTTAAATATACATCACGTATTTATGTAATTGTAATGTATTTTTAAGAATCATTTATGAAGAAATCCACACAAGTAAGATAGACGGCAATATGAGAAAATAGCGTTGATTGTAAAAGAGTCGTTGCGTATTGCAATATTTAAAGCGCATCGATATTGTTCTGTATCAAATATTGTACATACAAATCAACGATGTAATACAATTATATCAAATATCTCGTTGAATTTTAAAAAATTGTCAATGAGTTATTCGTGGTTTGGATAGGGACGAAACTCAAATTCTCGTTCAGAACGAATGACTGCGAAGCAAAAAGTTTATAAACAAGTTAATTGCACATGTGTCACACGAAAGTTAAGTTAACGATCTCCGAATGATCAGTTGGTACTTAAGGAAGGGTGTTTGAACGTGACCCCGTACTTTGACATATGTACGAGAGAAAAAAGAAAAAAGATTGATAAGAAAAAAAACTCGTATTTACAATGTCGGTCGAAAAAGATAAAAATCGTTAAATATGATTGTGCATATTGATATTTAGAGAGTTGAAACAGTAGGAGAAAAAGCTTTAATGCTTGGAGGTTGGTGCAAAAAAAATCGTTAGTATATATGGAATTGCATTGGCAATCGGCAATCGGTTGATCTCATGTAAGTCTTGTTTGTGTGTGATGCTCATTGTGCGTCTTTTGGTTACCTAATTAAAGTCGTTCGTGTCGTTTTAACGATTAAGTCGCACGCCAAGATTTGAGTAATAACAATGGCCAAAGTAGCATCAAAAGTGCATTTATTTGCCTTAACGATACACATCAAATGTTTGCCATGTTTTTTTTCCTTAAAGTGTAAAACAAAGCGATATATTAACATTTTCAAAGATCAAACTTATACATCACCGAATGTCGTTCTCCAAGTTTTTTACGATAAACTTGTACATAATTACAAAGTACTAATACCGTCGTAAACCACTATTTATGTATAAAAAAAAATAATTTTAAGGAAACATGCATTTTTCTTTTGCGATAAGTGGCAGGGTGTAAAAAAGCCATTAAAAGAAAGCAAAATTTTCGTATTATCATCCCACCTAGTGATCTATTCATTTGATTTTATTCTTCTAAAAAAATTAATGTTATTTATCGCCTTATAAAATAAGAGTGTTTCGTCTAATTGAATAATAAATCTTTATTTATTTATTTTTCGCATCTATATTCGATAAAATTAATAAACAATCGCATATGTAAATCACATTTCTTATGAAGTTTATGAATTTTCTGAAACGAAAAAAATTACAATTTTAATTGCGCATGTAAAAGATTAAGCATTGATTTTGTAAATTACAATTATAAGTAACGATCTGATTGTCTGATATTATGTACATGTTAAGCCATTGAAATCACGGTGTTGATACTTCTTCTTTTTAATTTTTGTATTACATAGGTACCACTTTGCTGTCATACAACCATCAATATCGTTATTAGTGCTTTTGTACATTGCGACATTTGACTGTTACACACACACATTATTTATAAATCAATTATATTTTCAATTTATTATCGTAATATTTATCATTATTATTAAAATTATATTTAATTATAATTATTAAGCATGTGAATGGATTAAAAATGAAATCGATTTTTCTATCTTGCACGTGTATACTCGTCAGCGAGGCGTACGTGTATTATTCCATTTGTTAAACATTTATTAAAAAGTATTGTATGAAAAAATATAAAAACACACGGACTTGTCATTGCATACCATTGCCCTACATATAAAATATATACGCAGAGAACGTTTTTCTTCCACGTTTGGTGAATGACCTCGGAGTGTATAGTGCAGTTGCGCGCATTACACGAGCTCGGCGTTGCAGACGATGCCTTCGCTGCAACGTGCATGCGTGCACTTCTCAATCGCACATGCGTCTGCTGCTCGTGTAACAGCTGCAACAGTAACAAAACATTCCGAGAGCTTTGATATTTCGCTGAGCGCGTGAGCCTGTAATACACAAAAGGAGGTTGAGCTGCAATCATCGCAGGGCAGTTGAATTACGATCGTATGAGTTTTGTGATACATTATTGTGTTGAATTTTGTCGCGTTCTCGCGTGTCGAAGGTTGAACAGTCGTCGCGGAGTAGTGCAACTTACGTAATTGTTATTGCTCCAATAAAGGTGTTGAACGTATAAAAATCTCCATCTTCGAGCTTGAACGTGTGAATTTTCCGTAATGGATAAAATCGATAGCGAGTCCGCGAAAGGAAAGCAAAAATGAAAATACACGATGTGTGACTAATCCTGCATTATAATATACGCGCCGAATTTCAACTGCAAATTCAGCGTGGTGACTAATAAAGCTTTTGTTCCCAAGGGGAGCTTTACTGCTGACGAAGCTTCTCTTCGATACGTCTTTATTTTTCAAAATATATTACATCTCTTTCGGTTTCTCGTCTTACTCTCAGTCGTACTTAATGCAGTCGAGATCTGCAATTCGACGCAGTGACAATTGTGCAGCGAGTGTCAACTAATCGTATATACAAAGCACAGCAATGAGTCGGCTACCGCTGCGTCTAATCACGTTCGACGTGACGGACACCCTGCTGAGGACGAGCATAGCTCAGCACTACGCCTCGGCGGCGGCATCGCAGGGCCTCGGTCGACTGGACGGTGCGCGTCTCGAGCGAGCTTTTCGCGCCAATTACAAGCGGCTGTCGGCGGCCCATCCGAATTACGGCAAGAGCAGCGGACTCGGCTGGCAGGGCTGGTGGAGACAGCTCGTGCACGACGTCATCAGGGATCAGCAGCGGGACGCGCGCGACGACAAGCTCGACAAGGTGATACATGATATATTAATAAGAATCAATTATCCCATTTGAGTTTTACTCGAACTGATCATCAGCTTCCAACTTTGCTTATTGATGTGCAATATAAATGAAATAAACATGTATAGCAGCAACTGAAAGTATGTAAGGAGAACAAAGTCGAGCCTATCATTCAAGCTAAGGTGATGCGCAAATGCATACGTTATCCATAGAAAAATCAAAACTCATTGTTGTTATTTATTCATATATTTTAATGGTATGAAAAAGCTATCATCATTATTACATCAGACATTGATAAATACAAGAATTAGGTGCATTTTTTATTATTTATTTAGACTGTAAATAATTGTTGAACAAAGAGACTTACAAAATCTGTTCGGGTATCATTTACAAATCAAAGTTATTACTATTGGTGTATTTATACTTTTATACTAATACATAAACCAAGCTCAAGTCATTAATTTTTTCATTAGACATACTTTTGCATATGTGAAGGTTTTGGTAGAGTCTTATTATGACCTGATTTATTGTCATCTACTGTAACTGTTACGAAAGCCATTAAGGACATTAGTAGCTTTTACACGGGGCTGCCAAGCAAACTTTCCACAAATCGCCAATTTCCAATTTCGCGATTATTTTTTCACAGCAGAGAATGGGTAGTCGATATTGTGTCAACTCCATAAAAAATGTCAATACCCAACGTCGGCAAAATTTTTCCGCCATTAATCGGCTCAAAAATTGGCTCCACGCATAATTATTATACTTGCTAAATTTTTCTGAGCGTACAAGCAACAAAAAGTCGGTAGTAGTAAAAAGTTTCGTCCCTTTTTTAGGTTGCAATTGAATCAAATCGTGAAGCGAAAAGATCGAATTGATCATGATCTTTTTCGCGTCTATCGCAAAGTCTTCGAAACAGTGCCTATATTCTTCAATATTCACTGGCTCATTAAACAGTTCAAACTCGTTGAATATTTTCATGATAGTAAGGGCGTCGCTTCGTTCCAGTTCATACCCTTTATTCTCAATATATTTTATGATATCCACAATACGGAACACAAGATTTAATTCACATAATAATCCTTGCCAATGAAGCGATTCGATGCACTTCGCGAAGTGATTCTCAGTGGGAAAAACAAACTTCGAAAAATCGGCACCACGATCCAAAAGTATATTAATCACATCCAGCATGAGACTCGTCACAGCCCATTGAAGAGGTGTCCGACCTAACTTGTCCAGGGCATCGACTTGCACTGAATGATTTAATTCATCGTTGATCTTGAAGAATATAGTCGCTAATTTTATGGTTTCCTTGCAGCGTGACTCATCACTAAAGTCTTTCTTGCAAATAATATGCAGAGGAGTCCATCCTTCGGCATCCTCCAAGTTTGGATTTGCACCTTGCCTCAACAGCATCTCAGCCGCCTGTATATTGTCTTCTTGCAGAGCCAAGTGCAGCGGCGTCTGACCCAACTTGTCCTGAGCATCGACGTGCAACGGCTGATGATCGACGTTGCTGAGCTCGAATAACATATTCAATAAGTAATGATGATTAGGTGTGTCTCGCATACAAATGATATGCAGAGGGGTTAATCCCTCTAAATTGGCTAAGTTCGGATCTGCGCCCATTTTCAGCAGCGATTCGGCGTGTTTTTTATGAACGGCAGTCACTGCATAGCTCAGTGGTGTCTGGCCCATCTTGTCCCGAGCGTCGATCTGAACCAGCTGATTGAGTTCTTTGTTGATATTAAAGAATGTGTCTACCAAGTCATCATCTTTATCTCTTTTGCAAATAATGTGAAGAGGAGTCAATCCCTTTGCATTAGCCAAATTCGGATTTGCGCCGTTTCTCAGCAGTGATTTGGTCGCCTTCCTGTTGTTGTAGCAGAAAGTTAACTGCAGTGGAGTTCGACCGTAATAGTCCAAGGTTTCGACCTCAATCGTCTGATGGAGTTCGTGGTTGACCTCGAAAAATATCTTCGCTAAATCTTCATTGCTGTTCCTCTCACAGATAATGTGCAGAGGTGTATATTTCATAGAGTCAGCCAAGTTCGGATTGGCACCAATTCTTAGCAGCAGTTCTGTTATTTTCTCAAGACCTTTTTCCACAGCATAGTGTAGCGGTGTCCGACCCCTCTGGTCTTGGGCGTTACCTTTAATAGATTGATAGAGTTCATCGTTGAGGTCGAAGAACATCTTCACCAGATTAACATCATCTTTTCCCTGGAAAATAATAATATCAAGAGGAGTTTTTCCGTTTCGATCAGTTAAATTTGGATTAGCACCTCTGCTCAGCAGCAATTCAACTATACTTTTGCGTTCAAAGTCGACAGCGTGATGCAGCGGTGTCTGACCCCATTTGTTCTGAGCGTCGACATTAACTGACCGATGGATTTCGTCACTGATACGGAAAAATATCTTTGCCAAGTTATCATTATATTCCTGCAAACAAATCGAATGCAGAACAGTTGATTCGTATTCGTCCGTCAGATTCGGGTCGGCGCCACTTCTTAGCAGTAGTTTGAATACCTTGATGTGGTTATGCTTCAGAGCTAAATGTAGCGGCGGATTTACTGATTTTTGCGCGAGACAATCGGGATCCTGACCGAGCTCTAGGAATTTTTGAACAACGTCGTCACAGCCAGACATGCAAGCCACATGGAAGTGCGTGAGGCCGGCCTCGTCGATGTAATTCACGTCGAACTTGTTGTATATTTCAAAAAGCTTACCAACGAGTCTGTATTGCTTGCATCTGGCCGCATAATGCAATGCTGTAGAGCGACGCAACACTAGCTTGCCGTCTCCATCAACGCTGGGTTTGTCTTTGTAGCCAGTACTGAACAAAAAGTTTAAATAATTGGGGAAGATATAGTGCATTAACTGTTTGAGAAGATAATCTATTTCTTTAGGTTGAAAAATGTCCAGCAGGTTAGGGAGTTGGCCCTGCCAATCTTGGATTAAGGAACAAAATTGATCGAGAAATTTGACGCGCTCTTGTCTTATCTCCCAATTGATTTGTTTTCGCAAAGTTTTCAATTTTTCCAAGCACGTTTGATCGTTTTCGGTCATCGCTTAAGACTCACACTTGGACGTTATCGCAGAAAATGTATGTAATATTCTCACTTGCCAGGGAATCACTGCACGTGATTTTGTTGCGATCTTCCTTTGTTTGCGCTACGGCGTCGTACAGCGTACTGACTGACTCTGAACGAATTGATCTATGGTGTGGCGGCGAACTGCGTGCGTCACTCACACTATAAGTATATAATACCATTACTGTCGAGTGTCGCACTCTTGCTTGATCTGGTATATTTTTGTATTGAGAGCTGTATTGTGCCTGTTGCCACGATCGAGTCAGGTTTTTTTGGTATTCCCACAAACCTATACTAACCCTTGTTTATAAGTGAGTGACAAAGTTTAAAAAAGTTTTACTTAATAGGATTTATTTTTTAGGATAAAAGAGTCATTAAACCTAAAGTGATGTGTAAATGCATTGTTATTACACCGAGAAAAAAATTTCATTGATTCAATGAAAATTTAATTAAATACAATCTATGAAATAATTTCATTGAAATAATCTTTTTTTATTTAATCCAACAAAATAATCAGTTGTTTTTACCAAAATTTCATGAAACTAAAGAAAAAAAAGATTATTTCAATGAAATTATTTCATAGATTGTATTTAATTAAATGTTCATTGAATCAATGAATTTTTTTTCTCTTTTATTTTAATGCCATAAAAAAGCTATCATCATTACATCAGACATTGATATTAAATACAAGAATTAAGTACATTTTTTAATTTTTATTTAGACTGTAAATAATTGTTAGACAAAGAAACTTACAAAATCTGTTCGGGTGTCATCTTCAAAACCAAGTTATTTCTATTATTTTAAGCGTACTTCTGTTCTGTACTAATACATAAATCAAATCAAGTTTTTATAATCGTGTTATTTTTTCATTATGTGCAGATCTTGATACAGCCTCGTGGATATTATACCTTAGATTTATCGTTAACTGATGAAATGGTTACAAAATAATCATTTAGACCGACAAACACACGTGCCACAAATCGTAGATATTTAGTTTTTCCATGATTTTTTCACAGCAGAGTATTGGCAGTCGGTTTTCAGTCAGCTCCAAGAAAAATGCCAGAGCCCAACGTCGGCAAAATCTTGCCGCCATTACCTCGCACAAGAACGTTTCCCACAAATTTTGTAATTCCGTCTCGCTTAGTTTTCTTGAACTTACGAGCGACAAAAAGTCGGCAGTAGTAAAAAGTTTAGTTGACTTTTCGGGGCGCAACTGAATCAGGTCATGAATTGACAAGCTCGAATTGATCATGGTCTTTTTCGCTTCTATCGCTAAGTCTTCGAAACTGGCCAAATATTCTTTAATATCCACCGATTCAATGAACAACTTGAACCCGGCGAATATTTTCATGATAGTAAGGGCATCGCTTCGGTCCAGTTCATATCCTCGTTCTGCAAGGCACCCGATGATTTTCAGAATGCGAGACACAAGATTCAATGGAGATATAAGACTCTCACATTGAAGCGATTTGATGCACTTCGCGAAGTGACTCGAAGTGGGAAAAACGAACGTAGACAGATCAGCGCCACGATCCAAAAGTATATTAACCACATCTATCATGAGACTCGCCACGGCCCATTCAAGAGGTGTCCGACCTAACTTGTCTCGGACGTCGAGCTGTACTGTCTGATGATTTCTGTCGATGATCTCGAAGAATGTAGTCGTCAGCTCTATATGATCTGCTCGTATTTCGACGGATACATAATGTATTTCTCGCAAAGAAGGTGGAGAGGAGTCGATCCCTCCTCATTGGCTAAATTTGTATCGACGCCTTTACTCAGCAGCAATTGTGTCAACTCGTTAGTTCCACGGATCAATGCCAAGTGCAGCGGCGTTCGGCCCAATTTGTCTCGAACATCGACGTGTAACGGCTGCTGTGTCTCGTCGCAGATCTCGAACAACATCTTCGCCAAGTCATCGTCATTGTGTTTGCCTCGCACGCAAATGATGTGCAGAGGAGTCGATCCCTCCTCGTTGGCTAAATTTGGATCCGCACCGATTCTCAGCAGCGATTCGGCGCGTTTTTTATGACCGGCGATCAGAGCGTAGTTCAGCGGTGTCAAGCCCGACTCGTCCAGGGCGTCGACCTGCAGAGGCTTTTTAAATTTTTCATTGATTTCGAAGAATGTGTCCACAAAATTATCATCGATGGCTGTTTTGCAAATGCAGTGCAGAGGTGTCGATCCCTCTGCACCGGCTAAATTCGGATTCGAGCCGTTTTTCAGCAGCAATTCGACAATCTGATTTCTACGAATGCTCGTCAGAGCATGGTGCAGTGGTGTCCAACCTGAATGATCCAGAGCATCGATCTTAATAGTCTGTTGCAATTCGTGGTTAATATCGAAAAATATCTTCGCTAAGTCGTCATCTGTGCGTTCGATCCTCTGGCAGATAATATGCAGTGGTGTCAATCCTATAGCGTCGGGTATATTTGGATTGGCACCATTTCTTAGAAGCAATTTTGTCATCTTCTTGAGACCATATTCCAAAACGTAGTGCAGCGGTGCCCGATCCCTCTTGTCCTTGATGTTGACCTTAAATGACTGATGGCGTTTGTCCTTGGCATCGAAAAATATTTTTGCTAATTTATCATTATCGTTTCTCCTGAAAATAATAATGTTGAAAGGAGTGGCCCCATTTTGATTAGTTATATTCGGATCAGATCCTCTCCTCAGCAGCAATTCAGCTACATTTCTGCATTCGTTTTCCACAGCATAGTGCAATGGTGTTTGACCTCTTTTGTCCCGAGTATTGATTTTTACTGACTGCTCAAGTTCGTCATTGATATCAAAGAATATCTTTGCCATGTTATCATCGTATTTCCGTTGACAAATAACGTGAAGAGGCGTTAATTCGTATTCGTCCCTCAGATTTGGGTCGGCGCTGCTTCTCAGCAACAATTCGGCCACCTCCATGTGTTCATGCTTCAGAGCTAAATGTAACGGTGGTTGGACCGATCTTTGTATTTGCGCGAGACAATTGGGACCCTGGCCGAGCTCCAGGAATTTTCGGACGACTTCCTCGCAGCCAGACATACAAGCCACATGGAAGTGCGTGAGGCCGGCCTCGTCGATGTAATTCACGTCGAACTTGTTGTATATTTCGAAGAGCTTACCAACAAGTCCGTAATACTTTTGTCTAGCTGCTTGATGCACAGGTGTGGTGCGACGAGGCGAAGGTTTGCCGTCTTTATCAACTTCGTGCTCGTTTTTGTAGCCAGTGCGAGCCACAAACTCAATGAATCGTTCTCCTCCTCCGCTACTGTAATTTATGCAATGCGAGAGAAGGCACTCGATCTGTTTGGGCTGAAAAATGTCCCGGAGGTTAGGAAGTTTGTCCTTCAAATTTTTGGCTAAAGAGTGTAGTTGACAGAGGACTTTATTTCGATCTTCTTTAATCTCCCAATTCGCGTTTTCTCGTAAGTTCTTCAATTTTTCCAACTCGTTCGACGTAGACATTGTTATGCGCACTCACAAAAAAAACAGTCACTTAAATATTTTCTCTTTTCTGCACGGCAATCACTTGCTATGATCTTAGTTGTTTACGCTGCGGCGTCGTATCGTGTACTAAATGAATGACGCTATACATGCGACCGGCGGCGTGCGTATGTCACGAACTGCTTGCAGGTCACATTATTAAGCCGTGCACCTTGACGCTAAAACATACACAAAGCGAGATGTGGTGTTTGAGATTGTGACGTAATGACTCGATCTAGTCGAGTTTTTTCGGGCATTAATATCGCATATCGAATATTGACAAATTATTTATCCTACATAATCCTCAATGAGTGAAGTTTTAACAATTAAATAGATTCATAATTTGTTATTGTTCTAGATAGCGGATAACTTGATCGAGTGTTACAGCACGAGCGAGTGCTGGCAGCTCTGCCCGGGCGCGCTCGAGTTACTCGACAGTCTCAGCCAGAGGCGGCCCCGCTTGGTCCTCGGCGTGGTGTCGAATTTCGACGAGCGCCTCGAGGCCGTGCTGCGCTCGGCGAGGATCCGATCCTATTTCAACTTCGTGCTCACTTCCTACCAGTTCGGCAAGGCCAAGCCCAATCCGGAAATATTTCAGGTATATATTTGCACTCATACACTTCTGTCTGTGCCCTACATGTGTGTAAATACGGTGTGTTAAACGTTATTTTTCTTTTTCGCAGGAAGCTCTGAGGCTGGCGTCGAGTCACGCGGGCGAGAAGATCGAGGCCGATCGCGCCCTCCACGTGGGCGATCGTCTGGACAACGATTACGACGGCGCGAGATCGGCCAATTGGCGCGCGATCCTCGTGAATCGCGGCGGCGAGGCCGGTGGCAAACCCGTCGATCCCAGGGTCGATCCGAGCGACGTGTTCAAAAATTTCGATGACCTCAGAAAGCACTTCGACAATGTGCTGGACATTAAGGACGAATCAAGATGATAATTGGATAATGATTTTTGCATCGTGCGATGCAATTTTTACTGAGATTATTGTGCAAATGATGGCGAAGGGCGTTTTGCCAGGAGGTTGACAAAAATAATTGTAATATAACTAGATCGAATGATTTCGTTGTATATCTTGCCAATGAAACGATGTACTGAGAAACGCAAGCGACCATGTGCGGTCGATGTACGAAATATTTTCTTACACTTTTTTTTCTATGTAATACAAGAGTAATTATACGATACGTTGACTTTGTAATAATTTTACATAAATGTCAATTTTGCGCTGTAGTTAAAAAGACACAAATAGTTTGTAATCGTCAAAGTCTGAAGTATTATCACAGATCTGAATAACATAATTTATTTTCATACAGCCATATTGTTGAATATATTATATTTTATACACACTGATATAAGAAAATAGTTATTTATGTAACAAGTGCCCAAAAGGCGTTTTTGGGCACGAGTGTGTGGAAAAAGACACGAGTGCCGGCCATGCCGGCACGAGTGGGTGTTTTTTCCGCACACTGTGCGCAAAAAGCTGGGCACGTGTTGCATACAAAATTTTATGCAATAGTAGGCGAAAAATACGTTCATTTAAATGAGGCGTTTTACCGCACACCCGTGTCCAAAATGAGGCATTTTACCGCTCACCAGTGTCGAAATGAGGCATTTTACCGCACACAAGTGTCCAAAAGCGCTTTTTGCGCACTAAAAAATGTGCGAAAAAAGACATTTTTCGTCTTACTATTGCATAAAGGATATTTTTGAAAAGTTAATCCGTCAGTAACGTTACCATTGTTGTTATCATAACTGTTATAAATGTACGTATCGATCAATAAAACTTTTCAAGTCGATGCATCTCTATACTCTGATTGAATTTATCTCGTTTATTCCTAATAAAGGCGCGCGAGTGGGGATCGTTATTAGTCGAGAGTGGCGTCGCGCAGCTATCGGTCGCTGGTTTCCGGTTGACGTGCGAAAACGATATCGATGTATCGCGCACCATACTCGCGGCTGAACTGTACGATCGAGCGAATTATCTTTCCACATACCTCGCAAGTCAGAATTCGATTTTTGTATAATACCATCATTTGCTCGAGTGGGAATGTATAGTAGTCTAAAATCGATCGAGCTCGTGCCCTCGACTCCCCTCGTACACAAATACTAAGGGGCTACGAATACACACGTACAAAGCAGTATAAGAGCAGGAGTCTGTGTACCAAGGAGCTCTGCTCGCTTCATTGTCACAAATGAACTATACACGGCGCGGGTGTCTGCCGACTCGAGCGAGGAAAATACTAATCCCTCTGCGCGTCTTTCCATCTCTCTCGCACTCGTACACTTATATACATGGATTCCACATAGGCTTCGGGTCGAGTGCAGCAGCAGCAGACACACACAAGTGTAGGACTCGAGATGCTGTGCTGCGCTGCTGCATCAGTCGCGGCCTGTTGGCCTTTGAAAACGGACTGTGCAGTGTGCACAGATATATACACGCGGACGGCAATATATATTCGCATGGTATATAGAAACAGAAGTGAGCATTCGTTTCCTTATCAATATATCGTTAACTCGTACGCGCAGTCGTCATCTGTCGTCGTCGTCGTCATCTTTTCCGTTCGTTGAATTCATCATCATACTAGCCGCGCTCTCCAGAGGCGCATTATCGCAATATTCTGCCCAGAATAAAGCGGTTTACAGTCTCCGAGTGCCGAGAGGCAGTGGTTCTCTTTGGCTTCCGTTTTTCGGATCCGCTTTACGGGTTAAACGATGTAGAGAGAAACGAGCGAAAATCGTGATGTAACTTTGACGAAAAGCTGTTTCAGCCCTTTTTCCATCGAGCCCTATAATCATTGGTTTTTCCCAATGGATAGTGTTTGAATTTTTTTTCTATATCGTTCGTGACACTTTTGCAACTGAGATTTACGATTATAATTATAATATTCATTAAAAAAAAAAAAAAATCAATGTGGTACAAGTACGCACACCGCAGAAAACTTTTAAATACGCGCGTAACGGTACTTCCTGGATGTCGACCTATGTGCGACTGCACTTTCGTCTGCGCATACATCACACACACTACCTATATCGTATAACAAAGGCTTGGCAAAATTAACTCGATTGCTGCGTCGCGTTTCGAGTCTTTATCTTTGACAGTTCGCGAGGTCCCATTATAAAAATAATTGAGACAGCAATTCGAATAGCTCGATGAAAGAAAGGAACACATAGTCTCCGATCGGTGCTCCACATATTATACAGTTTCGAGTGTAAAATATTCTCAAAGACAAGCTGCTGCCGCTACTGCTGAACGAATGGCGTTAGAGGCGTTACGCATGTGCGTATATGAAATACGCTTATGTGTGTGTGTGTGTGTGTGTGTGTGTGTGTGTGTGTGTGTACAAGTGCGTATAAAGAGCTATATACGCGGGCCGCTTTAATTCTTATGGGACGCGCTCAACTGCGCCCTCCGTCTGTGCTCCGAAAATAGAAACACGTGTGCGCGCGTGTACAACGAGCTCCGACGATCTGCGAAAGCACACACACGGCCGAAAAGCACTTTGGAATCGCGCAGATATAGATATAGATACATATACGCTACTCTTCTAACAAAGAACATTTTCAGATAGGGAATTCCGATCGAGCGAACGTGCCGAACTCGTAGGAAACTTTGTTCGCCAAAAATATACATGATTTGCGAAATCTATCAAAGGCGCGTATAACGTTATACCGATAAGTCGATGTATTATTCAAATGCATAATATTTTTAATTTTCAGCTTGATCCAGTGGAAGTATACAGTTGTGTGACTGGCCGCAACGATCCCCAAGATGGAATCGACGAATCGAGACGAGCCGCCCGATCACTCGTTACAATAAGCCTTTACCGATCACGGAAATCGGAAACTGCACTCCGCCGCGGTCTTATCAGTGCCGATTCATGCAAGGAGTCGCGTATAGTTTTGTAGTACGCAGCGTTTCGAGGCGAGGGAGCATGCGGTAAACGCTCTAAAAAATCTCTGCTCTTCTCTCTCGGTGTCTCCCCCTTCCCACTCGTTCGTTCGCTCGGCTCGGCTCGAAAGAGAGGCGCATTTTTACATTTGTACATCCTTAGAGAGAAAGAGAGCGAAAGAAGAGAATAAAGAGCGTCGTGCCGTATAATATACAGTGTATAGCCCATCTCTTTCTCTCTCTCTCTCTTTTAGCTATATACACGCGCTGCGCCGCGCCGCAAAGCTGTGCTGCTGCTCTGCCGTAAGAAAATACTATACAGAGAGAGCGAGAGAGCAGACCGGAGCACGAGCAGTGCCTCGCCGCCCGCCACTACGAGAGCGAGAGCAGCGTGTGTGCGCCACAGCCGCCACCGCCGACTACATCGACGAAAACACGACGGCGCGCGAGATCATTGTTATTGACCTTTTTTTTTTAATTTTTTTTTTTACCTTTAGTGAAGTGATGGTTACCGTTAGTTGACAAAAATAATAATAATAATAAAAAGGAAGCGAATTGGAAAATCGGTAAAGCGACGAAAATGAGTGCACGCGGTGGGTGTGGGAGGCTCAGCCTCGTCCTGTTGACGTCCTGCTGCTTGCTCGCGGTGGGACTGGCCGTGCCCGAGCCAGCGGCCGATTACAACAAGAACGACTCCATGTGCTACGACTCGGAGGGCAAGCCCCAGGTGAGTCTCCCCAAAATTTTAGCCCCTCACTAATCAATTTATTACCACAATGCAGCGAAAAATCGTCGAGAAAAACAAGTCTCTCGATTGTGTTGTCGCGTGCTGCTATACAGAGAGAGAGAGCGAGTGACGTTGCGAGTCAAAACGAAAGGTCGTCGTCTCAGTCAGAGTCTTTGGTTGCAGCAGCAGCAGCCTGCGCCGTACTGTGTTATATATACAGTGAGTGCACAGGCGCACGCACGCACACACACACACACATACATACACACTTGGGCCCGCATTAGAGACTCGGCTCTCACATATACACGGGTACGCGTGCGCTTGTATATATAATATACGCTTCGGCGTGTGCGAGAAAGTAAATATATGTTTATTCGTTCGAAAATGGAAACATGCGGAAAAATAGCTGCGCGCGAGATCTATTTAGCGTCGGGATAAATTCATTCGGCTGATTCGAGGAAAAACGTGATATATTTTACCGAGTTTTTCTCGAGATCGCGAAGACAAATTTTTCGGCATTCAGAAAAAAAAAATGAATAAAGCAGAGTTGAAACTTATTCGCTTTATATGCCGTATTGAAATTTCGAGTTTCCAGCTTTTTTTACACATTTGAAAAACACTTTTGTCTTCTCTCGTCAAATAAATAGATAGACGTTCAAATTTCAATTGAGACTCGGCATCAGGCTCGATTATAGATCTTAGGTATGAGGTCGGTACTTTGTTAAAACTACCGATACCAAATTCTCTGCGAAAATTCGCAAGCTTGTGCAATACATCGTTTCACGCTGAAAAATCTGTATTTCACATAATTTGTACAAATATAATGCAGCACGTGCCTCTCTTTGAATTTCCTTCTTTATTCGCTCGATCGTAATGTTACCAAATTCTCGTTGATAAAAAAACACGATATAATTGTCGTGATGCATATATTGCATACGCTCTTGAATGATATTTATTCAAATATCGTTCAAGCACCATATTCTCCGCGCGATAGCCGCGCCGCGCTTTATAGGCATACGCGAATGGAAGTGAATCATTGAAATTCGCCGTTTGATAAATTCTGCCAAGTCTGGAATTCCTCGGAAGTTGCTAACGAAAGCTGTATCGCGCGCGCGCGAAGGGGCTTTTTGTAATTATAGTATAATGTATAATATAAGCTCCGAAACCAAGGCTCTCGAGACTCTATGTGTGTATGTGTGTGTGTGTGTTCGTGCCCACGTGTGGAAACGCGATCTCCAATGACTCGCTCTCTCAGCAAAAAAAAAAAAATGAAGAAGAAAAAAATTGAAGACGTGCTATGGAGAGCTTCCGAGAGACAAAGATATTAGCCATACCGTATAGTGTGTTATAAGCTAGCTCCGCAACAACGAGTTGGACATATGTGTGTGTGTGTGTGGTGGTACACACGTATGGGTTGATGATATTTTTAGCGCAACACGCCTCGTCGGCTTTTCGCGCATGGGAATTCGTTTTGTACGCTGCCTTATGTTCATACACACTCGGGGGTTATCAATGATACGTAATGCTTTAAAGAGAAACTTTCGGGGGCCCTCTTTTTCTGTGCGCGATGCTGGCTTTCCGATAAGCGACGCGGAGAGCTTTTTCGACGACGATGATTTTTTAAAATTAATCTTTTGTTTATTATCAAAAAAAACAGAGATGCATACCGCCGTTCGAGAACGCAGCCTACAATCTGCTGATCGAGGCGACCAACACGTGCGGTGAGGAGGGCCGCGCGACGCCCTTCTGCAAGCAGACCGGCGTCGGAATCAACGTCAAGTCCTGCGATCTGTGCCACAAGGACTCGCACTCGGCCATGTATCTCACGGACCACGAGACGCCGGAGAATCCGACCTGGTGGCAGTCCCAGACCATGTTCGAGGGCATACAGTATCCGAATCAAGTCAATCTCACGTTGAATCTCGGTAAGATCATTGGCCTCGTTGCGACTACTATACTGTGTGTGTGTGTTTAACGTAATCTATTCATAGTTCGCGCGCGGAGAGAGAGATTATTTTGTACACAGCTTCTACACGCGCAAAAGAGAGCAGCGGCTCGAGATAAGCCATTGTGTGTACGTATTATACGATTTCGAGAGAAAGGGGGAGAAAATGGCTAAGTGGCTGTAGCTGCTGTTCGGCGTAAATATCTTTTATCGCGCGAGCCACGAAGCAGCGATTCCGAACGCTGAATAATATCTCCAGCTAGATTTCCGATTTAACGCGTTTTACAATTTGTACTGGTTCTTTATTTCTCTCGATGCCTCGCGAGTCCGCCGACTTTTCGGCCCCGAAAAACTATTCGTGATACACATTATAATTATAGCTACGCTACGACGACGAAGACGATGATAAAAAAGTAGACGAAGAAGCTGCCGAATCGCACATGTGCGAGCGATTTATGTTTTATGTATCTTTCGCAATGGTAAAGAGCCGGATCGTTTGGCGCAGAAGCAGCCGAGAGAGCAGAGATAAAGTCGAGGTCTCGCTTACGGATCGTCGCCGCCGCCGTCGTCGTCGTAATATAAACGCGGAATCACGCATCATCGTTCATACACCCACACACGTTTACGTATAGCTCTTGTATATTCAATATCGCTCGAGTCGATACGTATTCAGCGCTTAACGAGGCATTTGAACTATTTCCAAGCGGGATCCGATTCTCCTCGACTGTATCGCTGCTTCTGCGAAAGCAAAAAAATGTCAAATGAATATTACGCGAGCTCGAAGAAAACTATGTGGAATTGACGAGCGCGACGCATCGATCGCAAAATATGCATCCGTCGAACGATAGTAATGCTTCATGACGATGTTGATAATCACGATGAAATGTCGCAGGCAAGATGTTCGACATCACGTACGTGCGAGTGATCTTCGAGTCGCCGCGACCCGAGTCCTGGGGCATCTACAAGCGTCGCAACGAGAACTCCGAGTGGGAGCCCTATCAGTTCTACTCGCTGACGTGTCGCGACACCTACGGCCTGCCCGAGTCCAAGGAGACGATGTTCGGCGACGACACCCGCGTGCTCTGCACGAGCGAGTACTCGGACATCGTGCCCCTGTCCAAGGGCACCGTGGCCTTCTCCACGCTCGAGGGTAGACCCGGTGCTTACAATTTCGAGTCCAACGGCGAGCTACAGGTGGGTTAAGGCACACAAACTACGAGGGAACGACGAGCCAATCTTAATGATCTTAACATTGCGTATTTCGTTTAGGAATGGGTCCAAGCCACGGATCTGCGAATCACCCTGGACCGCCTGAACACGTTCGGCGACGAGATGTTCGGCGTCGAGCAGGTGCTCCAGTCCTACTACTACGCCATCGCCGACGTGGCGGTGGGGGCGCGCTGCACCTGCAACGGCCACGCCGGCGACTGCGTGAACGCCACCGGGCCGAACGGGCGCAGCCAGCGCGCCTGTCGCTGCGAGCACTTCACCACGGGGCCCGACTGCGGCGAGTGTCTGCCCTTCTACAACGACGTGCCCTGGGCCAGGGCCACCTCCACCGACGCCCACGAGTGCAAACGTAAGTTAACTCAGGCGACGTGGATACGCTTGTTTTAAACATTTTTAATGGCTGTGATGACCAAACCTTTACAACCGTTTATCACGTTCACGACCACCGTTGCATATACCAGTACACGCCATTTACAACGTTTTAAAATATATGATTAATTGACTTATGAATGACAATTATTTTGTCATAATTATGTTACAAATATTAGCGCATTTTAAATGCTTCAAAAAATTAGACTAGTTTTCATCAATTATGAATACGATAATTCTACTTTAAGTCTCAGCCACTAGATGGACAGTGCCCTTTGATCTGTAAATCTGCAAGAGGCAATGTAAACATAATTATATAAGTAGTGGCATAGTTTTAAAAAATTTATCGACACTTTTTGTATGCGATGATACAACTTTAAGCATCCACCGCTAGATGTCGAGTACCTTAAAATCTATACATCTGCAAGTGGTAAAGTCAAAATAATTGTATAAAAGTCAGCTTTTGACTGACTTATGCATGACTGATCAATTATAATTTCGCATTTTCCAAATTTCTTTATTGTACATTTACTCTCTGTACCAAAAATGAGGTAGAAATTAATTGCAAGCACTCACATCTAACGATTACAGAAAACACTTTTTATATAGATGGAATTGCAATGCCGAGACTAACGAGCTTTGAATATATATGCGCGCGGCTCTCTTAGTAGTGGCCGCACCTACGCTGCGCTCACGCTCTCGCTCGTCGCGGTTATATTATAATAGTCTCGTTTTACCTGCGATTCGCGTAACAGTCCCCCACAAAAGCGACGAAACGGCACAAACTCGCGTAGAATATTCCTTGCATTCTCGCGAGTTCTCAATACAATTTACTTGCCCTTTTTTCTGTTGTTGTTGTTGTTGTTGCCGCTACTGTAATGTTACGCGTCGAGTATATAGTTCACCGCTGCTACCTCTGTATTATATGTGCACTTGAGTAATCGCGCGTACGCAGGTGGGGATCCGCGTCGCGTCGTCGCGGCGCGCGCAGGGATCAAAACGTGATTCTTCTCGCGTTTTAGCTCGCAGTGCTCCGTGCGGCTATATGTGTTCGTTATAATGCAGCTCTAGTTGTCGTCGAGTATTCAACCGAGTCGTGTGTGTACGTCGGAGAGCATCATGTGAATCGCATAAAATAAACGCGTATTTTTGCATAAAAAATGATTTTCCATTTCTTAGTGTTCCGATAAAACGTGCTGGCGAAGTGATGGAGATATAAGACGGGAAATGGAGTAACGCCGAAGATCGGAGTGTACCGCAATCGAGCACAGTGAAATTAAAAAAAATAATAGTCCAGAATTTCGCGCGAGATGTATGGTCGCTGGTGTAAATTTTGGATGCTGTACAGTGGCATCGTTATTTTGTATCTGGCGAGCCAAGTTTCGAGCTATCGCCGAGACAGATTTCCAAAGTACACATCGTTAGGTATAGAATGCAATCAAAATATAATTAAATTTTTTTAAAAGCTTCCCAAGCTCGCGCATTATTATATTTCTGTAATACCCAATTTGTATACCATCACACACGATACTTATACAATAGCAGCGCGGCGAGTCGCGACGACGAGCTCGACAAAAACTCGTCCTTGCCGCGCGCGTCCATCAAACCTGTCTGTGGCACACACACACACATTATACTTACACACATGCAATACAAGCGAATCGAAGTTTTATCTATATATATGAAACACGGCTCTGTTTCTGTCGCAGCCTGCAACTGTAACGGCTACTCGGACCGGTGCTACTTCGACAAGGAGCTGTACAAGGCCACGGGCCACGGCGGCCACTGCGTCGACTGCCGGGACAATCGCGACGGCGCCAACTGCGAGCGCTGCCGCGAGAACTTCTACGCCCGGCCCGAGGACGGCTACTGCGTCGCCTGCAACTGCAACGAGATCGGCTCGCGCAGCCTGCAGTGCAACACCGAGGGCAAGTGCCAGTGCAAGCCCGGGGTGACGGGCGACAAGTGCGACCGCTGCGCCGCCAATCACTACGACTTCAGCAGCTTCGGCTGCAGCAGCTGCGAGTGCAGCGAGGCCGGCTCCCTGAACAACGCGCCGAGCTGCGACCCCGTCACCGGCATGTGCATGTGCAAGGACAACGTCGAGGGCAAGCGCTGTCGCGAGTGCCGGCCCGGCTTCTTCAATCTGGCCGTGGACAACGAGTTCGGCTGCACCCCCTGCTTCTGCTACGGGCACTCGTCGCTCTGCAATTCGGCCAGCGGATACTCCAGGGTGAGCGTGGAGAGTACCTTTGTGAGAGGTGCCGAGAAGTGGGCCGCTTCGATCTACGACAGGCCGGCTGCGCTCAACTACGACCCGATCAGTCAGAGTGTCACGGTCTCGGCCAAGGATCGCGACAGTGTCTACTTCCTCGCTCCAGGTACGTTTTCGTTATACAGTCACCATTCATTCTATTCGAGCAAAGTTTGATTATTGTCTTTTTCTCTTCAGAACGTTTCCTGGGTGACCAGCGAGCCTCGTACAATCAGAACTTCAGTTTCAAGCTGCGAGTCAGCGACAACGGAGCCGCTCCCTCGGCTCAAGACGTCGTCTTCGAGGGCGGCAACGGCCAACAGATCATCCAGCCGATATTCGGCCAGAGCAATCCGAATCCATCGACCGACGTGAGTTATTTTTCGATATAAAATGAAAAAAAATCTTATCCACGAGTCGAAACCAATTTTTCTTTTATCCCTTTCACGCAGATGCAAACGTACACGTTCCACCTTCACGAGCATCCGGACTACAAGTGGCAGCCACGTCTGTCGTCGCGCGCCTTCATCTCCATCCTGGCCAACCTCACGGCCATCAAGATCCGCGGCACCTACACGCACCAGGGCAAGGGCCACCTCGACGACGTTCGCCTCGACACGGCCCACCGCGGGGCCGCCGGCGAGCCCGCCGACTGGGTCGAGGTCTGCACCTGTCCCCAGGGCTACGTCGGCCAGTTCTGCGAGTCCTGCGCCCCGGGCTACCATCACGACCCCCCGAACGGCGGCCCCTTCGCACTCTGCGTTCCGTGCAACTGCAACGGTCACGCGGACATCTGCGAGGCCGAGACCGGCCAGTGCATCTGTCAGCACAACACCGCCGGCAGCAACTGCGAGCACTGCGCCCGCGGCTTCTACGGACAGCCTCTGAAAGGAACGCCCGACGACTGCCAGGCCTGTCCGTGTCCCGACAATGGACCCTGCGTAATCAGGGGCAACGACCTCGAGCCCACCTGTACCGAGTGCCCGGTGGGCCGCACCGGCTCGCGCTGTCAGTACTGCAGCGACGGCTACTACGGCAATCCCGAGCAGGGCGTGGCCTGCCGACGCTGCGAGTGCAACGGCAACGTCGACCTCAACGCCGTGGGCAACTGCAATCGCGAGACCGGCGAGTGCCTCAAGTGCGTCAACAACACCGCGGGCTTCCACTGCGAGGAGTGCTTGGCCGGCTACTACGGCGACGCCCTGTCCGAGCAGAGGGAGGACGGCTGCCGGCTCTGCCAGTGCTATCCCGCGGGCACCAAGGAGACGGCCGAGGGCGGAGTGGCGCCCTGCGACCAGCTGACCGGCCACTGCTTCTGCAAGCCCCACGTGGTCGGGCGCAACTGCGACAAGTGCGAGGACGGCTACTTCAACATCAAGAGCGGCGAGGGCTGCGCCGCCTGCAACTGCCACCTCGAGGGCTCGCACAATCGCACCTGCGACGCCCTCACCGGCCAGTGCGAGTGTCGGCCCGGCATAGTCGGCCTGCGCTGCGACTCCTGTCTGCCCTACAGGTACGGCTTCGGCCGCGAGGGATGCAAGACCTGCGACTGCGACGAGATCGGCTCGGAGAATCTTCAGTGCGACGCCAACGGACAGTGTCCGGTAAGATTCATCCTATATAATATACCTCGATGAAAATTCCTAACGAGTTCGCCCCCGCCAAGATCTTGCGTAAAATCTTGCACGATATGAACTTACATTTGAGAATAGACCTTGTAAGTGGACCAGGCACCGTTGACAGAAACTGTCGAGTAACTTTGCATGGAATTTTCATTGAAAATCAATGTATGAGTAAAGATTTATTTTGCATCCACGTCGAGGAATTTTTCACATTAACTGCACAAAAAATGCACGAAAATGCGATCATTTTCATACAATTTGATCGAAGGGCATTGAAATCCTTACTCACAATTCAACATTTTGATTCAAAATTAATGGTCATTGCGTTATTTGCTTTCAAAATTTATGAAAATTTGATCATAATTAAAGCTGGCCTCCACCACTACAGGGCGATTACCTTTATTTGTAAATCTGCAAGTGGCAAAGTCAAAATAATTTTATAACTTAAAGCACGGTTTTAAAAAGATTACTGACTTTTCGGTATTTTTTCATCTTGGCATAATTGTAAAAATTTAAATTACTTTTCGCTAAACTTCAAATACGATGATACCACTTTAAGCCTCCAACGCCAGATGGTGAGTACTTTCAATTATAAAGCTGCAAGTGGAAGTCCAAGCCAAGTTTTAAAATAAATCAGGTTTTTTTTCCAATAATTAATTCCTTTTTTTTTAACATACATCTGTTTTGTCGCCGACAGTGTCTACCGAACGTCGAGGGCCGCACTTGCGACCGCTGCAAGGAGAACAAGCACAATCGCCAGTACGGTTGCATCGACTGTCCGCCCTGCTACGACCTCGTCCAGGAAGCCGTGAACGAGCATCGCTACCGACTGGGCGAGCTCGACGATACGCTGCGCAAGATCAAGAGCAATCCCACCGTGATCAACGAGGAGGGCTTCAAGCAGAAGCTCCAGGCCGTCCAGCAGCGAGTTCGCGACCTCGTCGAGTCGGCCAAGGCCGGCTACAGCGGCGACAAGAAGACCCTGGTCGAGCAGATGGACGATCTGCGCGATCAGCTGGCCAGCATACACAACACCATACAGGGCGTGGACCAGACCGCTCTGGACGCCAAGAAGACGGCCTCGCAGGCCGAGATGAGCATCGACGAGGCCGAGAAGATCTTCGACAAGCTCCGGGAGCAGATACAGGAGGCGCAGGATTACCTCGAGACCGAAGGCAATAGCGCGCTCGAGGATGCGAGGAGACGGGCCGAGCAGGTCGGACAGCAGAACCAGCAGATGACGCAGATCGCTCAGGAGGCCAGAACCGTGGCCGATTCGTAAGTTTTTTTTCCTTTTTTGTTCAAGTGAGGCAAACGAGTCAAATGCAAAGTCAAGAGTGTAAGATCGACAACTGTGCGCCAGTTGCGTGCCCAACATTTTTGTTTTTCATCACAGCTTGTAGAAATGTCGATTATTAGATGACAAACCTGCCGGATAGAATGTCTCTTTCCTGAAAAGACTCTCGTACTTAATAGCTCAAGTGATTATCGTGATTCAGAATCACTTGATCCGACTAAAAGTAACAACGAATAAGGTATACAATCGCGAATGTACAATAACAAATGAACAGAACGTAAACGGCATATGAAAATATAGAGATACCATAAATTCGAAAATAAAAAAGAACATTTATTTTTCGTAATACTTATAATAATTACGACAGAATTTTAAAATAAGTATATGACCATCAATTGAATTATTATTGATAATTATTTGGTCATAATTATGTTATAAGTACTTAGCACATTTTAAATGACCCGAAGAAAGTAATTCAATTGTTTCAAAAAATTTAGATCAGTTTTTAACCTCTTAACCCATTAGCGCCCAGACGGACACTTTTTTTAACTGAACTTCAGGCAAATATCTTTAGCATTCCTAATTTTAATAAAAATTAACGAGTGCATGTTTGTAACGGAAAATTTAATGCTCTTTTCGATATTATGGATATTGGGCTTTTCAGTTTACATCCCGTGGATACCTTTAATGTGCTCGGGACCTATGTATCAAGCTTATTTCTGTTTTAAAATTCGAGTTGAAAACGATTTTTTTTTTCAATTCGTGCTTTTTTTGTTTAATTGTTCATAGCTTTTGAACAATAATTTTAAGATTAATTTTGAAGCCATATTCGAAAAGGGCATTAAATTTTCCGTTAGAAACATGCACTCGTTAATTTTTAGTAAAATTCGGAATGCTAAAGATATTTGCCTGAAGTTCAGTTAAAAAACCGCTGCCAATGTATTGGCAAGTAGCTTCCTCATTTCCTTTTAAACTCCTTCCTTTTTAACTTGAAAATAATTTGGAAATATTAATATCATATTTTTAATTTGTTCACAAAACAGTTTCAATCATACTACCACTATGAATAATAGTATACAGGCCTATGCCGCGAAAAAAGAAAGCCCCAGAGCACGTGATTATCGGCCTCGGCTTCGCCTCGGACACTAATTACACGTACTCTAGGACTTTTTTGTTTTTCACGGCCTAGGGCAGTAATATACTATTAGAAATATTAAAATCATCTTTTCTAAATTGTCTACAAAACAGTTTTAATCATAAATTATTTCTAAACCAAACGATACAAAAAAGAAAAAAAAATTTTTCCCGAAAAAAAATTTTTTTTGTTCGTTTATCGCTAAATCAAATTTTCTGGCTTCATCCTTAATCGATCAATAAACAATGTTTAGACACATCATACATTTTGAACACGAAACAACACAAAACTAAGAAAAAAGAAAAAATCATAAAAACCAAATTTCATTTTCAAATCGTAACTTTTCAAACTTACAATTAAACTTTACACTTTTTATCTTAAATCAAAGGTTAAATGCTCTTCCTTAAAAAAAGTATTACTTTTATTAAAAAAACCTGTTTGTTTTAGAACAAATATGAAAAAACTAAAAAAAAAAATGAAGAAAAAATTTTTTTTTTCGAAAATCCCTCATAACTTTTTAAATACTTAACGCAGAACTAAAAATGATGTTTTGGCTTCTTCCTTACATCAAAACGAGTAAAATGAGACATCTACCGTAACGATACGAACTACCGTCATCGAGATATCACTGCGCACATCCCAACACAATCTGAAAACAACACAATCCCAAAAAATCTGAAAAAATTCAAGGTGGTTTGGATTGTTGAAAAGTATTTTTGTGAATTTTTTCAGATTTTTTAATTGCTTCATGTCCTCAGAAAAAATATAGATCGAAAATGGACGTTTATACCGGAAGTGGGGGGTAGGAGGGGGGAGGGGGTCTAAAAATTTTTTTTTGGGACCTTTTTACCGTGTACTATAACATACCAAAAGCGCGTCAAGATCGGTGACATACGTGCGCACGGTTTTGTAAAAAAGTATTATTTTGACCCATATATAAAAGTACTCTACGATTATTAGTTATGAAAGTCGAAAATCTCAAAGCTTCCTCTATGAGGAAGCAAAAAGTGTCCGTCTGGGCACTAATGGGTTAAACACGCTAATTGAAGCCTCTACCGCTAGATGGCGAGTAACTCAATCTATAAGTCTGCAAGTGGCAAAGTAAACATAATTGTACAAGCCAAAACTCTGAATATTAATTGATTGTAGTTAATTTTTTAAGTCTTTCTTTTTCCTTGAAAAAAGTATCTTCCTAAACCAATGAAATCATTACCGTTATGTACGATAGCGAATTACGAACGATCTAAAATCGAAAATAAATTTTGTTACGGGCGAGCGTAGTGTACTCTCGAGAACTCGTCGATTTCAACTCTGCGGCTGTTACTACTTACTGAGCTGTAGGTCTCGTAATTGAGCTTCAAATACGACCCAGCCAGGATGCCGCTCGACACGGACGATCTCAGAATCATGAATAAGATCAACTTTCGAGCTCCGTTCGGGAGTTTGTACCACCCACTGGCGTAACTTGAAACACAAAAAAGATTATAAGTGTGTAAATTAAATGAGAAATAAAAATGATAATCTGGACGGCCTACGCCTTATAAAAAATCTCGTCGCTTGCGTTGGTCACCACTTGGCCAAAGAAGCACAAAACGAATCCCGTCATCAGGGCGCTACCGGCTGCTGTGCCCATTTTCAGGCAATGCTCGGGATTATTATCGAACTGATAGACAACCTGTCGATATGGAAAATAAATTAATTTTCATACCAGCGGCCCGAAGTTGATTACTTCCCTGCCGTTACGCAAAGCGGGAAGAGTGATTTTCGGACCACTGTGTATAAAAAATAGTATACAGGTCTCTGCCGCAAAATAAGAAAGCCCCAGAACACGTGCTTATCGGCCTCGGCTTCGCCTCGACCACTAATTACACGTACTCTGGGACTTTTCTGTTTTTCACGGCCTAGGGCAGTAATATACTATTTTCCTTTTCTGTAATTGTATGGACCGTGCATTTTTATCGAATCGAACCATGGTGCCAGAGATGGTGAGATCGAATAAGGCATTGCCCAAGGCAATGAACAATATATTTCCACTTAAGGCTGCGATTTGGTCCAATACTCTGAAAAAATAAAGACACAAATGAATTCGAATGAAAAATGAATTTTGGTCGACAATTTATACTCGTAACACGACGCGTGATCCTTGATTAGCTCCTTGATATGCCTGTAAAGCAAATCTTGATTGCACTCGACGGAAAATTGGTCTACTCTATCGTCGTTGAGTCGTTTGTACAGCTTATCCAGTCGACATCTGACGCATAAAAAAGAGAGCGGTGATAATGACAGATCATCCACAAAAAAGTTTCTTCCCATATTATACCGGATGACTTTGAACTTGACGACGAGGAAAATGACGGCGAACAAGAGAGAGCTGGAGCAGGCGTTAATGCAGAGAGCCATGGCCGTGCCAAAGTTCAGTATAAGAAAAAGAAAGGGCAAAATATGGTCCCGAGGCTCGAATCCCAAGTAGGCCTGGGTGATAACGATCGGCTCGAAGCTGGTGTTGCCCGGCACGACGTAATTCAGCAGAAGCGGCACCACCACCGGGTAGATTATTGCGCTAGGTATCATGACCATGTACATACCTGCAGGACGAAAACGAAAAATGAAAAAATGTGTGTTTAACTGTTCATGCAGAGCACTCCGCGTGTTCGATCACTCCCAAAGTGCTTGTGTTTGTAAGCATTGATGCCCTGAAGAAGTTTACGCTACCCTGGTGCTAAAACTCAATTGGTACCCTCTGAAAATTACGATAGGTGGCCAAAAACACTACTCGCCAGAAAACTCAAAAGAAAAAAAATGTTAACACCTAAAATATACGAAAAAAGTTCCCGGAAACAGCTGTGTCTCAGTGAAAAATCAAAATTTTGGGAATTCGAAAATCGCAATTAAAGAGGGAGGAAAGATCCTATTTAAAAATTAAATAAAAAAATTTTGAATTTAAGGTGTGCATAAGCCGTTAATAGTTTAGCATTCACTTGAAATTATAACATTTTGATATCATTATTTCGAAAAAGGCGATTTTCTGATCTTCTGGAGCAAAAAAATATAGCTAAATATAAAATATATATCAAAATTGTTTCGTTAAATCATGTTTCAAAAGTTTAATCGCAATTTTAGCCAAAATGACATGAGTATATGGTACCTAGGTATAGCATGGCTAGCTTATAGTAGAAATTGGCGAATTCCAAGAACACGTCGGCTTCCTCAGAGCGCAGCATCCTTCGACAATCAGCCACCGCGAAGTCGAGAAAACTCTTGAATTTCTTCAACTTCGGCTGGTAGAGCAGGTAGAGAGTAACGACGGATAGCGCTATGGACGTCTCGAATATCGAGTCGATCACCGCCTCCAAGCTCATCCTCTCGTTTTTACAGTACAAGCGATACAAACCCACGAACTTCGCGGCAGAGACGAGTCTTAAAGATATGATATTGCATTGTTATGCATACGGTGAAAAAACTCACTTCCGCGCCGGCCCAGAAGGTGAAGACAATCAAGAACCACATCTTCATCAGCGATTTTACGCAGGTACTTTGGCCCAGCCAGAAGCCCGCGACTTCCATGTACTTTTTGAAGCCGTAAAAGTGCTCGTCCAGAAACTTGTTGATTAGTTCGGTCGGGAGGTCGCCTCTCGAGGCCCCCTCGTCAATTTTTCTGTTACGTTCATTGAAAAAATTGTTTTACATTAAGATGAGTGTTTTCGGAAAAGCGCAGCGAACTTAATTTCTCAACTTACATACGAGCCATCGATTAGCCTTGGATTTTATGATTTAATTTCTTCCAATCGGCACGACGAAAAAGAAAATTACGTTGTTTTACGAATGGTTGTAGTAATTCATCCACATACCCCCTTCATATAATTTTCATGGTTATCGTTTAGATGAAACGCGAAGCAGCTAAGAAACTTTGAATTACACGTTACAACTTTCTGACTAAAATTTATTCAACACTGCTGAATGATCACGATGACAATGCAAATCTTAATTGACGTTCCTTTCATTATACTTACCTATCCGATGCGATATTAATACATGTGAAAATCTGGAAATGTAATAATTAACATTATATGAGATGACCAAAATATAAACAAAATAAAGATCAATTTTTAAAATGAATCGTGTTTCTTGATATTCTAATATCTAATTTTTTCAATTTTTCGCAGAAACATCAAGGAAGCCGAAAAGTTGCGCATCGTCGCCGAGCAGGCGAAGAACACGTCACTCGAGGCCTACAACCTGGCTAAAAAAGCCATCGCCCGCTACACCAACATCAGCGACGAGATCCGCTTCCTGGAGAACAAACTGATGGCCCTGGATGATCGCTACGCCGACGTGCAGAAGCAGACGCAGACCGCGGTGGCCAAGTCCGACGTCGTGTCCAAGGAGGCCCTGGGCATGCTCATACTCGGCTTCTCGCTGCCCCAGATCAATCTCACGGAGATGCAGCAGCGCGTCGAAACGGTCAGCAAGGAGGCCGCGACGATCAAGGAACAGGCCAGACTGCTGCTCGAGGAGAACACCGAGCTCATACAGGCTATCGAGGAGAAGGTGAGGACGAGCGAGCAGCTGGTCGACAGGGCCGAGGACCAGCAGGGAATCACGGCAGACATGCTCGTGGAGGTCGACGAGGCCCACGCCATGGCCAAGAACGCCGTGAATCGCGGCAGCCAGACCCTGAAGGAAGCTCAGGACACCCTGACGAAATTGAGCGGCTTCGACGCCGAGGTGCAGGCGGCCCGGGCCAAGGCTCAGGACGCCATGCAGGACATCGACAAGATACTGGGGATGATCGAAGACGCGCGTCACAAGTCGGCAGCCATCAATCAGGTGCTCGACGGCTCGGAGCAGAACGCCAATAGGGCCCGCCACGTGGCACAGGAGGCCCAGGCGAACGCCAACAACGCCAGCGCCATGGCCAACGACATCAGGATCGAGGCGAACAAGACCAAGGCCGAGGTGATCAAGTTGGGTCTGGAGGCCGACAAGCTGCATCTAAGGGTCAACACCACCGACGGAATGATCAGACAGTTCGAGGACAAGATTCGCAAGGACGCCGTCATTACCGAGCAGGTTCGAATTGCTTTTAAAAAGATATATTCCTGGTATAGAAATATTGGATATTAATGATGGGCCTATGATGATAAAAAATTGACCATTTCAAATGTTATAACCCGCAAGACTGTTAATAAGCCCTTTTTAAATGATCAGAAGAGTCAATTTAATTGTGTTAAAAAATTTACATCAACTTTCAATCACTTCAAATAAGGCCACTTTGCGTCTTCACCAATAGATGGCGAGTACCTTTATTTGTAAATCTGCAAGAGGCAAAGTCAAAAAAAGTGTATATGAGTCAAAGTACGATCTAGAAGAAAGACCACGAAATTCTGATCTTAACGTGAATTTTATCTTGACAGGTGAAACGAAAAGTTGGACAGACAAAGTCGAACGTGACGAGTGCCTCGCAACAAATCAAGAAGGCTCTCGACGACATCGCCGAGATCACGAGGGAGCTCGAGGCTCTTCCTGAAATCAGTGAGTATATTCTCTAACGATTACTCGCGAAAAAAAACGAAAACTAAATTTTATTCGCTTCCTTCTATCAGGCAACGAAGATCTCGACCGTCTCGAGGGTAGCCTGCGCAAGGCCGAGTCCGAGATCCACGCGGCCGATCTGGATCAGCGCATACGCTCACTGACCGAGGCCAAGAACCTGCAGACACAGTGGGTGAAGAATTACGAGGAGGAGGTGCGCAAGCTCGGCAACGAGGTCGCCAACATCGTCGAGATGCGCAAGGTCCTGCCCTCGGAGTGCTTCAAGAACGTCAATCTTGAACCCTAAGAAGTGCGCGGGGAGAGACCACCCATTTTATCATCACACATACCCACACAGACACGCCTGAAAAAACGACCACCCCCGCGCGTATGAAAGAGTAATTGTGCCATTCGATACTTAACAAACAAAAAGTTTTGCGTATGCTGTAATACACCGACCGAGCGCGTGCGGTCTTCTTCTTATTCTTTTTCCTCTTCTTATGCTTTACTTCCTTTCGAGTGAAACGAGAAGATCGTTGCAAGAAAAACTATTTGATCTGAACTTGGAACAAATTATTCATATATACTTTAATAAAAAAAACCTATCGCGTTATTTAAAAGTTTTAACTTGAGTTTTGTCACATTTTATTACACTGCAAAACTTTAAAAACTTTAGATACTACATAACAGGGAGACCTCCACTGCCCCGTTTCAAGACTACTGAGGACTCTTACGCCAAAAGTCGTAAAGAGTACAAGGCCGGACGCATCATGACAATCAACTGACGTGCATTAGACTTTAAAAAATGTATTCATTTTGAACTCGCATGTAATAATTAATAAACGGTTGTCAGTGCTGCTATTTCCTTGCTATAAGAGTGGCTAGAGTTTTTAAAGTTTTATGGTAAACATGTAATTTTATATATTTATAGTTAAGACGTAACGCATATAATTTAATAGAGCATATAAAAATACTGTAATAGATCACTGAAAACAAAAAAACAACTGAATTTTACAAGAAAAACACATGTTTATATAAAATATTTCACACGATATAATGATGAGTATAAATGAGTCGGAGAATGCCCAATTTATCAACAGTGCGATGCATAATGTAAATCTTAAGCAAATCACATTAACGATGCCATTTTTTTAATACTTATGGAGTGTTACAATAATTTAGTCGAAAGTTTCTTCTCTCTCTTTTTTTATATGTTATGTTATGTATAAAAAATACACTCAGCCCTAAAGGCACCTTTGAAAGTCTCGAGCTTTTAACACTTTTCAACATGTTTTTTTCCCTCTTTTTGTACACGATCAGGTGCAATTTAAACAATTGCAATACTTTAAGTATCATATACCAAAGATCTTTCTCCCTTTTCTATATGATTTAAATAAAAAATATTTATAAAAAAATAATTAAAATAGAAGAATTATTCTCTATTGATGCATTTCTATACCGGACCAATTTTCTATATTCTGTTAATTCAAAATAATATGTTATATTTATCATGCGAAAAATTCATATATAATCGTTAAGCTCTATGATGCGTATCAAATTTCTTCCTCATACGTTTGTACTTTTATAAAAATAATAAGATTCATTTTAATTTACGCTAGTTTACATAGTACAAAGATGTAAGAACAAAAAAAATTTGAAAAAAATAAAAAAACATATAATGAACATTTAATCATTTAATAAATTTTATTTATACAATTAAGCTGCGAATAATTATCTTTAACACTATGATAATGAAGAAAAAATTAAAGCAAAAATCACGAGCATAATTTGTAAAACTAGTTCCATGTAGTTTAGTTAATCAATAGTCAACCTGGCTGTGGACAACGAGTTCGGCTACACGCCCTGCTTCTATATTACGGCCACTAGTCGCTCTGTAACTCCCCCAGTGGATAGTTGCGTGTCCTTAATTTTTGTTTTTCTCTGAAAAGGCTTGATCGTAATTTATAGTTCAAGTTATTATCGTGACTCAAAAGCGTCCGATCAAGTCGGCTTAAAGTAACAATCAATGAGATGTATAATCATGATTAACGAAAAACGATAATGGGAAAAAATAATTCAAGGGTTTCAAGTAATTTAAAAAAACATAGATTCCTCGTAATATTTATCATAAGTATTAAAATGTTTTAGGATACATGATCATTAATTGAAGCACATTTAGAATGATTTTAAAATGCCAATTCAATTGTTCAAAAAATGTAGATCAGTTTTCAAACACTTTCAATACGATAACACACTTCAAAGCCTCTACCGCTAGATGGCGAGTACCTACATGTATCTGTGAATCTGCAAGTAGTAATGCAAAAAAATTTGTATAAGTCGAAGCACGCTCTCAATAATTCTCTCTGTATATTCGTCAGCATCGCCGTGGAATGTATACCAAATATGATGCCAATAAAAACTTACAAAACTAAAACAAACTAACTCAGTAAATTCGTGGTTTGTATTGTTTTTTTTAACTAAAAATTGTCTTGCAAAAAAGTACAATGTATCTTCCTAAACCAATGAAATCATTACCGTTATGTACGATAGCGAATTACGAACGATCTAAGAACAAAAAAGACACCTAATTATTGACGAGCGAAGGCTGTTCTTAATTATGCCGCTGTTTTTATATACTCACTGAGCTGTAGGTCTCGTAATTGAGCTTCAAATACGACCCAGCCAGGATGTCGCTCGACACGGACGATCTCAGAATCATGAATAAGATCAACTTTCTAGCTCTGTTCGGCAGTTTGTACCATCCACTGGCGTAACTTGAAACAAACAAGAACACGAGTGAGTGAATTAAATCGAAAAAAGTAATCCGCAGCACATCGCCTACTTACGCCTTGTCGAAAATCTTGTCACTCGCGTCGGTTACCACTTGACCGATGAAGCACAAAGCGAATCCCGACATTAGAGAGCTGCAAGCCGCTGCGCCCATTTTCAGGCAGTGCTCGGGATTATTATCGAACTGATAGACAATCTGTCGATATGGAAAATAAATTAATTTTTCCTTTTCTGTAATTGTATGGACTGTGCATTTTTATCAATTCGAACCATAGTGCCAGAGATGGTGAGATCGAATAAGGCATTGCCCAAGGCAATGAACAATATATTTCCACTCAAGGCTGCGATTTGATCCAATACTCTGAGAAAACAAAGACACAAATGAATTCGAATGAAAAATGAATTTTGGTCGACAATTTATACTCGTAACACGACGCGTGATCCTTGATTAGCTCCTTGATATCCCTGTAAAGCAAATCTTGATTGCACTCGACGGAAAATTGGTCTACTCTATCGTCGTTGAGTCGTTTGTACAGCTTGTCCAGTCGACATCTGACGCATAAAAAAGAGAGCGGTGATAATGACAGATCAACCACAAAAAAGTTTCTTCCCATATTATACCCGATGACTTTGAACTTGACGACGAGGAAAATGATGGCGAACAAGAGGGAGCCGGAACAGGCGTTAACGCAGAGAGCCATAGCCGCGCCAAAGTTCAATACAATAAAAAGAAAGGGCAAAATATGCTCCCGAGGTTCGAATCCCACGTACATCTGGGTGATAATGATAGGCTCGAAGCTGGTGTTGCCCGGCACGACGTAATTCAGCAGAAGCGGCACCACCACAGGGTAGATGATCGCACTGGGTATCATGACCATGTTCATACCTGCAGAACAAGCGTCCAGTTCGACAGAAATACAGAAATATATACGCATTCGTGTGAAGAGCAGTTCCCAAAAAAAATACTCGAAATTCGGGGCTAAAATCTCGATTGAAATTTTGGTCATCCGAGCGTTCTTAATGATGGTTGTTTATTGATATCCGGAAACACGGGAAAAAGTGGAGGTACTGACAATTTTGGTGGACCAAAAATCACCTTTTCATACTACCACAACCAAAACGAAAAAGTTAATTTCTGCTGGGAGATACATGAAAAATAGTATACGCACCTATGAATCGAACAAAGAAAGCCTCATAACAGATTTTTAATAGCCAGTTTTTGCTCCCCAGGCACGTAATATACTACTTCCGTTGAATCCCAATACTTTATCCTTATTTAAAATGAAACGAAACCATTCGAAACTTTTCTCTGATTCTTTTTTTGGCTTTGACTGATTCATCTAATTCGACGCCTTCCTTGGACCTTAACGAGGACCTGGTCTATCCGAATTTAAAAAATCTATCTCTACGTGAAATCAGTATGAATCTCTCGTTCGAAAATTGGAACACGAATTTTCCAGCACCGGAGAAGCGGATAACAGTTTGGAGCACGTTCAAGATACGAATTTTATGGGAAAAATTCAACAGTCAGTTAAGAATTTGATTTTACAAAACACTAGTTTATCCCAACTAAACATAACTGATTCGTACTTCATCGTGGAATTGGATTTGTCCAACAATAATTTCAGTGATGTACTTAATACTTCGCACGATACGAGGAAAAATTTGAATCTTATTTAAGATTAGGTACGTTGTCTAGTCTTTTAAAATTGAATCTGTCCAATTGTCGAGTTCGTAGCATACATGAAGGATCATTCAAAAGCGTTTACTACGTAGAAGAATTGGATGTGTCGAATAATAAAATAAGTTTTTTAGACGGCGAGTTACTGCATAATTTTAGGAAGTTGATCTGAGCAATAACCCTTCTTTGCTGCAATTGAATTTTCTCCAGCAGATTCCGAATCTCAACACGCTGGCGTTGGAGAACATGTCCAATCGAAAATTGGTAAAAATTCTGGAGACTCCTTGGACTTCTCGATGGTCGACTGGAAATTGCAAATGCTCTCTCTGAAAAATAACAGTTTGACGAAACTCCCGATGAAATTCATGAATCAATCGCCTCACTTGGAGATAGCCGATCTGAGCAACAATCAACTGTAAGATATAGAACATTGGAAGTATTTCCACGAGCTTACAAAATTGAATATTTGCAGTAACTTCATCGCGAATTTCAATTATTCACCCTTGGATTAGGGCACAAGTTGGATGAATTATACGTGGGTGACAATCCTGCGAAAGAGGACGAAATGCAAGATTTGACCAAGCAACTTTACTCTGAACTGGGAGTAAAAGTGAACGTGAACTTTTTATTGAGCCTTTTGTAAGAATTTTGTTTTTATAATAAAGTATAATTTTTCATGACTTAAAAAAATAAAAAAACGAGTTTGACTTATTATTTGTATAATTTTCAGATAGGTGACGAATATTAGATAAAGCTTAGACAATGAATCATTGGGTTATTCTCGGTCATCGCATCGTAAAATTGATCTGCACTTCAGATCGACAATTAATGATGTTAAAATGTATATCATAAAGATCCATCATTATCAGATTAGGTGATATACCAATCTCTTATGCGGCTGACTGTATTTGTCAAGTGCATGAGAGTTCGTCGTCTTTGCAAATAATCGTCTTGCACGACTATGAGGAGCGCAAATAAACGGAATCGTTTATGTCGTGTTCAAGAATGTATATACGAACCGAGGTAGATCATGGCTATCTTGTAATAGAAATTGGCGAATTCCAAGAACACGTCGGCTTCCTCAGAGCGCAGCATCCTTTGACAATCAGCCACCGCGAAGTCGAGAAAACTCTTGAATTTCTTCAACTTCGGCTGGTAGAGCAGGTAGAGAGTACCGACGGATAGCACCACGGACGTCTCGAATATCGAGTCGGACACCGTCTCCACACTCATCCTCTCGTTTTTCCGGTACAAGCGATAAAAACCCACGAACTGCCATAACGACAATGAAAATTTAATATATTATGTTATGCGTGGCAGATAAACTTACTTCCAAGCCGGCCGAGATGGTGAGGACGCTCAAGAACCATATCTTCATCAGCGATTTTACGCAGGTACTTTGGCCCTGCCAGAAGCCCGCGACTTCCATGTACTTTTTGAAGCCGTAAAAGTGCTCGTCCAGAAACTTGTTGATTAGTTTCATCGGGAGACCTGCACCCCGCGAGGCCTCCTTTTAATCGCACAGTTTTTTTCATTTTCTTCGTACGACGAAAAAGAAAATTACGTAGTTTTACAAGGAGCAATAACTCACCTCCTCATCGATATGCTGACTCGATGCAATTTTCATGATTGTGGTTTGATGATACTTGAAGCATCAGATGAAACTTCGAATTACCTTTTATTGACTTTCCGAATAAAATTCATTTATCGCTGTTGAATGATCACGATTACCGATTTTGATTAATGCATCTTTTATACTAATAAGTGATACGAGTAAAATACTGAAAATTCGAATTTTAATAACTAGTGGTACACGAGAAGACCCGAATATAAAAAAAAATTAATAATAATACATTTTTAAAACCAATCGTACTCTTTAAGAGCTTACATACACCTTAAATTCAAAATTTTTTTTATTCAATTGTTGAATAGGATTTTTTCTCCCCTTCCCATTGCATTTTTCAAAATTCTAAAATTTTGATTTTGCACTGAGACACAGCTGTTTCTGTGAGCTTTTTTCGTATACTTTACGTGTTAAAATTTTTTTTCTTTTGCGTTTTCTGGCGAGTAGTGTTTTTGGTCACCTCATGGCCACTACTACGGCTGAGACGTCCGAACACTCACATTACTATGCATGAACAGTTAAATACACATTTTTTTTCATTTTTCGTTTTAGCCAAAATTTAAGTCATAAAAGTACGTTTTGAGAATGATCTATGAGCTCAGTCGTCTCACCCATAGTAGTGGCTATGAGTATTGATGTTCTGAAGAAGTGTACGCGACCCTGGTGCGAAAACTCAATCGGTACCCTCTGAAAGTTACGCGAGGTGACCAAAAACACTACTCGCCAGAAAACGCAAAAGAAGAAAAATTTTAACACGTAAAGTATACGAAAAAAGCTCACGGAAACAGCTGTATCTCTGTGCAAAATCAAAATTTTAGAATTTTGAAAAATGCGGAGAATTTTGAAAAATGGAAAGGGGAGAAAAAATCCTATTCAACAATTGAATAAAAACAATTTTGAATTTAAGGTGTATATAAGCCCTTAATCTACCTACGGGTCAACACCACCGACGGCATGATCAGACAGTTCGAGGAAAAGATTCGCATGGACGCCGTCATTACCGAGCAGGTATGAATTGCTTTTGGAAAAATATATTCCTGGTATAGAAATATTGGATATTAATGATGGGCCTATGATGATAAAAAATTGACCATTTCAACTGTTATAACCCGCAAGACTGTTAATGAGCTCTTTTTAAATGATTAGAAGAGTCAATTTAATTGAGTCAAAAAGTTTACATCAATTTTCAATCACTTCAAATAAGGCTGCCAACATCGTCGAGATGCGCAAGGTCCTGCCCTCGGAGTGCTTCAAGAACGTCAATCTTGAACCCTAAGAAGTGCGCGGGGAGAGACCACCCATTTTATCATCACACATACCCACACAGACACGCCTGTAAAACGACCACCCCCGCGCGTATGAAAGAGTAATTGTGCCATTCGATACTTAACAAACAAAAAGTTTTGCGTATGCTGTAATACACCGACCGAGCGCGTGCGGTCTTCTTATTCTTTTTCCTCTTCTTATGCTTTACTTCCTTTCGAGTGAAACGAGAAGATCGTTGCAAGAAAAACTATTTGATCTGAACTTGGAACAAATTATTCATATATACTTTAATAAAAAAACCTATCGTGTTATTATTTAAAAGTTTTAACTTGAGTTTTGTCACATTTTATTACGCTGAAAAACTTTAAAAACTTTACATAACAGGGAGACGTCCACTACCCCGTTTCAAGACTACTGAGGACTCTTACGCCAAAAGTCGTAAAGAGTACAAGGCCGGACGCGTCGTGACAATCAACTGACGTGCATTAGACTTTAAAAAATGTATTCATTTTGAACTCGCATTCAATAATTAATAAACGATTGTCAGTGCTGCTATTCCTTTGCTATAAGAGTGGCTAGAGTTTTTAAAGTTTTATTGCGTACATGTAACGATCTTGACGCGCTTTTGGTATGTTGTAGTACATGATAAAAAAGTGCCAAAACTAAAAATTTGGACCCCCTTCCCCTCCTACCCCCTCCTTTCCTGTAAACGTTCATTTTCTATCTATATTTATTCTGAAGGCCTGAAGTAATTGAAAAATCTGAAAAAATTTATAAAAATACTTTTCTACAATCCAAACAACCTTGAATTTTTTCAGATTTTTTGAGTGCTTCAGGCCTTCAGAAAAAATCATTGAAAATTTTGAAAATTCATAGACGGCACTACGATGCTATACAAAGCCCGATCTTTTTTTTCATTTATTTTTGGCATCAAAATACATAACCTCAAATTTTTTTAGATTTTTTCAGAGAGGGTTCTGACGTCTAGAGCCGAAAAAAGCCCTTTTTTAACGAAAATAATTTTTTTAGGGCCATGCAAAGTCTTGAAAAATCTGGAAAATTTTTTTCTCGTTTTTTTCATCGAAATCCATTATTTTGAATTTTTTCAAATTTTTTAATCGAGGCGATAGCATCTATGGCTGAATAACGCTTTTTTTTAAGGCAAAAGGTTCCTGGAACTCAGAGGTTCCGGTAAAAATATTTAAAAATATTTTTTTTTAATTCCTTGTCAAATTTTAATAAATTTTGACCGTTTCAAGTTTTTGATTGGAGCTTCCTAGCTCAATCTAGAACATCATAAAGATTAATGCGAAATTCGGAAGACAAAATAAAATAATTTCAATTTTCAATAATTTTTCCTGAAGGCCTGAAGCTCTCAAATAATCTGAAAAAATTCAAGGTTGTTTGGATTGTTGAAAAGTACCTTCATGAATTTTTTCAGATTTTTTAATTAGTTCAGAGCTTCAGAATAAATATAAATACAAAATCGACGTTTATAGCGGGAGTGGGTGTACTATAACACACCAAAATTTCAGAAAAATCCGTGGACCGCGTCCGCAGGGATTTTTTTTTAAATTTTGAACTTGACCCATATATAATCGTTAAACTCTATGTTGCGTATCGAATTTCTTTCTCATACGTTTTTACTTTTATAAAAATAATAAGATTCATTTTAATTTACGCTAGTTTACATAGTACAAAGATGAAAGAACAAAAAACAATTTGAGAAAAAGTAACATCAATATATAAACATCTAATCGTTTAATAAATTTCATTTTTATACTTACGCTGTGACTAATTGTCTAGAACACTATGATAATGAAGAAAAAATTAAAGCAAAAATCACGTGCATAATTTGTAAAACTAGTTCCATGTAGTTTTATTAATCAATACAGTAAATCTACATATCGAGTCAACAAGGTGTATTTATAAATTACATCTCTTCCTTTTACCTTTGCCTAAAGTATATGCATTAGTAACAGTCACCAATGTACATTGCTGAGATACAAAATCACTAAACACACTTTTGAATGCTAATTTAATAGTTTTTTAATGTGTATAATGAGTGTGTGTTTGTGAGTGAGTGTATTATTCTTATTTAATTTTAACAAAAAATTCAGAAAAAATAATTCATTATCAAACATACATACTAACGTACTTTGGCCCTTAAATGTACTTTTGGACAAATGGTCATCGTTCCTGAACAATTGAAATCAAGTACAAACGAAGTCTTTGTTAAGAACGAGAGTGACTTATTTAAGTAGATTCCAAGTTATTCGTGTTCATAGACGGATTGAATTGACTAGAATTGCTAAAAAAATAGTACTTATATTATTTAAGAATTACAAAAATGAACATTTTTACAGTAACTAATGCACTAAAAATATCTTCGGTTACAAGTATACGCGAAGTAATAACTTAAGTAAATGCTGAGTATAAGTTTTGAAAATTTATCCGGAAAAATCGAGAGCAAATAAGACATGGATGCGTTGCGGTTCTCTCTGGCTCTACATTTTTTGACAATTTACTGCCCGCATTATCCTCCGCACGCTTACAAGTACCGCGTAAATATTTTCATAATAACGATCAGTTCGATTACATATTCCGTAAAAATAGATAAAACTTCACAGTAAAATACGCTTGGACTCTGGTGATTTATTTAAGTACACGCTATTAGTAATTTAATGTTACTATAGTAATATAGATTGAGTTTATTGATTTTTTCCCTTGTCTATCGCATCATCGTATTTGATTTTCTGAGATGAAAATAATTTGTTTACTTTGTGTTAATATTTATTATTATTATTTACGTAATAATTGTAAGTGTTCAACACGAGTAAATCGTGCAAACTTTTATAATCACTGCTGCACTCGTTGCTGCTCCCTACCTTCCTTATTTTCTTACTATAATGTATTCGTTTTTTTATGACGTTTGGCATACAATGGACAATTTTTTGGCATGGACACGTTTTTTGTTTTTCCTCATATATATATTTTTCGTATATATATTTTCCCTAAGAAATATACTTTAATCTTAGTATTGATTTACTTTTTATACGCTGCTATTACATCGCTACAACGATCATAACTATTTTTATACTGGATTAACAGTTACGTAGGCGTTTTTATTTTATTTTCTTCTTTTCTCATCTTTGATTCGCAGAAAAGAAAAAAAAAGAGTGAGACAAAAAGAAAGAATCTCTTTTAGGTTTCATTGGATAATCCATAAAAAGTGCGTATTTACTTCAAAAATACATCAACTAATATATATCACCTCTGTGAATGTCCCGTTCGTTATGTCGATTGAAATTTATAATAATTATAATACGCGTATCATATATAGAAATTCGTAATCAGCAATTAACTTATAAACTAATGGACCGAACGCGAAGCACAAATAAACTATATTGCTCCGTTCAATTTTTGTGGTTTTGGTTGTTGTTGTTGTTGTTGTTGTTATGATTTCGTAATTAGAGCTTTTTAAAAATTACTTCACTAAATTCTACCTATGGTAGAGTTACGAGCTAGCTTCAATATAATATTTGAAAAATAAGTCGAAAAAAAGACAAGCTCCTTCAAACGATAGACGGATCTTCATCGCGATAATCGAAAAAAGTCAACAAAATAACGGAAACAAATACAACAATTTACGATCTATCGACTAGAAAACTTATAATAGATGAAAAAATCGTTATAGTAATTTATGAACACATGTATACGCTATATTAATAATGTATAATAAGACTATTCGGTAAATCGTCGCTGCGCTCTATTACACACACATACAATACATCTACATTATCTATATAACGATGAAAATCAATAATCGCTAATAATAATAGATAATTAATTAATCGCCCATTCGCGAAAGCTCATAATGTGTAATACGGTCTATTAATTGCATTAATAGTAGCTATCTAATTAATTTCTATTGCATATGTAAAAACAATTGGTTATGGTGGACGCTATCGAGCAGGGATTCGGAATCTGCCGATTGTAATCGTTGTCGAGCTGCTGCTGCTTGCCGCCGAAGTTGCGCCGATGATGGGGCGGCGTCATGTTGGCCTGCGTCGGGGCCGGCGCGTACTTGTTCTTGTAGTTGCCGTTGCTCAGCTGAAAGACCCGCGCCATCTTGGACATGGTCGTGTCGTACTTGGAGTCCGTGATGATTTCCATCTCGTTGCCGAGATCGTCCAGCATCCTGTAAAGAAATACAATAAAAATAAAAAAAAAAATAGCATAATAATAGATCGCGAAAGTACTCCTGCTGCACAGAGGTACACTCACACTTGTCGCTCGTCCAGATCCTGCGACCCGATCTGCCTCGAGACGGTCTTGAGTATGCCCGTATTGTCGCTCTGCGAGTGCGTGAGCTTCTTCGGCGCGGCCAGCGTCATGCCGGGCAGCCGATAATTCGGATTGCACATGGCGTCCTGCAGACACATCCGGTGCGGGCTGCTCATGTCGTCCTCGCCGGGCTCCGCCGTCTGGAGCTTGCTGTACTTGGCCTGGGCGTGATTGTGACCCTGGGGCGGCGCCTTGATCGGCGTCACCCTACTCGCCGTGTCGTTGTCGTTCGTCGTGCTCTAGAAGAAAAACAAAATAACAATAAAATACTAAGCTGTATCGACTTTTTGGTTTGTCGCCAATAAACCGGATCAAGGCGAACAGACATTGGCGCCGGGCTCTGATTAATACGTTATGTATCGTCCACCCTTGAAAGGTCCCAGGAAATATTCGAATTCCGTAAACGCGTGTGAAAAGTCGCGAATCAAGCATTATATAATATACAGCGAGTATTATGCGGCATTATATTGTACATAATGCGTGAGAAAGGGGAGTCTTTCGCCGTGCGTGCGCGAGAATCGCAACGTCATACACAAATCAAAGCACAAAATTCACGTTCCCCCCTCGTATAATGATTGCGATCGGCGGCACAAATGTGCACTCGTATAAGCCGCAAAAGAGCAAAGAATCGTGTCTCGCGTCGACGTCGTTGTCACTGCTGCAGGTATATATATCTCTATACATATTGGAACATAATCCCCTGCCTATACCGTTGCCAAGCCGAGGGCAAATAAAACGTACGGCCGCTACTAGCGCAGCATCGCATCGCGCGTCGATATTATGTGTGTGTGTGCAGTAACTCTCATCCCCTTACTTTCAGTATCTATATACGTACGGTATATACCTATGTCTACAGCAGCCGGCTTTGTGTCGATTTACTATGTACTGCGCCGCACAGCATCCCCGGCACGTATATACGATAAGTATCATCTTCGCCGCGCCGCCGGACGCCGTTTAGCTACTTTCACCCCTCGGCCGCCGGCGTCTGCAGCGAAAAATGCACACGCCGAACAATGCCAATTTCTCAGGTATCCCACGATCCCCTGACACACGGGTTATTTTTTAAAGGGAGCGCGTATTTGTATACATTTATTTACAGCAGCGGCATCCGCCACTTGGCAATAATAACACATACTGTACTGTACTACACACCTTCTCACGTTAATGGTATAGCGTAATAGATGTCGCTACTGCTCCGCCATTCAAACCGCCGCTCCTGTGCAGTGCACGCGCTACATTTTGCACGGCATCCTATCCGATACCTTTACTACTCACACACAGTCCGTGGCCGGAGCAGCAGCAGCGCGTCCACTACTCGCAGTCGTTCGCAGAGTAGGAGCGAGAGAGAGAGAGAGAGAGAGAGTTAAAAAAAATTCTCTCTTCGCTATACATACTATATACGCAAACTATAGATGTAACGCGCGCGCGGCCGCTCAATTGAGGCAACGCTGGTAATATACCTTGCTGTGTGTGCGATGTGACTGGCTTTAGGTGTGGCACCGTTTTATATACGCGGAGCGCGAAGTGAAGAAGTTTATATTATACACCGGACCAGCAAAATTGCGAGAAGAATAACGCGTGGCGTGGCCACCACACATCACCGCAGAAACTGGCACGCACCAATTTTTCGACGCCGCGTTTATAAATATACAAAGAAAGAAAAAAGAAAAGTGTCTATCTTCGGGAGTGAGTGCTGTGTATCTCTCGCTCTTGCGTAAAATAATATACACGAGAGCCAAAAAAAAAAACGTTACCTCCACACGCGCGTGTGCTAGACGCGCTCGTGAGCTGTGTATGTGATAGAAAAAAGGGGCCATTGCTCGCGGAGCAGATTTTATTGATCAATCGCCTTTACTACGTATATAACGCGCGGCTGGCTGCTACGACTACCATAACCTGCTGCTCCGATAAGTGCAGATAGTTATGATAGGCAATAGTAGTAGTAGTTGTGTGCATTCTGCGAGGCATTAGTCATGGGAGACGTCGCCCCTTCTGCTGCTGCTACTGTCACTGCCGATGCTGCTACTGTTACGCTTGTTTACGCACGATTTTGTCACTGAGATCACTCCAAGACAGTGAAGAAACACAACAGATTTTGACGAGGTCGACCAAGTGTTGTAGTTTAGGCGAGAGCCCAGCGTGACAAAAAACGATGCTCCACGCTAATTCCGTGTGACGCTCTCTTCGTGTGTGTGCGCGTGTTATAATACGGTGTAGTGTGCCCGTGCAGAATTTTTCTCTAAAATTAGCGGCTGCTGCTGCTGTTCTGGAAAATCGTCGTCTCTCAAAAGTCAGTGCAGCGCGACTACGAGATGGCTTCGTTGACGGGTGCATCGCTGATGCTACTTGCATCGGGCCTGCTTTTTTTGGCCACGACCTGTCGGGCTTACGACTACGATTACTGCGGCTATCCGTTGCTCGAGAAGGCCATACTCAAAGCCACGACTTCCGATACGGAGCGAGGAGCCAATAATGCGCGACTCTACGGGCCCAACGTTTGGATGTCGCAAGTGTCCGATTTCGGACAATATCTCACCATTGATCTCAGACAAGTGATGAATATTACTTCCATTGCGACTCAAGGCAGAGCGCATTACAATCAGTTCGTCCAGGAGTACAGTATTAGCTACGGTACCAATGGCCTTGACTACTCTGATTACAAGGATGTAGATGGAAATGTCAAAATGTTCAAGGGAAACAGAGATGGGGATACTGTAAAAATAAACAAGTTTGAAGTGCCTATTATTGCTCAGTGGATCAGGATCAATCCTACTCGCTGGACTGACAGGATTGCCATGAGAGTTGAGCTTTACGGATGCGAATATGATTCTCGCGTCCTCTCTTTCAATGGTACATCCTTGGTAAAATGGGACCTGCTCAGAACTCCTCTGGAAACAGAGAGACATTCTTTGAGATTTCGTTTCAAGACCAACAATGCAGATGGAGTTCTTATGTACTCCAGAGGCTCTCAAGGTGATTTCTTTGCCTTGCAACTTCGTGATAATAGAATGCTACTGAATATTGATCTTGGCTCTGGTGTCAAGACAAGTTTGTCAGTTGGCAGTTTGTTGGATGATAATATGTGGCATGATGTTGTGTTCTCCAGGAATCGCAAAGACATTGCTTTCTCTGTCGACAGAGTCTTAATCAATGGTCGTGTCCAAGGTGAATTCCAGAGGCTTGATTTAAATAGAGCATTTTATATCGGTGGAGTTCCCAACAAACAAGAAGGTTTAGTGGTCAATCAGAATTTCACTGGATGTATTGAAAATTTGTTTTTCAACAGAACAAACATGATCAGAGAACTTCAAGAGCTAGAACTCAATGGTGAAAACTGGCGCTATCAAACAATTCACACTACCTACAGTTGCCCCGAACCACCAATTATTCCTGTCACTTTTCTCACATCGGCATCTTATGCTAAACTCAAAGGCTACGAAGGTATGACATCCTTGAATATTTCTCTGTCCTTCAGGACATACGTAGACCAGGGAATCATCATGTACCACAAGTTCTTCTCTGCTGGACACGTCAAATTGTTCCTGGAGGAAGGAAAGTTGAAAGTTGAAATTTCCAAAAGCAACACCGAGCAGTACGGAATAGGACAGGGAGCCAAAAAGGCCATTCTCGACAACTTCGACGAGATGTTCAACGACGGAAAGTGGCACGAAGTCATTCTCACGCTTGCCAAAAACAGCCTCGTGCTCAACGTTGACGGGCGGCCAATGAAAACAACGCGTCAGATGGAGATCATCACCGGCGCTCACTACTACATCGGTGGCAAGAAAGACAGCAACGAGCGCGGCTTCATCGGCTGCATGCGAGTCATTCAGATCGACGGCAATTACAAGCTGCCGACCGACTGGAAGGACGACGAGTACTGCTGCAAGTCGTCGATCGTGTTCGACGCCTGCCAGATGGTCGATCGCTGCAATCCCAATCCGTGCAAGCATCTGGGCGTGTGCTCGCAGAACAGCGACGAATTCTTCTGCGACTGCTCCAACACCGGCTACTCGGGCGCCGTCTGCCACACCTCGCTGAATCCGCTGTCGTGCGAGGATCATCGCAAGGGGCCCAACTCGAGCAATCAGAAGACCGAGATCAAGATCGACGTGGACGGCAGCGGTCCTCTCAAGCCTTTCCCCGTGACCTGCGAGTTCTTCGCCGACGGCCGGGTGACGACGATCTTGCGCCACAGCAACGAGCACTCGACGCCCGTCGACGGCTTCGAGGAGCCCGGCAGCTTCGTCCAGGACATACACTACGACGCCGACCTCGATCAGATCGAGGCGTTCATCAACAGGTCGCACGTCTGCCGGCAGCGCATCAGCTACTCCTGCAAGCACTCGCGGCTCTTCAACACCCCCGTGGTCCAAAGCGAGAACTTCCAGCCCAACTCCTGGTGGGTGAGTCGTAGCAATCAGAAGATGGACTACTGGGGCGGTGCTCTGCCGGGCTCGCGCAAGTGCGAGTGCGGCATTCTGGGCAACTGCGCCCGACCGGAGAAGTGGTGCAACTGCGACAGCGACCTCGAGGGCTGGTTCGAGGACGCCGGCGACATCACCGAGAAGGATCATCTGCCCGTCAAGCAGCTGAGATTCGGCGACACCGGCACGGCCCTCGACGAGAAGGAGGGCATGTACACGCTCGGGCCGCTGGTCTGCGAGGGCGACGACTTCTCCACCAACGTGGTGACCTTCCGCATCGCCGACGCCACGGTCAATCTGCAGCCCTTCGACATGGGCCACAGCGGTGACATCTACTTCGAGTTCAAGACGACCCAGGACAACGCCGTGATCATTCACAGTCGCGGCCCTACCGACTACATCAAGATCTCCATCATCAGCGGCAATCAGATACACTTCCAGTACCGATCGGGCGGCAGCCCGGTGACGGTGAGCGTGCAGACCTCGGCTAAGCTCGCCGACGACAACTGGCACAGCGTCTCCGTGGAGAGGAATCGCAAGGAGGCCCGAATCGTCATCGACGGCGCCTTCAAGAACGAGGTGCGCGAGCCACCGGGCCCGGTGCGCGGGCTGCACCTCACCTCCGACCTGGTCGTGGGCGCCACCACCGAGTACAGGGACGGCTACGTGGGCTGCATCAGGTCCCTGCTGCTGAACGGCAAGCTGCAGGATCTACGAGGCGCTGCCAGGCGAGGACTGTACGGCGTGAGCGAGGGCTGCGTGGGTCGCTGCGAGAGCAATCCCTGCCTCAACAACGGCACCTGCCACGAGCGCTACGACGGCTACTGGTGCGACTGCAGGTGGACGGCCTTCAAGGGACCCATCTGCGCCGACGAGATCGGTGTAAATCTCCGACAAAACTCCATGATCAAGTACGACTTCTCGGGCAGTTGGCGCTCGACCATCACCGAGAAGATACGAGTCGGCTTCACCACCACCAATCCCAGAGGCTTCCTGCTTGGCCTGTCGTCCAACATCTCCGGCGAGTACATGACTATCATGGTGTCGAACAGCGGATACTTGAGGGTCGTCTTCGACTTCGGCTTCGAGAGGCAAGAAGTCATCTATCCTGGCAAGCACTTTGGTCTCGGCCAGTACCACGATGTGAGAATCAGTCGTAAGAATTCCGGCTCGACATTGGTGATGCAGGTCGACAATTACGAGCCCAAGGAATTCCACTTCAACATCAAGGCGTCGGCCGACGCCCAATTCAACAACATCCAATACATGTACATCGGCAAGAACGAGTCGATGACCGAGGGTTTCACGGGCTGCGTGTCGAGGGTCGAGTTCGACGACATCTACCCGCTCAAGCTGCTCTTCCAGGAGAACGGCCCGGGCAACGTTAAATCGCTGGGCGGCCAACTGACCGAGGACTTCTGCGGCGTAGAACCGATCACCCATCCGCCGGGCATGATGGAGACGAGGCCACCACCGGATCTCGACGAGGACAAAGTGCGCGCCGCCTACAACGAGACCGACACCGCCATACTCGGCAGCGTGCTGGCCATCATTCTGCTGATGCTGGTGATCATGGCCGTGCTGATCGGTCGCTACATGTCGCGTCACAAGGGAGAGTACCTGACGCAGGAGGACAAGGGCGCGGAGATCGCCCTGGACCCGGACTCGGCGGTCGTCAACTCGGCGACCGGGCATCAAGTGCAAAAGCGAAAGGAGTGGTTCATTTGATTTTAGGACGAGGGCAATGCCAATTTTACCAATGCGCTCGCGTTAGATTTCTTTTTATAAATGATTTATTTACCTTCCGCCTGTTTATAGAGAAGCCTATTTTTATCTAATATTGTTTATCTGCGCAGTTAAATGCCCAAAAAAAGGAGACAAGGAGAGCTTTCGAGCGGTATTATAACTAATGAATCTCAAACGTAAAAAACATAAAAAAACGTAGTCTTCTCGTTAGATCGTAATCAAGAGTTAGATAATGTTTTTTTGTTTGTTTTTTAACTATAGAAATGTATTATTTTTATTTGTATACATGTAATGTATAATTTTTATTAATTACGCGAAACTTAGAAAAATATTGTTTTCTCGATTGTGTATGTCAATAGCGAATGGATTTGCGAAGATCTTCGGGATCAAGTCTCTCGACGAAAGTCTCTCGTTGCCTGTTTGCTGTATAAATATGATATAGATATATTTTTTACTCTGCGACTGCAGTTTTACGTCAAAACGAAAAAAAAAACAATTCCGTCCTTTGATAAGACTTTATTTTACATCTGAATGATTAGATGATTGTTTCTCGAGTACTGAGAAAATCGACGTTATTCGTTTATTTTATTTTTTTTATTCAATGTAATGTATGATTTTTTTTTAATAAAAAATGAATTTATTTATAAGAAAAAAATAAACACAACCAAATTATTCACGTGCAAAATGTGATCGATTATTATCATTATTTTGCTTTTTTAACGTAGCACTTTATTATGCGTGTTACGCTAATACGAGAGTGACGAATTATGAGGTCTTCTCTCTCTACTGCACCGAGTTTATAATTCGGTCAATTTGCTCAGTACGAGAGTACATCCGCTTTTTTTCTCATCTGAGAGTTTCAGATTGTAATGAAAGTGAACTTTTGCTTTTTACTGCATTAATTTTGCACACTTTTCGTATATACCGTCAAGCGAGGCAATAAAAGCTTTCGAGCACAACATTCACACACACACACACACACATACACACTGTACACGTTGTTTGAAACGCGACAGAAAAAAAAATCATTCGTTCACGTGCATACCCAATTAAACGCATGAAGTAGTCGACTTTTTACTGTATTATATTTTTCAATAACGAGAGTATGTATAACGGTGGCTATATTACGCAAATATACATGCTAACGAACCAATTGATTTTCGATGGAATATTTTTATATACTCGACTAAAATTATTTCTAATGCTTTTTACATATGTAGTTGATAAAAGTAAACGCGAACCTGTACTAAACCGATAAAGATTAAGGAATTTTTGATACTAACTCTTAAGGTAATTGATAACGAAGTATTAACCCGAGCAATATATTGTTCGCAAAACAAATTATAATATTATATAAATAATGCATAATGTGAAACGTAGTACTGCACGTCGCTCAATCAACTGAAAAGCGACACACCCACCCAATATACACCTTCATATAAAATATAAAATAATATGTTAATAGATCTTTTTCACGCGTTTGCAAGTACCAAAGTTGATTATAAATACGACGACAATGTTATTTGGTCTTTGTAATAACGTTTATAATAATGTTATATGCTACGAAAAATGACAGCGACACGTACCTGTCTGACGGATGGGTCGCGATCTCTGTCCCTGTTTATGTTCATTCTGTCCTTCATGATCTGGAAAAAGAAGAGAGCAATTTTGTACTATATTGTGTAATGTCAAAGGACACGAAACGACGTAATAAATTTGCTATACTATTTTTAAAATAAAAACAAAACATTTGTCGTTATCGTTATTTGTTCGACTTACCTTGAGCTCTTTGCGCGTGTGGTCGATGAACATGCGACGGACGGCTAATTCCTTGTGGTCAGTTTTGAATTTGCTCGGATTCTTCTCGACGATACGTAATTATCGAAGAGAAATGTTAAGGAAACGACGAGGAATTGATAAAGTAAATTGTGCAATGAATAATTTTTCGTTCAGACAACGCTCTATTGTCTGTCTGTCAGTCTCTTTCTCTGGTTTTCTTTTATTTATTTGTGACTTTTTAAAAAGTAAAAACAAAAATAAAAAAGCTCGGTAAATTGATCCCTGTATAATATATTATATACTTTATTAAAAGTTATACATCTCTGCATTGCTCTGCAAATGAAGATTTAATAGTAGCTTTATACTTTCGTTATGATAGTTACTGTATTGTACTCACATATGTTCAAATTGTGTAAATTTTCAGTGGTGCATTTAATTTACTGAGAGTATTATTTTACTCGTTTCAAAACTTGTTTAAAAAATTCGAGAATTTTTTTGGAATCATGATTCATAGCGACGAAATCTTTCAACAAAATGAAGTGGTTTTAAAATTCTTGAAAATTACTAATATGTCTCACATCCCCTGTTTATAAAAACATTATAGGCCACCTTCATGTGGCCATTACAAAAAAAATACGTACAATTAATTGGAAGATCGTTCATTATTCTATGCCTAGTTGTTGCATGCATTTCAAGTGTAAGTAGGAATATTCAAATGGAATATTAACTAATTTTTTAATGAAAATATGTATTCCTAGGGCTTTAAAATTCGAATGGTACTCAAAGAGAACGATTTAATTAGTTTTGCTGTGATCGATAACATCTTTCAATTTGTTGTTTTTACGGCGTTGTTATCTTGTTACATTTTCATAATTTTCAACGATGCTATGGTACATGAATTATATTATAAAAATTATATAATTTTGGACCAATAACACGGGATGCTTCATATTTTTTAAATTATCAAGGTTATGGCAACAACAACAAGATTATTTCAAGGCAATGATGCTGTCGGCCAAAAAAAAATAATAAAAATACTCAATAGAGCAGTAGCTATACAGTGAAATCTCTCTATAGTGGACACCCATAAAACCTGGAAAACTGTCCGCTATTGGGAAGTGTCCGCTATTGGGAAGAATACGAAGCGGGGAAATATGAAAAAAGAAGAACATTTTTTACTATATTTTTTTTTCATCCCCGACGGGAAAAAAATTGTTCGAGAAAGAGTAAACGTAGATATTAAAACTATCAAATTAAATTGTAAAATGTAATAAAATGTCAAAAAATGTAAAGTCACTAACGATTTCGGACAATCAATCCATTAAAAATGCAGCAATACGCAATTTTCTCGCATGTTATTGTTAAAAATGTTGTTTTTGAAATAGGTAATAATTTTTTTTTTTTTTTTGAAGATGAAAGCGAATCAAGCCCAATTATTTTTCAGTATCGGCTATACCATTTTTTGCAAATTGGTCTATAGCTCCAGTAGTTATTCAAATTTTACTCTTACCAGATGATAAACCATTATCAACGATTCTGCCCTTAAAACTCGCATACTTCTTCGATGAAGATAAATATTTTACCTTTATTTTTGCATTTCAGATCATTATTGTATGTATTTGTTTCTTGATATTTGCACTTTTGAATTATCTTCAATGCTTACTAGTAGAACTCATTATTGGAGAGATTCAATGCTTGATGTATGCTAAGTCTTAGTAAATTGCACCATTAATTTATAAGTATATCTCAATTTATACTCTAGATACTACTTGAAACAAAATGGACGTCGAGTACGAGCATCGGAATTGGGTACTTAATTGTACTGCAAGCAATTTCATTTATAGAAAAATCAGAGCAATAAGTCGTCAACATCAAAACTGTATCAAGTTCGTTATTTTTTAAATTAAAATATTTCTAAAAGCAGTATTTTTTAATATCTTTTCTCTTGAAATTCGTAATATGTATTTTAGGCTTTTCAAACAATTTTATTATATGTCAAGTTCCATTAATTTCATTATAGTGTTTGGAATTTCTATTAACCCGTCTGATACCAAGAGACCCTATTTTTGACTTATTTTTCCACGCGTTATTTTTTCATGAAAACGTAGTCAAATTAATGTAGAAATACGATATTTTATGGGATTTTTATCGCTCTTTTCAAATCTGGCGTCAGATTTACGATATATGCAACCGTTTTAAAAATACATTTGTTTAAACAAAAAAAAACGTGGTTTTTGAACATTTTTTCTCAAAATGATCGTTTTTTTCACCACGATTACGCATTCGGATCGGCTTGAAACTCTGGATCTGGTGGCATACAGGCCTAAACTAAAAGTTAGCGGCGTTGGTTCATCCAGATTCAAGATGGCAGCCACCAAAACAGCTGATTGTAGCCGAAAATGTAAAAGAAAGCTTTGGTATTTTTTTATTCGGTAAGAATGGACTCTACGAAAAAATTTTATAAGACAAAAAGTGTTTAGAATTGATAAAAGAATACGTATAAATTTTTTTAGAATTTTTCGGATGATTTTGAAAATTTTTGGATATGGATATTTTATAAAAATTTTCAAAATCATCCGAAAAATTCTGAAAAAATTTACACGCGTTCTTTGATCAATTCTAAGCACTTTTTGTTCTATAACATTTTTTCGTACAGTCTATTTTTATCCAGTAAAAAAATATGCACTACAGGACGCTACTGTACAAGTTATAATGCTTTGGCGTTTTTTTACTCAGTAAGAATGGACTGTACGAAAAAATGTTATAGAACAAAAAGTGCTTAGAATTGATCAAAGAACGCGTGTAAATTTTTTCAGAATTTTTCGGATGATTTTGAAAATTTTTATAAAATATCCATATCCAAAAATTTTCAAAATCATCCGAAAAATTCTAAAAAAATTTATACGTATTCTTTTATCAATTCTAAACACTTTTTGTCTTATAAAATTTTTTCGTAGAGTCCATTCTTACCGAATAAAAAAATACCAAAGCTTTCTTTTACATTTTCGGCTACAATCAGCTGTTTTGGTGGCTGCCATCTTGAATCTGGATGAACCAACGCCGCTAACTTTTAGTTTAGGCCTGTATGCCACCAGATCCAGAGTTTCAAGCCGATCCGAATGCGTAATCGTGGTGAAAAAAACGATCATTTTGAGAAAAAATGTTCAAAAACCACGTTTTTTTTTGTTTAAACAAATGTATTTTTAAAACGGTTGCATATATCGTAAATCTGACGCCAGATTTGAAAAGAGCGATAAAAATCCCATAAAATATTGTATTTCTACATTAATTTGACTACGTTTTCATGAAAAAATAACGCGTGGAAAAATAAGTCAAAAATAGGGTCTCTTGGTATCAGACGGGTTAACATCGTTTTACTTGGTACTTGGGTAAATACTTATTATAACATACTCGAAAAAAACGCGATTATCTAAAAAAACTCGAGTACTCAAAAAAAAAGAGAGTACCCGAAAAAACTCTCTACTTGACTCCTCGAGTTCGAGTAGAGAATTAAGAACGTTTTAATAACGGAATTAAGAATTTTGTAATTAATTTAGTTTGCAATGTTATGGGATTAAAATAAAGCAACAGCTGGGAAAATTTTAATGGCATTTATGGCACATATTATCATAAATATTGCCATATGTGTTCCAAGTCAATTATTAAGTGATTCTACTAGAGATTTTTTTTATGAAAGGTAAATGAGATTTGAAAGTTTTAATTCTTACATTAATTATGGAAGTTAATATTTATAAAAGTTAAAAATTTTATTCAGTTATTGTATCAAATGGTACAATTATCCACCGAAAGTTAGATTGTTTTTATTATTAATAATGACAAGATCAATGAAAGACTTCGTTATAACGTGTGGGCCACTAACCCCTTTGCATATTGAAACCTGCAGTTTGGTAAACTGAATTATTGTCCCTTCAATAATTTCAAGGCTAAATGTAATCAAAATATTTCATTCCACAGATCATCAAAGGATCGGTGTCGTATATTGGAGCTTTCAGATCCGTGTTTGTTGCTTTAAAATGAACCATCCTTTATAATTATTGTAGACGAGTTTTTTCCTCATAAAAATAAACTTATGTAACAAAATTTTTTAGTTGTTGACCATATTATATTGTTATGTCTTTACAAATTGAGCTCGTCATTGTATTGAATGCCAAAGCAATTGACACCTGAGTATTTTCGCACTTTTTTTTTATGGTAGCTTTTTAATATTAAAAAAGCTGCTTTGTTTATAGCAGGCATTCCACATTTTAAAATGAAAAACAGGTTAATTTTTCAGTCAATTTAAGTGTGAGATTTCAAGGTGATAAATAATTGTCAGCCCATCTCCGCTAAGTGATGATGGCTTTTGGATTAATAATAACAACCGAAGCTAATGGTTTTCGATTGGAGACAGTCGGTCTCTGCAGCGAGACAACGGAGTACACTGCAGCACATTTATAACTGTTGGAACCTTTTCTTTAAAATCTCCTCTCTTACAATAGAAAAGAGAAACAATTGCCGTATCCAATTGTATCACCACCAACCCTGCGTCTCCTCCTCCTACAAAAAAAAAAAAGAAAACAAAATAACTTGGCTCGACCCCGTTTCGCCTGTACAGTATAGGCTTACACCCCTCCGCAGCGAAAAGAATATAAACGTATAGCAAACGCGACACAGAAAAAAAAGTATCCACGCCGTGCCGGCTTTCGTTTATTGCGCGCGGGGCGAAATAAAATAAACGAACGATATTATCAAAGAAAACAGGGTCACGCGCGTTTTGCATTATACAGTATACACACAAGCTGCTGCTGCTGCAAGCTCGAGCAGAGAAAGAGAAGAAAAGCTCGAAAAGTTCGAAACAATAACAATGAATTATTCCTCGAGATTGTAGATAAAAAAGGATATAGATCGTATCCTCGAGGTCCTCGAGGTCCCAGTCGATCGATCTCAGGGCGTTCTTGATCTCCGTGTTGGTCCACTCGAGCTCCTCCTGGGCGTTGATGATCATCGGCAGGCCCGTGTTGACCAGGGTCGGCGTGGCGGGCACGCTGAGATTGCCGCAGCGCGACACCACCTGCTTGAGCTCGTCCAGCCGCGTGAACAGGTCGCGCGTCTTGGTCAGCGCCTTGGACACCTCGCTGCAAGCACAGAACACAAAAGCACACGATATAAACGTTTGAAGAATGGTGAGATAAGACGAGAATTATTTATCGTCTCTGGTCCCAAGGGTGAAGAGAGAAAGAGAGGCGTATTATAAACGTGGAAAACATGCAACAGATTCTCGGTCGAGATTAGGATACATTATAGGTGTCGCGCTTACACTGTCAGTCGCGACGTCGCGGGTATATGTACATATATAAACTATATACAAATGCGCATACGTTGGAATAGCATTATCGATGAAAAATAAAGTCGAGCGAAAGATCTGGGCTAAAGGCTAAGAGAGATGCATAATGCAGATCTGTTCGGAAAGCACAGCGATTGGCGCCTATAATAAAATACGAAAAAGCACGCGTACGTAATACGTTACAATTTTACGCTATCTCTCTGGACTATTATTTTTTATTTCGCGAGGTATTAAAAATCGTCAAAGAACAAGAGCAAGTATAAGAAATTGGGCGATCGAGAAAGAGGTCGAAGCAAGATGGAAAGCAGCGTATTAGTACGTGTCTATCCGCGCGGTCGCCTGCAGGGATGTACAATAATATACTCGCTGATTCGGTGAAATTGTAGAAACATTGAGAGAGACAGATGAAGGAAGAAAAAAAAAGTAAAAGGATTTACTTGAAAAGGCGAAAAAAAAAGATAGGAAGAAAGAAGCATGTCGAGATTACGTCAGGACGTTAAAGGAACGAAGTTTAATCTAAATTTAGTCTCGTAATATCTTCTCGCTCGAGCTCGAGAGAGAAATCGTGCGGTCTTCCTTCTACATTACATATATACAGACGACGAAACGAGTTTTACACACGGCGCCTCGCGCGCATGAATCTCTAATAAGACGATCCATACGTACGTCGCTCGCTTTATGCACGAGTGTGTGTGCGTGCACGTAAAAGCGTGCATGAGACACCGGTTATATCCGAAACGCCTCGTATAGCACCTTAAATGCAGTATCAACGCCGCCGAGAGAGACAACTCCGGTATTACATATATATATTGAGTCAAAGCCGGTCTCGGTCAGTGCTGCTGCTGCTGCTGCTGCTGTTGCCGCTGGTTAGTCAGCACTTTGCTGCTCCGGACATAGTGTACTACTACTAAACGTGCTGCACGTATGCATACGATATAAAAATATCATGATCCGATATAAAACGAAATGAAATAAAAAAAAATATGCCGTGCCTTGAATTTTATTCGAAAATCGTTTTTACTTGTATAGAGTTTTGTACCGTGTGAGAGACGGCGCTGTGTCGCGATGCGCGCGCGTGCATACGAGTGACTGTTTATTTCATTATTGGTGCTATATAGTACAGAGAGAGAGAGAGAGAGAGATCTGAGAACGAAATTTAGCGAAGCGCGCGAGGAGTCTCGTGAGAGTAAGCGAATTATTAAATCGAGACGTCAAATACCGTGTGCTGCTGTTGCTGCTGTTGTTGTGTATTGTGTACCACTACTACTGCTGCTGCTACGTGCCCGACTCAAGAGCAGCCGAGATTATTACTTGCTCTGTCTCTGACACGAATGTACGTATTATTATATTATATCCGATGTATACAACGCGTCTATTTACCCTTTGAGTTTTGGTTTACACGAGGCGCAGAGAGCGCGCGAGGAACGTTATATTACGTAGTTTATACGATCCGAGTGTGCGACGAGCAGTTCGATTATAATACCCGACGAGCTCCGTGAGTGTTTGCAAACGTTGAGATAATTATTTAACGTTAATTTAACTTGCCTCGATTTTGTTTCAGAATACGCGATAAGAAACAGCGGCCGATCGTCAACGCGACGATCTCGATATATACTGATTACATACCGATCGATGCATCGCAAGACATTCGCAGGCGCGCGATAAAACAACGATCGATAATACATCGGCAAAATGTTCCTGACCTTCCTCATCGGAGCGGCCATCGTGATGGTCTTGCTCTACTACCTCTACGGCGAGCCAACGCACAGACGTCCACCACCGGGTCCTCGGGGACTGCCGATCGTCGGCAATCTGCTGCAGATCGATCCCGGAGCGCCCCACCTGAGCCTGGCCCAAATCGCCTGGAAGCACGGGCCGGTCTGCTCGCTGCGCATGGGCAGCGTCTACACGGTCCTGGTGACGGATCCGCGCCTCGTCCGTGAGATATTCGCGCGCGACGTCTTCAGCGGTCGCGCGCCCCTCTACCTCACCCACGGCATCATGAAAGGCTACGGCCTCATAGCCGCCGAGGGCGAATTGTGGAAGGAGCAGCGCAAATTCAGCGCCCAGTGCCTCAAGAACTTCGGCATGAGGAAGTCGGAGGGGCTGCGACGCGACAAGATGGAGGGCAAGATCGCGTTGTTCATCGACGAGGCCCTTAAGCAGATGTACGTCAAGTCCGCTTACGAGCCCGAGTTCGATCCGTTCGACGTGCTGCATCACTGCATCGGCAATCTCATGAATCTCATCGTCTTCGGCAAGGTCTACGCCGAGGACGACGAGGACTGGATATTCCTGCAGAAGGCCCAGGAGGAGGGCGTCAAGCTGATCGGCGTCGCGGGACCCCTGAATTTCTTGCCGTTTTTGAGGTAATCGTTCGAGCGCCTTTTCATCTCGCCAACGACAGATCGAATCTTTGTCGTTTTTCGCAGACACGTCCCACCTTTTGACAAGCCCATGCGCACGATCCTCGAGGGCCAGGCCAAGACGCACGAGATCTATCGGGCGATCGTGGCCAAGTATCGCGAGGACGCCAAGAAGGAGGCCACGACGCAGAACGCGCTGGAGCGCGCCATGCAAGCGGACAGCTTCCTCGGCAACTTCTGCGCCCAGCAGAACAGCCTCGAGGCGATGGGCCGGCCCGCGGGCTCGTTCACCGACACCCAGATGATGTATCTGCTCGCCGACATGTTCGGCGCCGGCGTCGACACGACCCTCGCCACTCTGCGCTGGTTCCTCCTGTTCATGGCGGCGAATCCGCTCGAGCAGCAGCAGATACAGGAGCACCTGGACAACGTGGAGACGGCCAGTGCCGAGAGAGTCGAGCTGAGGGATCGGGACCAGCTCATCAGGCTCGAGGCCGCGATCATGGAGACGCAGCGCATGAGGAGCGTCGTGCCCACGGGTATACCCCACGGTACCTTGAGGGTCGGTCGTTTTCCGTATGGATATAATTGTGAAAATAAATCGCGTTGATTATATGTAATATCGTTTCTGATGTAGGACACGAAAATCGGCGATTACCACGTGCCAAAGGGCAGCATGATCATGCCGCTGCAGTGGGCGATACACATGAACCCCGAGTACTGGCCGGAGCCCGAGAAATTCAAGCCCGAGCGATTCATCGCCCCCGACGGAAGCTTGGCCAAGCCCGACGCCTTCCTGCCCTTCCAAGCGGGTACTGATATTTATTTTTTTTCATTCTTTTGGCGGTATATTAAAATTATTTTTTTCATCAATCCCCCCACGCAGGCAAACGAATGTGCGTCGGTGACGAGCTGGCCCGCATGATACTGTTCCTGTTCGCCGGCAACATACTGAAGAGGTACACGCTGAAGCCGCCGAGCGGGGGCAGCATCGATCTGGAGGGCGAGTGCGGCATAACGCTGCTGCCGAAGAGTCAGAAAATCCTGTTCGAGAGACGTGGCAAATTGGATCTCGATAAGAGCCTGAGCGAGTGAAAAAAAAAGCTCCGTGCAGCTTGCGATCTCGCGTAATTACGGGCGCGCGAACGACGACGGCGACGACGAATCCCGCGCGCGCTCGATTTTTATCATTAATTTTTATATCTTGTATTATATACTTATAGATGTAATACATACAGATTTTTATATGTGTATCGTTCTCCTGTAAATATTATATAAGCGTCGATATGTAAATTGTAAAGCATCGAAGAAAAAAAAATATTACGCTAAGATTGACGTACGAATAAATAGTTTCGTATATATACCTATACGTGAATTAATACGAGTGAATCGTTATTTATCATTTTTTTCATCTTTTTACTCTCGTTAGGCAAGGCGATTTTATCGGAATCATAAAAATGCGAAAGACTCGCTCGCTGTGATATTAAAAGGCGAGCTTTGAATTTTCTATATCGCACCTCGCTCATTTAATGAGGAATCTTAATTGGGGCAGTTACCTGACTCGCGCCCACGCACATATACCGTGGATAAGGTGTGCCATGTTATACGTAAGTCTATCGCTTTTCGACTATTATGTGCCGCTATAAAGGTATACGTATAAAAGCTCGCGTGACTCGGCCGATAAGCCAGAGGACTGTTGCGCGGCGCGTCAATTGGCAACGCGCGCGACCTTACCGTATACTACATATAAAAGCTCTCGAAGATATTTTAACAAATTTGCAATTAAAGCAGTGTAGCAGCTCTATCGTCTTTATCGAGTACATCGCGAGAGGCTTGATTAATACACTCACGTGTATTGGACAGTTTATTACGTAGCACCGACGACGACGAGGGCGCGATAATAACAATAATAATAAAACGAGAGCCCGACGCGCTCCACGAGCTCTCTCGAGCCGTGTACCGTGAGTTATTAAGGAGTAACACGCGACGACGACGACGGTGTACATACTACTACTAGTAGCAGCTAGCATGGCCCTGCCCCCCTGCAGCTGCCGGGAAAGCTCTCGTGCTCGCAGCGTAAAGCACGTCTTCGGCAAGCGCGTGTTCTATCGCTAGCTTCTTCTGCTTCTGCTCGAGCTTTTGCAGATCTAGCGGCGGACCGACGCCAGCGACGAGCTAACGAGTTCAATGTCACATCGGGCGCTACGTTGATCCGCGTATATACGTACACAAATACGAACTCAAGAGAGAGAGAGAGAAAGACGGTAATAATGTGTGCTATAAGGTGTCCGAGCGAGCGAGCGAGTGTGTGTGTGTTTGTGTGTATACTATGCTATATAGACAAGCTCAGGTAGTTACCGAGTGTGTATAAGGGACTACGATGAGTATCGACCGTTTTAAAAGCTCGCAAGCTCTCGTTCAATCGTTCTCTCTCTCTCTCTCTCTCTCGCTCGCTACCTCCCACTCTACGACCCGTCTGTCTGTCGCGCGACGAGTTAATGAGAAATTTAGCTATCTGGGCGAGAAAAACAATTATTGCCCTATTCCTGAAAATTGAAAATTTATCGAATGAAGCCGGGGAATGTATCGGCTCGACTGCGCACGGAGCGAGTGAGCTCGCGCGAGCTATTTTTTCTTGCAAAGTTGTTGCGTACACGAGTAACGAATCGATCGCGAGTATGAGCCTCGTAAGTTTTTATTAGGGAGGTAAGGATGTTACTGCGTGCGAAATCCTCCTAATCGCGTGACACGATCGTGCGCGGCTCGTATAAAAACATATATACAAGACACATAAGCTCGGGGGGTCAATGTGTCATAGCCTTAGACCTACATCGATTCGTTCTACAATTACATTTGTCGCAAGCGACGATAAGAAGAGAACTATATGACCACAAGTTGTATTTTTATTTTGTATTTATAGTATCTACATAAAAGCTCGTATAGACATAATTTAATCGTGTGACGATCATGGACAATTTGCTGCTGCTGCACATCTCGTCTCTTCCTTACGTAACGCAAAAAAAATACATGTATATTTATATCGCAAGCTCGGAGCCGATACCTATAACGCGCAGTGAGTGGAGTTCAATTGGATTTCTTGTACACTTATAAAGCTGAAAATATTTTCACCGCCTAGTATAATAGCCTTAGGCAAATTATTTATCGTGCGCCGCGAGCACAGGGGCTTATTATAGTATTATATACAGTGTTGCGCGCGGGACTGGTGTACATATAGTTGTGCTGTGTGTACATTATCGCGTGTACTATATAAAATTTTATATCTATCCCCGGCGCTCGCGAGAGAGAGAAAGACAAAGAGAGAATTCAGGAAGTCGCGCGGGGTGCAGTCCATAAAGTTCATATCCGCAGGCGGTTTACGCGATACACACGAGCTTGCGCACGATCAAATATCGGTTCGGAAGTTTTTTGATTCTTTTATTTTTTTTATACTTTTTTTGTAATCGCGTTGTACGCGGGATGCGTCGAAACGATTTTTCGAGCTAAAGCCCCATCATGAGAGTTGGAATAAATGCGTTTACATTGCAACGGGAAATAGAATACATGCGTAGCGGGTAACGCGAGAAAGAGAAATCGTTCCGACTCGAATTTCTGCGAGTGAAAATGATTAAAAATCGAGCGAAAAGTAATACGAGACTCTCTCGACTTCGTCGAGTTTCGCACGTACATTTTCATTATTAAAAAGCATAAATCACAAAAGATACGGTTTCACCTGCGGCGCGTACACGTACGTCGTCGTCGCAGCTCCGCCCGAGGATGGCTATCGAGGGATTGGCCGCCAATGAACTACTATATTATTCTATGTATGCAGTGGAGAGTACTTAATTACTATGCATAGACAGCGGCAGCCGCCGTCGCCACCGCCACAGTGCAATTGGAAAATTGGAAAAAGAAGCTAGAGAGAATAATAATAATAAAAAAAAAAAAAGGCCACGACGAGAGATGGAAGATAAAAAGTTTGTATGCAGATATCGTACATATGAAAAAAATGGATCGATCGGAATGTCATCTACTCTGCATCCCTCGAGCAATATCCTCCTCTCCCTCTCTCTCCCCAGCTGCAGTTACGGAAAATAGGATGATGGTCGCGATCGCTGCGTTCAAAAGCCCCAGATATTCACGAGACTGTAAATTTTCCCTCAAATATTTCCCAAGAAATTATCCATCGAGAGATCGTAATAGCGCGTGTACACAATGTCAACTCGTTATTGTCTCGAAGGCGCAATCTCGCCGTTGCCGCCGTCGTAGCCGCAGTCGCGGTGCGGGCCGACAAATTACACTTGGCCGAGTATCAACGGAGCTTTTTGTCCTCGCGTACATATAACGCGTGCCGCTACTACTACACGAGCATATTATATACGCGACGATGAACGTCTCGCTCTCAGATATCCGCGCGGCTTATATGTATATGAATGGACTCGTTAGTCTGCGAAGCTCCTCGAGTTACGCACGCGATATGTAACGACGCGCGTTATGGCTTTATGAATGAGCTTTTGTGCGTATCGTATTATCTATATATTGTATACGCTTGTTTGCGCATCAATAGGTCAATGGTGCGTATACAACGACCATAATCGTTAAAAATAATTCATTTTTCAATGCCTCGATAAAACTTTTGCGGCTCGCAATAGCTGCTTACGCATACGAGTCGATCTTATCGCTTCTGTATGCGTGACACAACGATTATCTTTCGCACGACTATTCAGCCGCAACGCTATTCGTGCATTTTATTTATTTATTTACAAGAGGCATTCGATTTTTGTAGCAAATATTTGTTTTCCATGCGTATGCTTGTTGCAAGTGTGTGTGTGTGTGTATACAAACACTCGAATCAGCTGACACGTACGCACTCTTCGTCGTTGAACAAACAGCGGCACAAGAGCCCCAGATGCTGCGCATACGGAAATATCTCGAAAAATGTGTAAAAAAATTTTTAAATAAAATAGTAAAAAAAAAAAAAGAAAAAAAGAAATAATCGACCGAGTTGTAGAGGGAATCAGGTAGTGGGTTAAAGCGGGAGTATATTTCGTATGCATGGCGCATCCCCTATACACTGACTGCGTGAGTCTGGAGTATAGTTATACAATTGTCGCACTAAACTCGAAATGAAAAGGGGGCTGCTGCTGCTGCTGTTGCCGCTGCATATAGAACAGTAGCTACAATTCGTACGAAAAAGGAAGAGAAAAAAGTACATCGATCGCCGCGAGTCTTGAGGGTGAGAGAGAGAGAAAGTTGTAGGATAACTTTCTGCTGCCGTTTCGAAAACAAACACTTGTACATCTCTTATGCACGCCCTGTGGGCTCCTCTCAATTTTTTTTTTCGCTCCCCCTTTAAAGGGCCATCGACGTACGCACGATTAGCCCTCGCTTTGGCGCACGCGTCTCTTTCTCTCTCTCTCTCTCTCTCTCTCTTGCCGTACAGTGCTGTGTATATAATATATTCACAGGAGAGGCACACAGAGAACACAGCAAGTGCAGCTACGTTATACGGACACGCACAGGGACACGCATATATACACACGTAGAGTCAGGCACATCTATGGATACAAGGATGTATAGACGAGGAAAACGAAACACTTACTCCTTGACAACAAAGTAGGGGTCCTCGAGCGTCATGATGATCCTTTGTGTTACGTTGTTATGTGTATAGGCAAGCGCCCAACTGTGCTTCTCTCTATCTCACCACAAACTCACTCTCTCTCTCTCTCTCTATTTTACACTGTATAAACTTGCGAGGGTATAAGAGTGCTCGAGCGCGCCCACGGTTACTCTCGATTTTTACAAAATTTTTAAACATCCGGAAGATTTGCTCATTATTACTATTTTTTTTTCCTCTCGGATTCGTCGCTTATCAACAACTCGTTATCTCGAACGACTCGACGTATGTACACCGAGCACTCGATTCGCCAGTGTCAAAAAGCACTCACTCGACACACAGGCAGTTTTACAATACACATACGCTGGCGATCTTTTCAATATTGCGATAACAAGCTCGCGGAGAGAAAATGCAGTTACGTGTAGCAGCCGTCACCGAGAGGGCCGCTCGTTGCGGACTACTGCTTTTGATAGCGCGCGCGTGCTCCCGACGGCCTCCTCTCTCAGGCTCTCGCTCCCTCTGCTGCTGCTGCTGCTGCTGTTAGCTGCTACTGATGTGTTGCTCGTATAGGGCTTCTGTGCAGCTTGCGCACGATCAAAAGCAGCATACAGCCGAGAGACTCCTCGCGCGCTTGCGTCAACTTTCGCGGATTTTCGCGCGCGTCGGCGACGAGATGCTCAGCAGCAGCAGCAGCAGCAGCAACGTGGTGTGTGCTTGCAGCAGCGGTGGTGGTGGTGGTGGTGGTGGTGTAGGGGCTGTGCGCGAGGGCGGCTATCCAGATTATTGATTTTCTTCTGGCCTGCGGATGTGTGTCGCGGAGAGACAGAGACAGAGAGAACTAGGGAGGGATGGAGGGAGAAGGTGAGCTTTTGCCTCTTTCTCTCACTCGGCATAACGTGACATCTCTTATGTGTGTTGCATTATAGCGCCAAGGCATGTGGGCCACTGTGTAAGTATCCCGGTTATATACACACGTACACGCGTGTATGTTGTACGTTACGTTGTGCTTGCGCGCTATGTATAAATATATGAATATACTCGACTTGCGGGAGCTTCAACGTGCACCAAAACTATGATAAAGCTTTTCGCGCGGCGCGTCAACCGCTTCAAACGTACACGATGGAAAGCTCGACTCGCAGGGATATGTCTTTAAAAAAAAACTAGCTCATTTTTTTTTGTATTATTATTTTCTTTTTAATTCAGTTTTCAATTAATACCAATTTATTTTTATTTTTTTTCCATCTAGATGTCTGCTGCCACTTCGACTAAGTGTTTTTTTGTTCTGTATAAATATACATTATTTGTTTCTTTAAGTACAGAGAAAAGTGATGTTAAAATGTTATTTTAATAATAATAATAATAATAAAGCACTTCTATTACACCAAATCTTATAACAAGTATTAGAAATGTAAAATAAACGATAAATAGTAGGATAAATTTATTTTGTTTTCATTCAAAACAAACTTCGCTTTTTTTTCTTCTTTCTGTGTTTTTTTAAACTCTTTCTCGCTACTTAATTGTTACTTTTTGTCTCGGAACTACGCTGTTTGTCTTCATAAATTACATTACGAAATTATAATATAGTTATAGAACAATCAACAGATAAAATACTCACTAGTACTTTATGTTATAATTTCACAAAATTGTTAACAATCACTTTTATCTACGTTTTTTTTTAATGGAGGGCGGAGGTTTAGAGGTGTGAGTGACACTGATTAGAACAATCCGACGTTTAACTAGATTATTACAAAAGGAACGCAGCCAAAACGATGATGCATTACTTTCATGTACTTAGCAAATTTTTATCAACGTTTATGGTTTTTTTTTCAATTATTCAAAGCTGTTAAAATTTCGTATACCACAATGTGGTAAACGAATCGCTCGTTAATTTTACTATCGAATGAAAAATATTCAATATTTCTTCAACGAATACTTCTAAAACACTCATACAACTAATTTTTTGTCCATATTTACATAATGATTATTCAATTATTTTATCAACAGTGTTCATTGATTTACTTATTTAAAGCTGCACGATAAATATTCTCTTATGTACGAACGAATAGCCAATGCAGCTGCCTTATCATTTATCTTACTTCATCGTTTTGTAAGTTTCTTCAGTTTATAAGACTCTATAATATAAACTACAACCTTGGCTATTTACGATTTGTGTCGAAAATAGTTAAGGCGATATCTTTTATGGTGGTTATAAGGTGGACATTTGGTTTATACTGATTACAGCACGTTATCTATCTCATTTTAAAATCGTAAAACTTACAGTATTCATTATATAGCTTACAGAATATTGAAAGCTTCAGCAGGCGATTCATTGTAGCGAGATTGAAATAAAAATTTTTAGAACATTATATCGATATGGTATCAAATCACTAGTCGTTCGCAGGAAGATTATTAAAATCATACTTTAGGCTCGATTAAAATCATATCAATTTTTGATGAAATTTGGAAACTTTTACAAGCCTTATGGCCTTATATATTTTTTACCGAAGTAGGTGAAAAATTGGCAGTGCACAATTATACATATTGGATTAATTATAACTCAGTTGATTTCACTGTTTTTTTTTCGGGTTGTATAAAAGGTTTTCCGATGTCTTAAATTATATTTTATACAGCTTTGCCATTTTTTTATCGTGCATATAGTTACAATGTGTACGGCAATTATTTCTACAACGAGTAATAAAACTCGCGCGCTTGAAATTATCTACACGTATTTTTTCTATCTAAAGAACGTACTTTGCGAATGGTATTATGCTCGAAGAGAAGATATAAATCAATTCTTTTTTTTCGTATCATTAGCGTAGCGTAACTAAAACTATTTTCACGGCAGAAATAGAAAAATAAAATATTTTTAAACGTTTTTCATATCGTCATCGTCAAAATTCGATTTATTTAACTAGCTATCACGCACGCTCACGCAATCTAACACTCTCTTGTATTCCGTACTGTTTCAAAAACTGTTTAACGTAAAACTATAATAACACGAAACAGTACTTAGCTACCTTATTCACATAGTTTTCTAAAAATTTCAACGAGTTGGTTTCAAACACGTTCGGGGGTTTCGAGGGTCACTTAACCATCAATTGCGATCTCAATAGAGACACGTATTATGGGGCACGCTATAGCCAGATCTACAGTGACTCGGCGGCTTGTCATCGTCGTCGTCGTTCCTATCTCGGTTATAGTAATTGTATCTCGATGCACTGGGCTTCGCGATGCGGATATTTCTTCTGTCCTCTCCATGCATGCGCCTGTCGTCCTCAACGTAATCCTGCAGTCTTTTGCTCAGGCTCATTAATTCGACATCCTCCTGTTCTCGAGCATCCGTGCATTTTTTGTAGAAGAGTATGTAGGGGGTGTCCGGTGGCTCTAGCCGTTTGAAATCCTCGAAAGTCGTCTCCGAAACATAGCTATCATTGAACTTGTACCATTGACTGTCCGCATCGCAGGCGTAGGTGAAGTAGTGGCCATAATCCATGCTGTAGCCCGAATGTACGACCGCAGCATACAGTTTGTAAGAAACGGGGTCTTGGTCAAAGACAGGCAACTGTATGGTTCGATCGTACTGGATTTTATTACGCAATTTTTGGCGCAATCTGGTCTCGGAATTATATCTGCCAAGAAAACGTCCAACTTATTATAACAATCAACTATAATTTTTGTAATATAAAAGAAGATTCAACGTACCTAAAGTGTTTGAGCGTGAGAATGAGATGAGCGGGGGCTTTCAGTACCTTGATGATTCTCGAAGCGTCGCAGAGATTTGCGCATTTGTCGCATCTGTACTTGTTGTCACCCGTAAGCGTTTCGGGCGTCAAGTAGTTGGCGTTGATCAAGCCCTGAACATTGATGTTGTCGGTAAACTTCAGAGAATCAAGGAAACAAAGCTGAAGATCGCGAAAACTGTCGGTGTTGTGGCTCTGATTCTCGCATCGCATACACTGATAGCTGACTCGTAATTCGCCACCGAAGACACGATGAACCAGGTAGTTCGATGAAGAGCCGGGAGAGCTGGCGGAAGACGAAGACGAGGTGCAGTCTTCGCCACCGACCGATTGAATACCGCTGTCGGTCGAGTCCGAGTGCGAATCCGACAATACATTTTGCGTTTGAGCTGATTCTTCGCCTGCGATTGAGGAAGAATAAAGAGTTAATATCGATGTGAAAATAATTATTAATAAGGTGGCCAGTACGCTTCTAAGTTTTGAAATCTGCGTGTTAGCAAGTTTAAAAGACTCAAAAGTCAAATCAACAATACACTATTCAAATTGAACATAAAAATAACCAGAATTATTATATCCTCTTTAACTACTGTTGTCAAATTGCAGTTGATAATAGTAAAATTAAAATCTTTATGTTGACATGCAGATAATTTTACAAAAATTTACAGGCGGGCAACCTTTATAAAAATCAGATAAGGATCGAGTTTTCCTTTTCAAAAATACACCTTCGCTCAAGTTTTCTTCCGTAGTCCACTTGGTCATACTCGAAGATCCATCTTCTTGCATTTGTGATGATTGTATTCCTTCGACATCGGTCATTTCTTTATCTTCGACCTTTAATGGTGAGTTAATACTTTGGTCACTACTGCTGTTCCGTAAAATGATTGATTTTTCTTGTTCGTACATGACGTCCAACAAATGACTGAAAATAATGACAAGTAAGTGAGTATTATAAATATTTCAATAGTATATCACAGCACAGTAAATCATGCATATGAAAAATTAAGCACGGCTCGCCGTATTTTGGTGTAACTACGTTACGGACAATAGTTATAAATGTTTTATCGCGTGCAATGTGTAAAATTTTTACAGTTAAAAAATAAAAAAAGGAATGCAAAAGCATTTTCAGCATACTTAAAAATTTTAAAGTGTTCTATTGATTAACGTTAGTATCTTGATATCGTCTTGCGGAAATAAAATAAAAACTTTGCGGTGATATGCGATAAAAAATAAACATTATATACATTTCAAAAAAACCAGAATATATATTTACCATAAAAATTCAGAACTGTCCTGCTGCTGACCAGGCATAAAATATGGTGGCCTAGAGGCTCGTAAAACCTCATCTGGATGAAGATCATGTCTCGAAGAGAACTTTAAGAGTGCAAACAAATTTTGTAAATTTTTCAAAACCGTTTGTTCATTCAGATCATTTGGCTTATAAAGTAGAACTTCATTACAAAACTGCTTTGTCATTACTAACGCCTGAAGAACACTATTCATGTAACATGTATTACCCAAATTCACTAGACCAACTTTTGAACCACATAATCTACCATAACTTGTACTTGGGTAGATGTCTTTTTTATCATATGGTAAATTAGGAAAATTTTCTCTGACCCAATCTTCCATTGCTTTACACTGAGGACAAGGTTGATAATCATTGTACCTGATGACATGTTTACGCAAATCATAAGCAATATAGATTATTTCTTGTAAGAAACGATGCTTTGGAGAAGTAGGTCGTATATCATAGTTTTTAAAGTATGTTGCGATTTGAGACATCATTCTGTGATATGTATTATGTAAACGTACTGCTCTAACTAGAGGTATCAATATATTGTTTTCACTACTTATTTTATAGAATTCATCTAATTTCAAGTAATGAGACATCGAAGGTAAAATTTCATTAGCTATATTTTCTATTATGTGAGTTTTGTTCAGTGGCTCCAAATGGCTTATAAATAAGCATAACCATGAACTTAGATAATTCACATTGTTTTCTGGAGGTTGTAAAAGCCATTTACAGAAATAGAAAAGTATTTTACTGATCTTTTCGTCATTTTTTACAAGCGATGTCATTTCTTCAACAACAACGCCCATGTGATTTTTCCAAAAGTTATCTTCCACTATTTGCAAAACCATTACCAATGCTGAACTGGGCTCTGTTGCTGGTTTTGGTCCGTTCATATTATTGAAAATAAGTTCGCACATAGTCTTGAAGCAGTTCAATGCTGTATTTGATATATCAGTGCGTTCTTTGTTTCTACATAAAGATTTAAGAAAGCCTTTAATTTCTTCTAAATCTTTACAATACTTTTTAACATCTTTGGGCTTAGGTTGAGGCATATAGAATAGAATTTTAACTATTGCTTCGCATAATTCTTCATGATCTGGTGAACGATAACAATCTTTCTTTTGATATCTATTGAACAATTGCAGAATTTCTGCTAGGCAGGGTGGTTGGTTCTGAAAAAAACGATTTAAAATAAATAAAATTTGCTCAAGATTCATGAAAAAAAAAAAAAATAAATAAATAAATAAGAAATGACAAGAACTCACCTTGAAGTGCTCGGCAGACTTCGAAAGAAATTTCGCCATATCGTTCGACAGACTGGGCCAGGGAAAATTTGGAAACTTGGTCGAGAACCAGTCGAACAGATTAGGCACCTGATCGACATTCTTAATCTCCTCCTCCGTAAACAGTCTCTTCAAGCAATGATCGAAGTTGCACGAGTTCTCGTTAACGATGATCTCGTTGAGGCTGTTGAGAGCCAGCTCGACGACGTCGGGATCGTCGCTCTGTACGATGCTCTTGAGACAGTTCATGAGCTCGGCGTCGCTTCCTCTCTGCAGATCCATTATTTTGATGGGCTCGCTCACCATGTCCCTCATAATGAATGATTGTTTATTCAGTAGTCGTTGCGTCGATTATTTTTTATACTTGCGATACGCTTGCTTAGCCGAGCCCACGAGACTCGCGAAATGCAGCTAAGCGGGCGAGCATGTGCAATAATAAATGTCGATATTATATATACGTGCACGTATCGTATACTCGTACTGACAGACGGAGCGCTGAGCGCGCTCCTCGATATATAACGTTACGAAATGACAATCGCCTCTGTGCAGATGACAAGAACTGCTCTGCCCCTTCGCACTACAGTATCATAATGAGCACACACGGACACGACATTCGGTACTGCCAGCACTTTGGGTATTCATCGACGAGACACTCATTCTCTTTTTGTATACCGTTGCGCGCGAGTACTACTACTATACGATTCGCAGTTTTATCACATGTCAACGATCGTACGCTTTTGGACGACAGCTCACGCTTGCACGAGATATATATAGGTACACACACTGCACTGCTCTGACAGCACGCGCCAGACAGAGAGAAAGTTAGTTAAGGCGTGTAAATATTTTTTTAAAATAATATTTACCGAAGATTCGCCGTCGATCTATTTTTCTTTCACTCTTGCTCCGTACTGTACTCGCACTCGATATTATTGGATATAGGTAGTAGATAGTAAAATGCTATTACACACGTCTATACTGTATGTATACAGCTATATAGAGAGTGAGAGAGAAAAGAGAGTCTGTATATTGTATATATATACAGAGACACTGCAGGCGCTCGAATGCTTATTATGCTTGCGGGGCAAAATTAAGTTTCAAGTGTTGCTGCTGCTGCTTCTATTATACTGTGACGTCGACGTCGACGCATCGAGGTGACTCGATGGTTTTGTCCACCTGGTTTGCAAGCACCACCACTGCCACCACGAAAAAAAACTTGCGCGTAGGTATTAACAAAAGGATGAAAACGGTTCCGAAAATTTCGTTGACCTCGTTCGTGGTCGGAGGAGATGACTGTGCAGCAGCGTGAGCGAGGCGCTGAGATGCAGCACTACACACGATATTACTATTATTATATATAGTACAAACACAAGCACACACTACTCCACGGGCTGCGCTCGACTGATGAAACACTGCAATACTACAACAGCTATATACGCTGTTTGTCTCACTGCTGCTGTTGCGGCACTGCTGCTGCTGCTTGCGCGAGTCGTGTCGTGTTCGTGACGGACAGTTGCACACACACACGCCACTACTACAATTACTCTCTATCCACGCAACCACTAGAGTGCCACCACTGCTCGAGACTCTGATTCACCGATGAGATGTCGCGTACTATACACGTATATACCTACTGTTGGTTGTGTTATTATCGTTTAGTTACGAGCTGCTCTGCCCTCTCTGCTGCTCGAGGCTTCTCTGCGTGTGCGAGTATAGTATGCGATCCGCAGCGCGCACGCATGCGACAGCAGCATGAGCGGAGAGTAGCAGCAATACGAGCAAGACGACGAAAGACGAGAACTACTTATGAAGCTCGACTCTCGCGCTACTCCCGTCGAGTATACGCTATATCATTTACTTTATATACGCGTATAAAGACTTATTATATGGACTGACTGGCTGGCTGCGCGCTTCAAAGTCGCACGAGAGCGAGCATCGCAGCGCTCTCTTTATATCTTACAACGAGCACACGCTTACATTACGAGACTGCTCGCGCTCTCTCTTTTGCGGGTGCGTGGAAATAGTAGAATATTCGACGACTGCCAGGCAGCAGCCGCGGACTGCGATACTACTGCTGCTGCTGCTTCCGAGACTGATGAATGAACGATGCGCGACGATTACTCTCTCGATGTGTACATAGATATAGGTCTATAGATAACTGTATGGTGCAGATTAGATTGTTTCTCGGTCGGTCGTGGACGTACGGGATGTGTTTTAGACAGACGACAATCCATACCACGCTTCGTTCGTCCCTTGGCGTGAAATTGCGGGTTAGAATTTAGCAGCTTTTCGTATTTTACCGGCGGAGTTTCTGCTGCGATCGCAGGCGCGACTGCAGCGCGCGCTCGATATACAGGCGCGCAATTTTCGAGCGAAAATTTTTCTATATAAATTATAACGTTATTTTTAGAGTCATTTATACGTTACTGGAGAGAGAAAGATGAAAAGTTTACGAACGAATTTTGCCTCAACTGTATAAACTAGAGGCTAAGATTGGAACACTCGATGGAGTCGAATATCGATCGCAAGTTCAAAATAAGCCTGTTATCAAGATCGAAGAAGCTTTTCATAACCGTAAAAGCGATCTCTCAACTTTAAAACATACTTTTTTGAAATTGTCTGAAAATCCTCGTTTCGATTTTTCTTTCCGTACCGTGTGTGTGTGTTTCGCGCACGGCTCTAGCCGCGCGGCCTAGACAGCCTTACCTTACATTACAACAGCGAGCGACACACAACCGCGTCGTCATAGAACCACATCGAAGTATCTGGAAAAGCATATATATATTCAGTATTCTACTGGTCTCGCGAGTTGGCCGTTAGCTGCGCTGCCGACGACGACGAGCTAATATCTTTTCCGCCGCACTGTAGGTGTAGCAGCAGCAGCAGTAGCAGAGCCATCAGCGCAAAAGAAAACAGTATTAAAACTTCGCAGCTCTCGTTCAGAGTTTAACTACACAACACGCAAATTTTGTTATAAACCCATCGTCGCTCCGAGTCCGGTCATCCGTTTTATCACAAATATAACATTCAACAATCATGTCCGACTGGGATACTAAACCGGTGACCATTCACAAGCGCAATCTCAAGGGAGCAGCCCTGAAATCCGAGCAAGTACGTGCATTCTACCATATACACATACGATACGTAGGACCGCCAGTGTTCTGCGTCGTAATACACCATAAGTTTTATATTCTGCTCTCTATTTAGGCTCTCGCTTCGGCGTTCGCGCGCGCGTATATCGTTGTAACGTGTGTACATTAAAAATCATCGGAGAACTCGTGCTCCAAATTTGATACTCATTTAATGCCGACTTTTCTCGATCACACCATTGTTTTAAGTATGCTAAAATTTAATCTTGCCTTTTGCAGGCGGTCAATCAAGCCCGGAGGAAAGGTGTTGCCGTCGAGACTTCGGCTAAATGTGAGTATGCGTATGCGACGTCGATGTTGTATGCATGTGTGCCTGCCTGGAGGAGTGAGTTTATACCGCGATAAAAGTCACCTACAGAACGATTTTTAATTGCGAAAAACTAATATCGTGACGCGTTTGACACAATTCCCTTCTACCATTGTTTTGATTTTCATGCCTACACAACTTTCGGCTTTGTAACATTATTTTTGTTGTTCTATATAAGCGCGGAAAGTGGACTATCGAGCGCGCTCGGTGTGTTTTGATTACGCTTTGTTGAGCGGCTTTATGAAATAATAAATGTGTCGAGCGATGCCGTATACTTTTTTTGACACAAATCGAGTTCTCATGCAGAGAGAAAGAGAGAGAGAGAGAGAGAGGCATTAAATATACACTGCATCACGAAGTGAACGTCTGACGTTTTTCTTGAGTACTTCCCTTTGTCTGTGTTACCAGTAGAGCGTGATGTTGATGTGAAAATTCAAAGTTTATTTTCTGTCATTGAACTACTTACAAAGCAACGTAAATTTTTTTGTTGAAATATTAATTCAGATATAGTGTTATTATTTGATATTAGCATGTTATTTCTGTATTGTGAGACTGTAAAATAGACATTACACCAAAGTATGAAATACCATACAACTTTTATATTGCAACACTTACCATGTGACTCAAATTTCGAAAAGAATTACTTGATTAACTTATTATTCAATTAAGATTGTTGAATATTGTTGAAACATAGTTATCTTGAGTACTTAAAAAAATGTTACATCTAGTGACCTTAATATTTGTCTTTTACAGGGGGTGGTGGTGCTAACAAACAGCATGTTACAACTAAAAATACAGCCAAATTAGATCGTGAAACTGAAGAATTGAAACATGAAACTGTTTCCTTGGATCTTGGTAAATTAATCCAACAAGGGCGCCAGGCCAAAGGAATGTCTCAAAAAGATCTTGCAACTGTACGTTTATTTGATTATCTTGATTAAACTTGATTCAAATACTTATTAATTTTGTTTAAAAAAATTTGAAAGCTATTTTCATCCAACTACTAATAACTATTTGCATTCCAGAAAGTAAATGAAAAAGCCCAAATAATTCAAGATTATGAAGCCGGTAGAGGAATTCCAAATCAATTGGTTATCGGTAAAATCGAACGAGTGCTTGGAATTAAACTCCGCGGAAAAGAACGTGGCAAGACATTGCCTGCTCCAACAAGCACTAAGAAATAGAATGTCCAATTATTGAAAATTATAAAAGTAATATGTAATTATATTCTTAATTGTTTCCGTGAAACAGTTCACACAAAAAAAAATAGTACATGATTGATACCATCAACATCCAATACCTTATTGTTTTGATATGTTTAATATTTGCAAGCATCATTGCATTATGTTACTATAAAAAATAAAATTCAAAGTGAATCTATTAATATTTGACTACTCTTCGTCAATGTTCGAGATGAATAGATTTCTATTAAGTGTCATATATGCACACACATTTAATAAGTGTATGATCGACTGATTAGCAATGTATAATTGGTAAGATTCATCATACTTTGTATGGCTTAAGATTAAGTGATAATAAATTTTATTTACTTGAGTTATTTTTAATGTTTTAATCTGTGAACCTGTTACCCAAATTTAAAAATTATGTAAAGTAAATTTTAAGGTTTTGTTTCAAATCTGAACACATGGATTTAAAGTACAATTTATTTAAATTCAAACAAGTTTTATAAAAATTAATGATCTATAAAATTAATCTCTTCTTAATTCGAAAAAGTCTGTGGCAATGCCATCCTTTGTAATAATCTTAATGAAAATTCCATCACCAGTATAAATATCTCTTTCAGCTGCTGAAGTGAATACATCCTTAATGATTGCCAAAGCTTTCTCTTTAGTTATTGGTACTTTCTCTACATTTTCTTGATTAAGGTATCCAACCTGTAAAAATAAAAGAGTTTATAAATAATACAAGAATGAAAAATATATTGTTGTATAGACTATTTAATTTCAATTGACGTACCTGATTATCTAATAATGGTTGGAGCAATGCACCAGATGAACCTCCAGCTACATAATAATTTTTTTCACAATGACCTACAGGGTCATATCTATAAATTACTCCTTTGCCTTCTGAATCAAGACCAGCCAAAATGTTACTAACATAGTATGGGAAAAACCTCTTATAATATAGCATAGTGGACAACATCTGAGCAGCGGCTGGTGTCGCCATAGTTTTATGGTGCTCATGTTCATACATCTAAGAATGAGAAAAACTGATTAATATCAAAGATCATCAATGATATGTACAAAAAGTCTCAAAACATTACCTGCATACGAGCAGCCATGACTCTTGTCAATGTGAGAGTGTCGCACCAACAACCTGAGCATCCTAGAACAGTGTTGGACGACAGGGTGAATAGTTTTTCTTGTTTACGTGTGTAGATTGAAAATCCAGCACTCAGACGTGTATCAGCAGCTATGATACTAAAATCGTCACCAGCAATGGCTACAACGCTCCTGCAATGGAAAACATTCTGATGTTATACATTCAGCATCAAAACATTAAATTTCAAATTATGCCAAAAAGCATTTAATTCACGAATTTAATTTTTTTCGAAGTACGTCGAGCATTGGTAACTTTATGAGTTTCATCAATAAAAAACCATCATCAACAACGATTAAAAAATCAATAACAAACATTCGAATTAGCAAAGTCAGCAGAATTATAAATTGCAGGTTATGAGGCATGAAATTACCCTCCGTTATCGGCGTAGGGGCTGAAGTGCAGCTGCTTGGGTGCCTGGACATCGTAATCGGGCAGATATCTCGACGGTTCTCGGTCCACAAGAGCCATGTTTATCACTGATGAATCAACCGAAAGTGAAGTTTAAAAAAAATTTCGGAGTCTCGAAGCAATGAGTTTGCTGCGAGATGACAGTACAGTTTTCTCCGGCAAATCAACAAGCGAAATTTGTACGACGAGCACAAAACGGCGTGCGATCACAGGCGCTGCTGACAACTTGCGAGCGACTGGGGCCACAACGGGCGTCGCGCGTTATAATTGAAAAATTCGCGATCGTTCTCAGTTGTAGACAAGGCTTGAGCGTAAATATTTGATTTCGTGCGTACAAGAGTATAAATTTGATTAACATGAAATTTGGCCAAAAGGAAATGATTTAAAATGAAATGTTTTGAACTATAAATTATTTATAAAAGATTCAAGTTTGAAAATAGTCAATACGTGGGAAATTGAAATTAGCTTGCAATACCGATCGCAGCTGCCCGAAAAAGCGATTTTCTTTCATTCCAAGAATCATAAGTATCTCTACTTAGATGTCTTTTACCTTTTTGCAAAATGGCATAAAAGTGTAAAACTCTGCCCCTCTGTCGTTATGCCAATCGGTAAAAAATATTTTTAATTTTTCATATCATTCTCGTAAGCTATATAATGAAACAAATAAATAAAAATTTCGACGTACTTAAATTGGTCACGGGAACATTGAATTTATAGTGAACAATTTTAAGTGAAAAAACGTCTAGCCCAGCTATTCTGGAAATAAGTAAGAAGTAATTTCAGTTATGGACAACTGTTCAATTCGAATTAAAATATTTTTATGACACATTTTTGCCATCATCATTACAAGGTATCCACAAAAGCTGCAGAGAGAGCTGAAGATCTTGCAGAGCTCTCTAAGCAGCTAGAGTTTGAGGAAAATGAATATTACTGGTTCAAGAAATTTTTAAAGTGTTTTTTTTTGTGTCCGGTATAGCCAAAAGCAATTAAAAAATCTAGATAAGAATCATGATGCAGTCGAGCTTTCTCTTTTTAATTACAGTAACGGTGATTGCTAAAAAATCTTAACTTTAACACGAGTACAATTTAAAATAATTTGCAGTGTACCAGAGCTTATTAAGAATTATTCGTGAATGAAATATTCCCTCCAATTTTGTCTGAGCTTGCTTTTCAATTTATCATTTTGTTGGGCGCGTATTTGGTTTATTTACAAGCAATAGGCTCGGAACTACTTGTAAAAATCTAAATGTTTGAAAATTGAAAATTCAATCTAAAATTGAAAATAAAAGTTAAAAATCAGTTCCTTAGAACACTGTTACAAGATATGAAATTGCGAGGTTAAATTTTAAGGTAAGAAAAAACCAGAAAAATAATCCAACCACAATGTAAAATATATCTGAAATTTCACTTTTGGTATTCATGGATATTAGACTTTAAAATCACCGCAGAAGCTAGCTCAGTTTTATATCTTGTAAACGTTTTTTAAGGATCTGGTTTTTAACTTTTTTTTAAATTTTTGATTGAATTGGATGAAGTACTTGAATTTTTCAGTTTTTTTTTAAATTATACATATTTAAAAAAGTTTCACATATTGCAGCTGTTCTATACAGCCGATTCTTTGATTTTTTAACTATAAGTTTTCGACTTTATTACTTAATTTCGTTAATTTCTTTTTTGTGTGTATTAAAAAAAAAATTGTATTTGCTCCCATCTAACGAAATGCGCTCTTTTTCACTCTTTTTTGGTGCAAAATATAATATTTATGACTTGAGTGTAGAGTGTAGACATGTTCGAAAGGCTCAAGCTATACACAGTAAGAATTATTGTTTCACGACTCTACATAGATGTTTCAAAGGCATAAACGCCTAGCACTACTCGCCCGTAAAGCGTGCCGCAACGCAGAAGTGAGCTACCCAAACATGTAGGGATGTGAAGGCTGTGCGGCAGACCGGTGAATGGTGACTCCGATAAGGAGTTCCAAGGTAATTATAGCTCGCAAAGCAACTAGACACTGAAAACCTTGAGATTATCGTGCTCACTCGTTTTTTGCGGATACATCCCCTACTCAACGAGCCATAAGAAGTTTCACATCAAAAATGTTTTCTCTTTGGAATTGTTCTTTAAAATGTTCGGGCTTATGTAGCTTTACAGGATTTGTGAGGATCTTAAGATCGATTGGCTCGGCATCAACGACCCAAAAGAAAAATTCTGAACTCATAAATAAATAAGCAAATAATGGTTTTAATATGATAGAAACCTGCGCAGTGGTATAATAAATTATACGTGGTAAAAATTTCAAGCCAATTGGACAAATAGTTTTTGAGATCATAAAGGACAAACAGACACCAACTTCGCTTTCCGCACAACTATTAAAATTATTTAATCTCAACAAAAGCAATATTGCAGCACTGGCATTCGCCGATGATCTAATCATCTACACCGCCAGCAACGATATGAGAACCATCCAGAACCGATTACAAGATGTTTTCACTAAAGTTATTAAATTTTACGAGGCTTGGAAGCTCAAGGTGAATGCGAACAAATGTGAGACCACGTTAGTACGCAGACCTGTAAAAATAGAAAAACCATACACGCAAAAACACTGGAGAGAGTTCCAACTATATGACACAATAAATAAAATCCCGATCCCACACAAAAAAAGTGTTAAATACCTGGGAATAATATTTGACGACCTCTTAAAATTTAATCTACACACAAATCTTCAATTAGCTAAAGCCAAAGAAAGGCTAAAAAAACTTCATAATTTATTTTATTCTCCCTTCTTGGAGGGCAGAGCAAGAGTTATATGCTACTTGTGTCTCATCAGACCCCTCCTTACCTACGGTTGTCCAATATGGTATAATCTGTCTGCTTCGGCGATGGAAAAATTTAGATTATTCGAACGAAGAATGATAGGCATCTGTTTAAATAAATATCGGTCCGCCGAAAGCAACTACTTAAAACGTATAAGCAATGGCAAACTTCTGTTCTCTGCAAAAATCCCACGCATCGATTCTTTTATAATTTATTTAACTAGAAACTACATTAAAGATTCAATATAAAACAAGGTAAACAGCCTTATCTTTGGGCCTTACTACCACAATATTGAGTACCTCGAAAAAACTTTACGTAGCGGCTACATTCCTCCGGAATGCTTTAAACTGTTAGACGATGATAATGTCATTTTGGACACGCTAGGTAAACATATGTTGTACCATATGCCTAGAAATAGTTTAAACAAAAAAATTATTCTAAATTTAATGGACAGTAGCCAATATATCTATTGCAGAACCCTCGCAAGATTCGACCACCAAATCCTTAATGATTTTAAGTATTATGAATAACAAAATCTCATTCCCTATTTTCATAGACTTACTTGTACATATTGTCATTATTGTTATTAGTTTTAAGATGTTTTAGTGTAATGTTAGTATTAGTATTTTTTCATTATATGCGAAAATCTTAGTTTGTATTCCCAGCTTCTAAGATAGTTAATTTTCAAATTATAATAGTACATAATTATATATATGGGTAAGGCTCAGAATTTTTTAAATAAACCTGCGCTCGTATATCACCGATCTTGACGCGCTTTTGGTATGTTATAGTACATGGTAAAAAAGACCAAAAACCAAAATTTTAGACCCCCTCCCCCTCCTACCCCCCACTTCCGGTATAAACGTCCATTTTCTATCTATATTTTTTCTGAAGGCCTGAAGCAATTAAAAAATCTGAAAAAATTCACAAAAATACTTTTCAACAATCCAAACAACCTTGAATTTTTTCAGATTTTTTGAGTGCTTCAGGCCTTCAGAAAAAATTATTGAAAATTTTGAAAATTCATATACGGCGCTACGATGCAATACAAAGCCCGATCTTTTTTTCCACTTATTTTTGACATCAAAATACATAACCTCAAATTTTTTCAGATTTTTTCAGACAGAGCGCTGGCGGTTTTTAGCCGAAAAACGCCCTTTTTTTACGAAAATAATTTTTTTAGGGCGATATGAAGCTTTAAAAAATCTGGAAAAATTTTTTTCTTGTTTTTCAGGTCAAAATACATAACCTTGAATTTTTTCAAATTTTTTAATTGAAGGCGATAGCATCTATGGCTAAAAAACGCTATTTTTATGAAAAACGGTTCCTGGAACCCAGAGGTTCCGGTAAAAAAATTTGAAAAAATTTTTTTCGAATTCCTTGTCAAATTTTAATAAATTTTGACCGTCGCAAAATTTCGATTGGAGCTTCCTAGCTCATTCTAGAGCATAACAAAGATTCGAGCGAAATTCTGAAGAAATTTGAAAAATAATGTAATTGTGATGAATGTCTTCAGAATTTCGCTCGAATCTTTGTTATGCTCTAGAATGAGCTAGGAAGCTCCAATCGAAATTTTGCGACGGTCAAAATTTATTAAAATTTGACAAGGAATTCGAAAAAAATTTTTTCAAATTTTTTTACCGGAACCTCTGGGTTCCAGGAACCGTTTTTCATAAAAATAGCGTTTTTTAGCCATAGATGCTATCGCCTTCAATTAAAAAATTTGAAAAAATTCAAGGTTATGTATTTTGACCTGAAAAACAAGAAAAAAATTTTTCCAGATTTTTTAAAGCTTCATATCGCCCTAAAAAAATTATTTTCGTAAAAAAAGGGCGTTTTTCGGCTAAAAACCGCCAGCGCTCTGTCTGAAAAAATCTGAAAAAATTTGAGGTTATGTATTTTGATGTCAAAAATAAGTGGAAAAAAAGATCGGGCTTTGTATTGCATCGTAGCGCCGTATATGAATTTTCAAAATTTTCAATAATTTTTTCTGAAGGCCTGAAGCACTCAAAAAATCTGAAAAAATTCAAGGTTGTTTGGATTGTTGAAAAGTATTTTTGTGAATTTTTTCAGATTTTTTAATTGCTTCAGGCCTTCAGAAAAAATATAGATAGAAAATGGACGTTTATACCGGAAGTGGGGGGTAGGAGGGGGGAGGGGGTCTAAAATTTTGGTTTTGGGTCTTTTTTACCATGTACTATAACATACCAAAAGCGCGTCAAGATCGGTGACATACGAGCGCAGGTTTATTTAAAAAATTCTGAGCCTTACCCATATGTAAGTAACCACCATATAAACAAAGTTGGCAGTCGGTGAGTGTCCGCCAGGACCATTCCGGCTAATCTTTATATTTAAAAAAAATAAAAAAATTTAAAGTATTTTTTTGTATATGTTTAATACTAAGCTGTAAAACGATATTTTGGGAATAAACAATTACATAAAAAAAAAAAAAAATTGAGGCTGTTCATTCAATCTTCGCATGTTTTAGAATCAGATGGGGTATAGGTATGCGAAATCAAAGAATAATTCGTTTCGAAGCACAGATTTTCTGTTGGTATAATGGCAGAGAGGGAAAAGAATAAACTGATAAATGGGATATTAAAGAATCTTGAAAGACATTTTGATATTGATTATCAGAAGAAAAAGTTGGAGATGAAAAGGCCAAAGGGGCGCATCAATGAAGTCAATAACATCCCTTATAGATTAGAACCGCAGACTTGATGCAAATTCAGTACATTATCTAAACTGTTATCCTTTTGTCGTTATGACAATCGGTAAAAAGTACTTCATTTTTAATACCTTATGCACTACCTGCCGTCTATACACTCTGGGTTGAATAGTTTATGTCGTAAAAAAGTAAATTTTAAATTTTGCGACACTTAAATTCAATACCGCGGTAACATTGAAATTCTTGTGAGAAACTGTAATGAAAAAATATCTAGTTAGAATTTCAGTTGTGGAAAATTGTTAAATTCGAATTAAAATATTTTTCGTGCTCAAGTTTTGCTATCATGGCAAGGCAGACAACAAAAGCTGAGCTTGCAGAGCTCTCCAGGCAGCTTGATTTTGAGGAAAATCAATTTTACTGGCTCAAGAAATTGCTCAAGTTTGTTTTTTTGTGTCCAGTGCAGCCAAAAGCAATTCAAAAATCTGGAAGAATAATGATGCATTCGACCTATCTCTTTTCAATCATAGTAACGGTAATTGCTTAAAAAGCTCAATTTTAACTCGAGTAAAATGCAAAATAATTTGCAGTGTATCAGAGCTTATGAAGAATTATTCGTGAATGAAATATATCCACCAATGCTGGCAGAACTTGCTTTTCAAATCATTGTTTTGTTGACCACGTATTTGGTTTATTTGCAAGCAATAGGCTCGGAAAAAATCGTAAGAACGAAAATGTGCAAAGAAAAATTTTTATAGCACTGTGTGGCATAAGTTGACATTTATGTTACGTTTTTCTGTGGCATAATAGGAATTTACGATACAAGTGTCATAAGTAATACTTTTCGGCCCAGCTATTAGGACCCTCGCAGCGCTCGGGCCCTAAACTAAACCGGGCCAAATTACTTATGGCACTTTTATCATAAAGTACTATTTTTTACACAACTGACTTCAGCTTTACAGGTTGTGTGATGTCGTGACAATCGACTGGCTCGGCATCATCGACCCGGAAGAAAAGAATATCATGAAGGTGGTATGTGAACGAGGATCTCGTCTAATATTGATACACTTTGGCGTCTTGCTACCAACCTTACTGGGCTATGCAATCATCCCGGTAGCTTTGCCGTACGTTCTTAATCCTTACTTGCCGGAAAATATGACTCTCCACAGGACCCTATGCGTTCACGTTGAAATGTTCATCGATCAGGACAAATACTTTTACCAAATTCTTATTATAGTTATTTACCAGTTGATGTTGGTTTTGCTGATTATCTGCTCGCTGGATTTAGCCTACACATCTTGCATTACTTACATCATGGGCAAAATCATATGGATTGGGTTGAGTCTATACTTAAAGATTAATTATAAAAATTGAAAATCCATTCATTCTGTTTTTTTTTATTCAGGTGTACTTTTGAAAAACTTTGTGAAAGCAAAAATTTTGATCAAAGTCCAAATGCAAAACGAAAAATGGAAATGTGCGTACACCGAACTGTCATCGGATTGATTAAACGACATCAAAAATGCTTAAAGTAAAATATACAGGGTGTGGCAAAAGTATGGAAACACGTTGGAATTTCGCAGAACAAGCATAGACAAAAATAAAAAACCACTACCTGACCTGTACGAAGGAGTATGCAATGGTGACCTTGAATTTGACCTTGGACGTAACCTCTAAGCTCCAGCGACCCGAAAATCAATTTTTCGAATGGAAACCCCCATTATTTATTGCATGATATGAAAACAGTGAAAATTTTACGTGAAAATATGTAATTAGTTTTTTTTCAAGATCATTTTATGGGCGCTACAGACTCTAATAAAACCTCAATCTAATCTAAATTTAAGCTCATGCAGAGGCTATATTTCTTACTGTGTCGCCCAAAATGTCTTTGAAACAAAAAATGTTTTCAAGGAAAATTTTCCGCTTTTTTCAAATCTGCAATAAAACAAGGGTTTTCATTTGAAATATCGACTCTTGGTTCGCTGGAGCTTGAAGGTTACATTCAAGGTCACCGTGGACTTCTCGTCGAAAAATACGTTTGGTATAAGATTTTTGACTTTTCAAATGAACCGATTTCCAATGTTATATATGTCAAATTGAAGGTCTTGCAAGGACCTACAACTTTTGTTTGAAACTTTTTTCCATAAAATGTACGGTTTTCAATCCGTAGCCGAAAAACCCATTTTCCTAATTTCAAAGGGCCCAATTGTTGAAATTCCAGTCGACTCAACTGTGGCATTTGTTATTACTTCATTCCTACCATCGAACCCTAACGAATCCCGGTGAGAAACGCTGGTTGCGAATTTTTTCATGTTCAAAACTAATTTGACTGGACTATATCTGAGCTAACGGTTCTATCTCGCTTTCTACAAGCCTTGGCCGTTGGTGTCTCACGATAGACATCGGCAAGTCAAGGGTACAAAGCATTTTGGGTCACTTAGTGGTCACTTTGTGCTTTGCAATTACCGCCTGTTACACTGCTATGACAATTTGACTGAAATCGAAGAATATTTCGGTCAAATACCCATTGAATTTGCCATAAGTGACCTGAAGAGCATCGTAACCCTTAAACCTCGCTCTACGCGCCCGTGCGGGTCACGTGTGTCCCTTGGGTCTGCAGGTCCGTCCTAGCGCGTAGAGGCTTTTTCAGCGTATGTTCCTAGAGGGTGAAAGACGGGGTATACCGGGATTCACACTCACTCACACCAAGAAACAAACACTAAATATTAACAATAACAACTACCAGGTTTATTCTTATGCAATAAACATTATACACGGCCTCAGAGAGTAGGTGGGCGCGTCGGCGCGTACGACTCACAAATACAACGACCGACGGCTGGACCGCCCGACTCACCACACCCCTTCTTCTCTTGGTCCAGATCCACCCTTGGCTGTCCTTGTGGTCTGCTCGGCCGTTGGATCCGCTGGTTCTCTCTCGCGCACTCGGGTCAGCTCGTACCGGCACTCGCGCTCTTCACTCGGGCGACGTAAGATCTTACTACCCACGCGGTACTAATTAATCCGACGTAGACATCCCCGAGGATGTCGCACACTCGAGCTCCGTTTGCTCTCAAAGCAAATCTTCGACTGCCTCCTCTGTTCATATGTACGCTTTTTTCTCAAACCATTTGTTAATTAAAATATCTTTTCTTGTCTCAAAACCGTCTACCTCCCATGTAGACCTTTCTCCTTCTCGACTGCTGACAGTGCAGCTTAGGCGACAGTCTTGGAGCTGTAACTCAGAAGAGTGTACCTACTGTTTCATGTTGTAACATGCTATTAATACTTTGTATATGAATTATTACTATTATTACTATTTTATCATATTAGACATCTCTTACAAAACTTATAAACTAAAATCTAAATTTCTGTAACTTAATAGCTTTATAACTCTCTTTCGAGAGTGTTCTTTTTTCGTATATTTTACTTGCATTTTCTTCAGATACCGTTTTCAGCAAAAGTACAAAAGTTCAAAAAAGTATCCGTCCCGGACTTAATGGGTTAAAGTACTATTATGACACAAGAACCTAAAACTACCGATAAAGTTGCGATTTTTAGATTAGAGTACTATAAAGCTCCGTTTAACTCAAGTATCTATTGTTTTGATTATTTCATAAGACAATTTATATTTAAAAAAAGGCGCCGATTAGAGACACTATGTATGAAATTAAAAAGAAAAAATATGGGTATCTTTGTGATTGTGTGGTCCTTCACAAAAATGTTAGAACGATTTTTTACAGATGATATAATCTCCCGTACTTCTTGATCCAATAATTTTCGATTTGCTCCATTTCGGCTTCTTCTGGAGTTTTTGGTGGCTGCCAGCTTAAATACTATCTATTCTAAATGTCGTATTTCCTGAACACCATAACTACACAAAAAAATTGTGCACTACTGCAGAATTCGATTTCTTGATCCTGCAAAATATTTTTATTCTTGTTTAAATAAAAGAAAAAAAGTAAAAGAGATAGATTAAGGAAAAAAATTGTGTTCAGAACTTTTTCAATTCATCAATGATTAAATTAAGTTGGAAATATTAAATCATATGATAAACCGAAAAAAAATTTTTTTCTCCGTTAATTAAAAAAAATTTTTATGGGCTTTATCCTTGATATATTCGACAATAAATGCAATTTAATTCAACACGATTGACCGTACCGTTTTCTAGATAATGCTCTACGTACACACTCACACACCCACAGACATGTGTTGGAAATTCAATCTAGTTTAAGTAAGTGGAAAAGTTCAAGTAATTTTATAAGTAAAGCACGGGTTCAGAAACAATCCACCAGCGTTTCATAAAAATATTTTAAAACCACTGCTTGATAAGTTTGTTTTGAAATTCGCCCGAGTTCGACGCGTGCATTTATTAAAAATCATATGCTGAGAAAAATTACCGACAGTGTTTGCAAGAGACATCGTAACGCGCTTGACTTATTGTCTGGCATTAGATGACGGCTGCAAAAAGGACAAAACAAAAATCGATGATAATGTTTCCTTATAAATAGCATCGCGTTTACGATATTCAGTTATATCCACACGGACGGCATCGCATCGCATTTCGCATCAATTCAAGTGAAGTTTCTTTGCCGGGCGCATTTCTATATATCTGAATAAACCAACACTTCTCGTGATCATCAAAAATGCATGGCCCACCTTTGATCGGGCATAGTGTGACATTATTTTCTATATTATTATTATTGGAGTCACGAGCATCGATCGTCGTCCGAGCAGACTTGGCCATCTACATGGTTGATGGGCAAATCGTACCCGATGTCCTGGACGAGGCCCCCAAGGAGCTGCTATCGGTACGAAAAATTTTATATTTTTGATTTTCATTTTTTTTCTTTACTTATAACTATTTTATATCGTCGCGCGCAGGTGAGCTACGGCGGTAAGCAGGTGCAAGTGGGCGAGGAATAGACACCGACCGCCTGCAAAGACGCACCGACGATCGACATGCACTACGATCCGGCCAAGTTTTACACACTGATAATGACCGGTATCAATAATATATAAATTTAACAAAGCTTACCACAAAAATTAAAAATAAAAAAAAAATAAAAAAATAATCCCTTTTTCCTCTATCCACGCGCAGACATCGACGCGCCGAAACGCTCCAAGCCGAACTATCGCGAGTTTCTCGGCTGGTGCGTCGTGAACATACCCGGCGACCAATTTGCCGCAGGCCAGGTCTTGGTCAATTACTCGGGAATAGGGCCGCCCAAGGATAGTGGCGCGCAGCGTATGTTATTCACGCTGTACGAGAAACAAGGCAGCCAAGAATTCGACGAAAAGTATCTAGACAATAGGCAGCTCGGCTGGCGCCTATGGTTCTCGCAGCGAGATTTCAGTAACAAGCACGGCATGGCCAACTTTGGGCAGCCCGTGGCCGTCACGGTAATAGTGGTCAGTTACGACCCATACTCGGACGTGCTCATGAACGAGTTCATGAAGAGATTGAGGATGTAATTGAGACCTCGACGGATTGTGCCCGTATAAATAAACACAAATAAAATAAAATATATAATAAATAAACTTTAACCCGCGTAAAATTAAATCAATGTCAATGTTTGCACCAAACATGGGCCATATTAGTAGATACTTGGGCCAGGTTAGGTGCATTCAATCACTTTTGCCATACCTGAATAAAAACCGCTGCCCATTTATTGGCAAAGAGCTTCGTCATGAAAAATAATATTAACAAAAGGCATCAGTTATTAACGTGAAAATTGGTATTTTGAAATTTTGATCGTAAGTAGAGTGTCCTAAATACCAGTAGATCACGACCATCAAGACCATCTTAATGGTCTTTTAAGGAGGTACCTCCGACTACTACTCTAGTCAAGTTTTCGTAGTCACTCGTATGATAGAAATAACTAGAACTAACCTAACTAAAAAAGTCTCTAGGCAGGCGCGTCTGCTCGTTGTTAGCAATTTCGCATACTACATTGATTAGCTTTTGTATGCAGGTTATGTCGCTCGTTCGTTCATGTTCGAAGAATGTTCATTCATATATAGTTTTCAATTAATTGCTCAGTACTCGTGTAGTAAAAGTTTATAAAACTTTAATACGAGGTACTGTGATAGTTCATTGAAGGGCTCAAAAAGTTTCACACAAATCCGTTTTGTAAATTATGAGATATGCCAAAATTATCGCCATTTGCATCAGAAACAATGTTAAAATGTTTTACTCATACCTATTAAACTAAGTAGTGAAATTACACCAAATTTTAACAGTGCATTCCTATTATAAAAATGAGCATGTTAGCATAATTTGGTTTGATTCTGTTTTGTAATTCTTCGACGGAGGTACCTCCTTAAATTCTACTAGATGTTTAAGACGCGCTTCGCGCGCGTCAATTTTTTCATTGGTATTTTGAAGTTATGACTTTTAGGCGCGCTTCGCGCGCGTACATTTTTCAGTCAGTTTTGAAAAAGTTGCTATTTTGACAGTAGATGTCACTTTACTACGTTTCCACACGAGTCAAAGGCGGTCGACCAATCAGAGGCCGAATAGATTGGCTTCACTTTTAGGTCCATCTCTTTTATATAAGTTAGACACTTTGATCATAGCCAAATAGGCCGTGAAAGCGAAAACTCATACAGACATTTGTCCTTATAAACAGAGAGCATTCAGTGAATTGATGTGAATGCACTGGTCAGTCTGTAGGCTACACTATCCAGGAGTGCAAGGAACTGTAACTATTGAAAAAATTGAAAAAACCTTCAATTTCCGCCTAAAAATATTGCGATTTGGCCTCAAACGGTCAATGCCCATGCACTGGTCAATCCATGCGCATGTGCAGGCCTTATAAGCCACAAATGGAATATTTTCAATTTGGAAAATTGTGTTATTTCGCGATAACTTTGTCAATTTTCATCCAATCTTCATGAAATTTTCAGTGAATGCGTAACGAAGCACTAAAAATCTGTAGGCTACACTATCCAGGAGTGCAAGAAACTGTAACTATTGAAAAAATTGAAAAAACCTTCAATTTCCGCCTAAAAATATTGCGATTTGGCTTCAAACGGTCAATGCGCATGCACTGGTCAGTCCATGCGCATGTGCAGGCCTCATAAGCGTGAAATGGAATATTTTTAATTTGGATAATTGTGTTATTTCGCGATAACTTTGTCAATTTTGATCCGATCCTCTTGAAATTTACAGTGAATACGTATGAAAGCACTAGAAATCTGTAGGTTATACTATCAAGGCGCAAAAGAAACTGGAAATATTGAAAAAAATTGAAAAAATCTTCAATTTCCGCCTGAAAATATTGCGATTTGGCCTAAAACGGCCAATGCGCGTGCACTGGATGGTCCATGCGCACGTTCAGGCCTCATAAGCGTGAAATGGAATATTTTTAATTTGGAAAATTGTGTTATTTCACGATAACTTTGCCAATTTTCATCCGATCCTCTTGAAATTTACAGTGAATACGTATGAAAGCACTAGAAATCTGTAGGTTATACTATCAAGGCGCAAAAGAAACTGTAAATATTGAAAAAATTGAAAAAATCTTCAATTTCCGCCTGAAAATATTGCGATTTGGCCTAAAACGGCCAATGCGCGTGCACTGGATGGTCCATGCGCACGTTCAGGCCTCATAAGCGTGAAATGGAATATTTTTAATTTGGAAAATTGTGTTATTTCACGATAACTTTGCCAATTTTCATCCGATCCTCTTGAAATTTACAGTGAATACGTATGTAAGCACTAGAAATCTGTAGGTTATACTATCAAGGCGCAAAAGAAACTGGAAATATTGAAAATATTGAAAAAACCTTCAATTTCCGCCTGAAAATATTGCGATTTGGCCTAAAACGGCCAATGCGCGGGCACAGGACGGTCCATGCGCACGTTCAGGCCTCATAAGCGTAAAATGGAATATTTTTCATTTGGAAAATTGTGTTATTTCACGATAACTTTGCCAATTTTCATCCGATCCTCTTGAAATTTACAGTGAATACGTATGAAACCACTAGAAATCTGTAGGTTATAGTATCATGGTGCAAAAGAAACTGGAAATATTGAAAAAATTGGAAAAACCTTCAATTTCCGCCTAAAAATATTGCGATTTGGCCCAAAACGGCCAATGCGCGTGCACTGGACGGCCCATGCGCACGTTCAGGCCCCGCAAGCGCGAAACGTAATATTTTGAATTTGGAAAAATGTGTTATTTAGCGATAACTTTGTCGATTTTCAACCGATCCTCTTGAAATTTACAGTGAATACGTATCAAAGCACTAGATATCTGTAGGTTATACTATCAAGGCGAGAAAGGAACTGGAAATATTAAAAAAATTGAAAAAACCTCCAATTTCCGCCCAAAAATATTGCGATTCGGCTGAATTGGGTCAATGTGCATGCGCGGGCCTTATTAAACGGAAACGTAATATTTTGAATTTCTAAAAATATGTTATTTAGCGATAACTTTGTCAATTTTCATCCGATCCTCTTGAAATTTACAGTGAATACGTATCAAAGCACTAGAAATCTGTAGGTTATACTATCAAGGCGAGAAAGGAACTGAAATGATTAAAAAAATTGAAAAAACATCCAATTTCCGCCCAAAAATATTGCGATTCGGCTGAATTGGGTCAATGTGCATGAACGGGCCTTATTAAACGGAAACGTAATATTTTGAATTCGGAAAGATGTGTTATTTAGCGATATCTTTGTCAATTTTCATCCGATCTTCTTGAAATTTACAGTGAATACGTATCAAAGCACTAGAAATCTGTAGGTTATACTAAGAAGGCGAGAAAGGAACTGAAAATATTAAAAAAATTGAAAAAACATCCAATTTCCGCCAAAAAATATTGCGATTCGGCTGAATTGGGTCAATGTGCATGCGCGGGCCTTATTAAACGGAAACGTAATATTTTGAATTTGGAAAGATGTGTTATTTAGCGATAACTATGTCAATTTTCATCCGATTCTCTTGAAATTTACAGTGAATACGTATCAAAGCACTAGAAATCTGTAGGTTCTACTATCAAGGCGAGAAAGGAACTGGAAATATTAAAAAAATTGAAAAAACCTCCAATTTCCGCCCAAAAATATTGCGATTCGGCTAAATTGGGTCAATGTGCATGCGCGGGCCTTATTAAACGGAAACGTAATATTGTGATGGCTAGTTTGCCACCATCTATTTATTATTAATAAAATATGCCAGCTGACTGAAAGCTAATGACTCGACTCTACTCGCGTTTGTCTCAGATGAAGGAAGGATAACACAGAATTTCACAAGAGACTGTTTATTTAACCTTAATCCTAGTTACATAAATGTTGCTTACTATGTACCGGTGTTCTTATCTTCGGCGGCGTCGTTCGCGGGGCGGTAGGGTGAAGACGCCGGTGTGCTGTCTGTTGTAGGGCGGGCCCGTGACGGTCTGGCCTCGGCTCGTGCGGCGTCGGTGAGGGTGATCGGCGTCAGCGCGATCGGCGTCGAGGAGATCGGCGTCGACGAGGGTGTCCTCGGTGTCGATGAGGGTGTTCTCGGTGTCGATAAAGCCGGCACGGTGTCAGCGTGCTGGGCGGCGTCGGTGGTTGCAGGTGGACAGGCTCGCGTACTTTTCGTATAACTAACTCGCACTGATGTTATCTAGTCGAAGCCGAGCAACAGGCTGGCTTTCAAGTAAAACGAACTTTGACTCGAGGAGTAAAGATGTACGTGAATACCGAGCGTCGACGTGCNAAAATTGTGTTATTTCGCGATAACTTTGTCAATTTTCATCCGATCCTTTTGAAATTTACAGTGAATACGTATGAAAGCACTAGAAATCTGTAGGTTATACTATCAAAGCGTGGAAGGAACTGGAAATATTAAAAAAATTGAAAAAACCTCCAATTTCCGTCCAAAAATATTGCGATTCGGCTGAATTGTGTCAATGTGCATGCGCGAGCATTTTTAAACGGAAACGTAATATTTTGAATTTGGAAAAATGTGTTATTTAGCGATAACTTTTTCAATTATTATCCGATCCTCTTGAAATTTACAGTGAATACGTGTCAAAGCACTAGAAATCTGTAGGTTATACTATCAAGGCGCGAAAGGAACTGGAAATATTAAAAAAATTGAAAAAACCTTCAATTTCCGCCCAAAAATATTGCGATTCTGCTGAATTGGGTCAATGTGCTTGCGCGGGCCTTATGAAACGGAAACGAAATATTTTGAATTTGAAAAAATGTGTTATTTCGCGATAACTTTGTCAATTTTCATCCGATCCTCTTGAAATTTACAGTGAATACGTATGAAAGCACTAGAAATCTGTAGGTTATACTATCAAGGCGCGAAAGGAACTGGAAATATTAAAAAAATTAAAAAAACCTTCAATTTCCGCCCAAAAATATTGCGATTCGGCCGAATTGGGTCAATGTGCATGCGCGGGCCTTATTAAACGGAAACGTAATATTTTGAATTTGGAAAAATGTGTTATTTAGCGATAACATTTTCAATTTTTATCCGATCCTCTTGAAATTTACAGTGAATACGTGTCAAAG